TAACCAAAACTTTAAATATGGAGAGCTGGAAAGCGTTAATCACATTTTGGTTGAGCCCTTTACTTGAAAAAGAAAGACATGGATTAAAAAGGTTAATATCTTTAGAGATGGACATGTAGACTTCCTTGAACTTTTTAATTGGCTTTCAAATTGTAAGCTTTATATATGCTTGAATATATTATAAAATACATTTATTTCGTTGATAAAGACAGGTGGAAAAAAGTCGGGAAGCCCTGGTCTTTGACCCCATGTTCCTTGTAAGCTGATATCAAGACTTATTTTCAAGCTGTTGAAGATCCAATGTTCAAATTTAATAAAACTCTGTTTTTTCTTAAAACAAAGGAATATAAAAAAAAACAAAAGAATAAAAATATTTGTTATGTTATATATTTCTAATACTCTTAAAAAAATTTCTGGTAATTTACTATGTATTTTACTAATTTCTAATATTTGCTATTTATAGGCTTTAAAAGGTTCTCTAACAATAAGCGTTAGTGGTTTAGCGGTAAAATTCGTCGTTGCCATCGACGAGCCCCCGGTTCGACTCCGGGCTGACGCATATAAAATCAATTATTTTTTTGTTTTTTAAAAGTGTGGGAAAAATAAAATAATTGTAAAGAAGACCTTTTTAATTTCTGGTTTATTATTATTTTTTTTAATTGTTAAAAGATAGTGTTTATGATCATAAAGAAATCATATAATCCAAAATAGCATGTGGATAGTAGTTCACAAGGCACTGTGACAAACAAACAAATAAACAATACATGGCTTGTGAGTATCAAAAAAAAAGAAACAATAGCCGGACCAAGTTGACAATAAAAAAAAAAGCTATAGACAAGCACTATTCATATTCAAATTATTTTAAAAGAAGAATAATGTAATAAATAAGCAGAAAAATGGAATGAAATAAGGATCATTTAATATTGCTATTGAAAAAGTAAAATAATGTGAAAAAAAAACTTTAAGAAAAAGACATCAGAATGTTTAAATTCCTTTAAAAATATATATAGTGTGATTAGGAATTATTGATGAGTTTGGAGGTGGTAGAGTAATGATATATTTTTTTTTATAATTTTATTACAAAACTGTGGGGTAGTAGTAATATTATGAGAGCTATTTAGAACTTTTATACTAAACAAGTGTTTACCACCATTTCTCTTAGAATCTCTTAAGATTCTCCATAAAACTGTTAGGGATTCTCATCTCATAAACAATCAAAACAAACATTTGTTGACTCATCCATAGACATTTATAAGCATATATAAGTTTCATATTTTGGATAAGTTAAACTTTCAAACAGAAAATGTATCAGTATAATTTGCATTTAAAAATAATCTATTTACTTATAATGTCAAAATAATAATAAACATATAACATCAATCAAATTTCTCATAATGTCAATATAATAATCAATTTACTTATAATGTCAAAATAATAATAAACATATAACATCAATCAAATTTCTCATAATGTCAATATAATAATCAATTTACTCATAATTCCTCAATTTTTTTTTTTTTTAAACATAACGTGAATTGTTTTATAAGATATTGTAATAATACAAAACTATTCAGGCTTCTATAATAAAAGCTGGACCTTCTTGATCAAATCCTCAAATTCCATTTGTTTTAGAGTTATTTTTATAGCCATCATTGAGTTTCAATTGAATTTCTATTTTGTTTCTTATTTATATAGATGTTACATATTTTAGAGCAAATTTCGCATTTCTGATTAGGCTTTAGTAGCCGCCAGAAATCCCAGGAAGCACGACGTGGACGCTTGCTCAGGTTACTTCCCATGGAAAAATGGAACTTATCTGACAAGATTCCCAAAATTTTTCCGCCCCCAATTGTGTAGTTGTCATTTGCACCTGGAGAGGCACCCTCTTCCGCAAAAAGTCCAATTCCACTAACGGATGCCTAAGCTTCTAATGGGTCTGAAGAAAAGGCAGCTAGCTTCCATGGCATGCGGAGGAACCACAACAAAGGGTTATAAACTATATGATCTAAACTAAAACCAGAGAATAGGAAAATATAAAAAAATGTATTGTGTATTAAAATGGTGCTGAATAATGTAGAATGTGTGTTTTAAAGTGTCAATAAGATGCTGAAGATGATGAAGATGCTGAAGATTTTGGAAATGTCAACACCGAATAATTTAAGCTGTTGAACAAAGCTATGTCCAAGCGAAGTTGCAGATCACAAGATTTTAAAAATATAATAAAAATTTTAGATTTAAGAAACGTAAAATAAAATAAGTTTTTTAACCTAGGTTCCACAAATGAATTAATAATCATAGATCAAGTTTTTCAATAATAAGTAACGTTTTTTTTTCAACCAAGTTCCCACGAATAATAATAATAATTTTTGTTTGTTTGGTGGTAATCAAAGGGGCAAGACCCAATCCCCTAAGAAAACCGATAGGCCAAAGGAATATACGCCCAAGCAAAACCAGGCCGACAAGTCTACCTGTAGCGTATAACCTTGTTATGACAACTAATTCGATTAATGTTTTTTTTTTTTTTTTTTCATCTCTCCAGGATTTTTGTTTCGGAGAGAGTATGGCTCCCGTAGACTCGCAGCTGTAGTCATGATGAAAGAAGAATAATGACTGGCGAGTCTCCTCTCCGCACACACTTATTAGACGAGGGGGGCAGTCTGTGCGTGGCGTTTCTAGTTAACGGCTTTGTATTTGGAAATTTTTTGTGATGATTAGAAGAAGGGCTTGCTAATTAGCATTTAAAATAAGCTATTGCGAGACTTTGGATGTTAGTTGGCTAGTTTTTGAATTAGTAGAGAATACATACCATTTTCCAATAAAGTTGATATGATTTTGATAACTGTTTAAAAGTTAGAAAAGAAGTTGATGGAGATGTTCACTTACCTAAATATGATGATAATGATAATGATAAATAAAAAAAAAAAAAAAAAAAAAAAAAAAAACTAAAGAAAAATAATCTGGAAAGTAGAATTGACGATGATAGTAGGAAATAAAGAGAGGTTTCGGAGGGAATTGTTAATTTGATTTGATTTGATTTTTTTTTTTTTTGAATTGATAATTTTGAAAACAAGCATTGTTTTAGCTTTGGTATTCAAAATATATTTAGTTTAGAAGAATAAAGATTTTTGATTTAAATTTTTACAGTATATATAGATTAATTTTTTTTACAAAAAACATGAAAAGTATCATAAAAAAATAGCATGGATTTGTTTTATTTTATTTTATTTTTTTTAAATTATTTCAATAATCATTTTTTGGAAATGAAGGACCCTTTTAGAGGCCTGTCAACATCCATTGAAACCAAAGTGAGAACTGAAGAGATAATTTTTGAGGGTTAGGGGAAGAATGATTTTTTTTTTTTTTTTTTTTAAGGTTTAGACGGAGGTTAACATTAGTAGAGACTAAACTAAAAAAATTCTATAAGTGACACCACTAAATAAAAAAATAAAAAAAAAAAACATCCAAATTTAATCAGAATTTTAAGATGGAAATTCAACAAATAAAAATAAAAAAAGGACTTTAAATGTTTTCATATCAATTAAAAACACTTGTAAAAAGATATTTGATTCGACCCAGGATCGAACTGGGGACGTTCTGCGTGTTAAGCAGATGCCATAACCGACTAGACCATCGAACCAATTTCTATATTGATTTTTAACAGAATAGAAATGATATCTGGAGCCATAGAGAATACTAAGTATTTAATTTACTTGAGTGTTCATTAAAAATCACATTTCAAGTGTCTTAGATACGATAACTAATGTTATTTTGAATCTTTCAATTTTGGAGCTTGGTTTCAAAAGTTTGGAAATAAATGGATCGCTACAACTGCCAATTTGGAGACACGGGAACAGTTTCACGCATTTTGGTTAAGTGTCTTTTTCTAAAGGAAGAAAGAAAATTATTAAAATGAATATCTATAAAGATGTATCTATCCATTTCTTTGAAAAATTGATTGGCTTGCAAGGAGTTATAGGCTTTATTATTTCTTGGAGGGATTAAGCAATACAGTTACAGTGCTGATGAAGACAAGTGGAGATAGGTTAAGTTAGGGCTTCGACGTAACCTGAAATTATGATTCATTTTTGGGCTTAAGAGAATAGAATATTGGAAGCAAATTAAAATATTATAAAAACAAAAAAGTTATATGAAAAGAGTAAAAACAATAGTGTTAATTCTGATGTTATGTATTTATATAGCCATATAACTCTTGAATGAAAAAAAAAAAAAAAAAAAAAAAAAAACAGCTAAAAGTGGATTTTACTTTTTTTTGATTAAATTTTTGAAGTTTTTCTTGTTTAACTAATATATTATATTATATATATTGCAATATTAATTATTATCTCAGGAAATTAATTGTAAATTATAACCCGCTTAAATTTGAGCAAGTAATCAAGACTTTAATATTTTGATGGTATCAAAAGTACAAAACCAAGAATATGCAAATTTATAAGTTATTTAAGCTATTCCAATGACTACTTGATAGAAAATTTTGTATTTCATTATTTTTCTTTACTTTACGGGAAATGTTTTAAATAAACTGTTGTTAACTTTTACGTCTGGCATCAATTGGAATTTATAAATCTTGCTAGTCAGAACTGCTTATAAGCATGCAATTCTTACTGGTAAACCCAACAATACCATGATTTTATTAGTACAAAAATGAAAAATCAATCTCACTCTTAGAAGCACGTTTAAGATATTTTTTTTTTCTAGATTAGCTTATATACAAGCTCCAATTAAAGAAACAAAGTTTAAACTCAGTGAGACATTGCTTTTTAGTGAAATCGTTGAAATATTTTGCTTTTTTTTCGCAATTTTTTTTTCACAATCTTCTATTGTTTTACATAGACTAATATTGTTAAAATCATTTCATCCTATTTTTTTTTTCATTTAACTTTTCTTAATTTTGTTTTTTTTGTGAGCACTGTTAAAACAAATTTTTTTCTTCTATCTACGTTTTGCCCATAATTTTTTTTTTTCATTTTTTTTTTAAAGTTTCACCGCACAAGTTTGTGTGCGCAAGCTAAAACTCGGTACCCGGCCAAGGCGCACACAATGTCAAAGCCCAAAATCCCGAGCCCTATACTAACCACCTCAGTGGGATTTAATGTTTCAGTAATAAGGTCTCTGAGTCCCCATGTGACGGTTGTCGCGGCCACTGCGATCAAAAACAGACAAATCCCGAGAGCCAAGTACCGCTTCCCACGACGTGTGGAAACAAGTACTTCCCAATTAATCCCAGCCTCTGAGCCAAAAAAAAAGTCAAAGGCTCCTTCCATATTATCATCGTTTCCGTAGCGTGGCCAAAAAGGTGCTGATCCGAGTGACGTTGGGGGTCGTGATAGCAATGGCTCACTTGGTGATGGAGGCTGCACAAGTAAATAGCATGGTGAAGGAGTCAGTTGCTGTTGGCGATGATGTCGTGTGTATGGCGATAGCGGCGGCGCTGTAGACGATAATATTGGCGACAAAAACTGGCTCCCCGGAGAGACTGCGGCTGTAGGACCTCTAGGAGGGGAAGGCGGCATGTCAGGGCTAATGATCCCTTTGCTGCGGCCAAACGTTACCGGAACAAGCCCAACATTTGCGTTTCTGCGCGCGCGCGTCCCTGTTTTGGGACTTGCAGCAGCTGTTGTTATCGCCAGGGCCGCACTGCCAGAAGAGCTTGCGCATGAATTACATTGTGTCTCTTTAGATGAATTGTATGTACAGTTTGAAACAAACGACATGGTAGATTCAACGCTTGTATTGCGTGAGTGGCGCGATTGTAAAGGTGGCTGTTCTAATGGTGCACTGTTAATAGAGGTGCTCAAAACGATGGGACTATAGATGCGACCACTGGGACCCTCTCCAGCGCTGGATGGTCTTTTGCTATCCCAACTGGAGCTGTATTGACTCTTGAGCAATGACGGACTGTTTGACCTCTCAGGAGGGTTTGCTAAAATGGTTTCTGGTGTTCGTGCTTGTTCTGGCAACAGCACAGTAAACTGGCTGGTAGTTGGCTTCAGAGTCAATTGCTCTGCGCTTGAATCTGTTTCAATTTCTTCGTAAGCATCTCGTTGATTTTCAAGGTTCAATGCAGAGGGACTCAAGTTGATGGTTCCCAGGAAGGTTGCAGGTGTTGCAGCAGGTAGAATTTGAGGTGGCGATGGAATTCCGGAATTATGAAATGTAGAAAAGTTGGTTTGTTTTGTCGAACTGCTATTCATTGCAAATGTCATGTTGCGTCTTGGAAGGATTGGAGCGTGACGAGTTCTTAAACCGAGCTGTTGCTGCAAGGGCACTGGAATGTTATTTAAAGGTGAGATGGATTCTGAACCGGCAGCTAGAGAAAGAGGGTCACCAGCTTCAGGCTTTGAGATAGGAAATATTGATTTTGTAGAAGTTTTACTTGTGGGAGTTTTATAGCTAGGCGAACGGGATGCACAGTCAAAAGCACTGGAGGACTTTTTAGAGGATTTTTTGACCATGATTGAAGCAAGACAATTAAAGGGTTCCAAAAAAAAAAGGGATAAAGATTAAAAAAAAAGAGTTGAATTGTAGATGATGAAGAAGAAACGAAGATTGTTTTAAAATGAAAAACAAACGACCTTTAATATGTTGTAGAGAATTACCTAAAATGGCAATTTAACAAAAATTATTATCTAAAAGAAACTTCTATTGTACAAAAAAAAGAACAAAGTCATTATATCGTCATTATATATCTAATTGTATCAGCACCATAGTTTATAAAGATAGTAGAGATGACCACGATCACGTAGGCGCGATTTTTCTTCTGCAATTTCAAGCTGTAGAAGCTCAACATCAATCTCACGGCGACCCGTGTCAAGATCCATATCTTTGGCACGAATGAACTTGGTGCGGTAGTATATTTTGTAAAGCAAGTAAAATGCCAGAGTTACTGGAAGACAGAGGTATATCGAAAAGAAGTTTTCCGCGTCTGCCCTGCCGCCATTTGTTGAATTTACAGGGAATAGCGCGACCCAGACAATGGCAATGAGGACCAGCATATTGAGAGAAAACCCAATGACAGAACCCCAGACGCCGAGCGGAGCCTGAAAGATGAGCTCGTTGGTAGATCTATTTTGGACAGCCAAGGCACGGCGGAAACGGATGTGACAAAGGCAGATGGAGGACCAGGTGAAGATGCAAGATAGGCCAGAAATAGACATGAGCCAGATAAACATGGGGACTTCGGCAGAGCTACCAGCAGCAAAGGCAAGAGCACCAAACAAGCAGACAATTGTCAAGGCAATGATGGGCCGGCCAGCATTGTCAATGTATCCTAATTGGCGGGGAGCCATACCTTGGGCTGCCAGCGCAGCTAAAGTACGTGTACTAGCATAGACGGATGCATTACCAACAGATAACACTGCGATTAGGATTGCTGCATTGAAAACGGAAGGCAGCCCTGAGATGCCAGCGTTTTTGATAGCAATGACAAAGGGTGAAGCAGAAGCATCATAGTCAGAGGAGCCATCGATGAGTCTTGGGTCGTTATAAGGAACAAGAAACCCAATGAGGGTGAGGGAAAGAATGTAAACAAGGATGATACGCCAGCAGACCTGCTTGATGGCGGAAGGAATAGAACGGCGAGGGTTTCTTGTTTCCGCAGCGGTGAGTCCTGCCAGTTCCGAGCCCGAGTAGGAAAAGGCCGCGTTTACAAAAACTGAACAAACTCCTTTGAAGCCATGGGAAAAGGAACCTGGGTTGTGCCAGTATCGGGCACCAATATAGCCCTGATGGTTGGGGCTGCCGCCGGCGGCTAGCACAATACCCAGGATGATAAATCCGGCTAGAGCCAAGAGTTTGAGGGTAGAGAAGATAAACTCAGTTTCGCCGTAGATTTGGACGCCAAAGAGATTAAAAATCACAATAATGACCCAGAAAATGGCGACCCAAGCCTCGAGTGGAACTCCTCCAACGGTGCGTGTGCTTGAAGCAGATGAATCTGAAGTCGGGGCCCAGTACTGGATGGTGATAGAGGCAGCTACCAGTTCTAATGGAAATGCAACAACCCACTGGAGAACATAATTCCAGCCTAGTGCGAACCCCCACGCTGGGTCCAGGAACCGTGTGGAGTAGGTGGAAAATGCGCCCGAGACTGGGAAGCACACTGCCAATTCACCGAGGGCTTGGAGAGTGAAAAGAAGCATTAAGGCTGTGAGCATGAACCCAATGATTAATGCAGCAGGCCCACCTTGAGACAGGGACTTGCCGGAGGAAATGAAAAGGCCGGTGCCGATGGACCCGCCATATGCAATCATTTGAATATGTCTAGGCTTGAGTCCGCGAGCCAGAGGAGTGGTCGCTGTTCCAACGGTGGCTTTGTTGACGATGGAATGGTCTACCGTATCTAGATTAGTTTGGAGTTCAGCAAACTTAAACGAGTGAACGAACTGGCCTGCAACACGCGCCAGACCTGTTTTGTTTTCGTATGATGGGACAGACCCATCGGATGATAAAGCACCCGAAAAATGATGCGGATCTGACATGCTGAGGTCATGGGCACTGGAAACCGAGCTGCGCCGGTTGTGGACAAGGGTTTGTTTAGTGGGGCCTTGAGTATGGTGTTCAGAATAGTAATTTTTAGGAGATGGGTGGCCGTGGATGGGTGCATCTGAATCTGTTGTCGATGCAATCGTATAAAGCGGCATAATAATATGCTTTGTCTTTGCTGGGGACGTGTAGGAGGTCCCAGATGATGAAGTTTCCGATGAGACCGAAGAAGAATGATAGTGATGGAGATGCGGGCTACTTGAAGGTGATGATGCCGAGTAGATATGAGATAGTGCAGGACCAAATGCAGGACTTTGTGCAGGGCTTGCGAATGAATGAGTACGCGCCCGCGCCGCTCCTGCAAACCCTGGGTCATGTAAAACGCGAGTTGTTGAAGCCTGTTCGTTTGTGAGAATAAGTGCTGGAGTTTGGGGAGAAAACGTGGGTGAGCCGGTGCCGTGACTTTGTTCGTAGACGTGTCCTAGTTGATGATGATTGTTGTTGTTGTTGTTGTTGTTGTTGTTGTTGTTGTGATGGCGGTTGTTAGGTGACGCATGGTGGTGGTCGTGGACAGGGACTTGGTGCCCATCCTCTTCCTCTTCATCATCAAAGAGTTCTGCATCATAATCAAAGTCAAATGTGAATGCTGAAGTAACTGAATGCGCATCGGCTTCGTTATCATTGTCGTTGTTATTAGCTGAGGAAGGGTCCGCAGTTCTGGACGAGCCGTGAGCCGCATGGGTTCTTCTGGAGCCTCCACGAGCTCCGGTTGAACTACGTCGGCGGTCAAAACCACGCCCGGGATGGGATGATGATGTTGAATCTATGGCAAAGAGCGCTGCCAGTTTTTTGCGCATTTTCAAAAGTTTATTTGAGAGGCTGCAACACTACCAAGTAAGAGTTTGGAGATGTATATTGGTGGTGATGTTGATAATAGATGGATGGCGTATTTTATTTTACAAAGAAAGGGAAAAAAAAAAAATAAAAAAAAAATTTTGATGCGCAACTTTTTTTTTTATTTTTTTTTTATTTTTTTTTTTATTTTTTTTTATTTATTATTTATTTTTTTATTTTATGGCGCGCTGGAAAGCCGTTGCAACGGTTTTCCAAAAGTTAGGAAACAAACGGCGCATTTTTTTAACAAAATTATGTAATCTTATTAATCATCAAGAATTTTAAGATAACCAGATTTGTAAATACCACTACACAAAGACCTAATTGCCCAAGTTGAGTAACCCGTCCAAAGCACCATAATTGATCTTTTTGGACTTTTTAGAAACCTTGAGTACCTTACTACGTTCCATCATCATGTTCACAGCAACATTACGGGCATTCGCACTGCCTCCAGCTCCATCCTCTTCTTCCTGCTTGCAAAGTTGCGACCCAAGTGGGCGGTTGCCCCATCCGGACCGCGACTGCGCAGCACGTCTTTTCCGAGGCTCCTTGTATGTGCCAGCCTTTTTGTCTGCATCAATCTTGTTACGCCTATGAGCCTGCTCCACCTCGTAATCATGGTTCAACGAGAGCCACAGACGTTGCCGCCGTGCTACCTCAGCTTTTCCGCAGATGATATTGTCTAACTCGTCGTCATCAACATCGGAAAGATTCTCCGGGTCATCAGATACTTTGCTAACCCAAGTAGTTGGTTGGGACCCAGCAGCGGCATCAGCCGAATCTCGATATGTCATACGAACAACAGGGTGTTTGTGTCTGCGCAAAATTGCGTCAATGCGCTCCTGGCGTGTTAACTTGCGTCGTTTGGTAGCAGGTTCATCTGTGGAATTGTCTTGAGTTTTGGAGCCGGACTCGTTTTTGTCAGCCTTTTTGTCTGACGTTTCTTCCTCAGAATTTTCTTCATCCGATTTATCTTCGTCAGAATTTTGCTTTTCAACTTTGGTGATTTTTTTCTCATCATCACCTTCATCCTTATTATTCTCATCTTCCTCACCCCTACCTGTCTCGTCATTTTCATTTTTATTTTCATCCTTTTCATCTTCATCATCATCATCATCTTCATCATCATCATCTTCATCCTTATCCTCATCCTTATCCTCATCCCTATCCTCATCCTTACCGTCTTCTTCACCTTCACTTTTGTCTTCTTTTTCTTTTCCCCTTTCTTTCTCTTCATCGGAATGAAGCTTTGATTCTTTAACCTCATCTTTAACTGACTTTTTCTTTTCAAGTATTTCAAGCTCATCTTCACTTTCTTCCCCCTTTTCTTTGTCGTCATCTTCGCTTTCTTCTTCCTTTTCTTCGTCGTCATCGTCATCGTCATCTTCACTTTCATCTTCCTTTTCTTCGTCGTCATCGTCATCGTCATCGTCATCTTCACTATTAACTTGCTTTTCTTTATCATCCTCATCATCCTCATCATCTTTTTCTTCATCCTTATCCTTATCTTTATCTCCATTCTTCTCAATCTCATCACCAGCCTTTACTATACCCTTCTTAATATCATCTTTATTAGAAACAAACAAGTCCTCTTCATTGTCGCTATCTTCTTCATCACTCTCCTTTTCCACTTCTTTTTTCTTTTTTTCGCTGTCTTCATCGTCATCGTCATCCTTTTCCTTTTCATCCTCCCCCTCTTTTTCTTCACCTCCCTCACCATCCTCATAATCCACAATGCCCTCTCTCAGCTTTGCCTCTAGCCGCTTTTTGCGTCGTTCTTCTATTCTTTTGGCTTCAGCTTTTGCGGCCTCAATAGCATACAATGTAGCCCGACCCAGACTTTTGTTTTTAAAAGATTTTTCAAGAGGTGGCAAATTTCCTTCATCATCTTCTTCATCGCTTTCATCTTGGTAAGATTGTCGAGCCTCTTCTGCCATTTCCAAAATATCTTCCTCGGTATACTTTTCAAAATCATCTTCATCATTGCTGTCACCATCCTCATCCATATTTTCTGCAGTCAAAAGTTGAAGAGCATTTCTATTCCGCTCAACATCTCTATTTTTCAAATATGAAGGTGGGTCGGCCGTAGATTCGACATTAGTGGCGCGGAAATCCTTAACAGACAGTGTACCAGCCACCGTCGCCTTGAACTCTTTCAGACGCTTGTCAATAGTTGATTCTGATATCATGGCGATTTGCATAATGTGGGCTTTCGAACGCTTGAGGTTATTCATGCGGCAGGCAATAAGAATGCTAGCAGCAGCAATACCACCTGGTCGGCGACCCATGGCCATCCAATCCTTATCCATGCGTTTGATTAAACGGAAAGCATCATCATTCACCTTTTTCGAGTCTTCACTGGAGAAGTTAAGTCTGTTGATAAACTTTACAATGTAGATTGTGGGATCAATAGTGACGACGCGGCGAAGTTGCTCTGTGCCAAGCATGGGTCGGAGAAGCCGTAAAAGCTGGCTGTAGGTATTGCCCAGAATATAGACATTTACCTTGAGAAAAGTTGCAAACTCCATAATCATATGAGATGTATGCTGAATGCGGCATCCTAAGTAGAGACAGGCGCAAGTCACGTACTTGGACTTGCGTCCGCGAATAAAGTTCATAGAAAGTGCTAATTTGAAATTGGCGATAGCGGCCTGAATAGCAGGTTCCGGGACACGCAAGTAGTGAGCAACGCCATAAATTCGATTCCTAGCCTTTTCGATAGTGACTTCACGGCCGTTGCTATTGCCGTAAAGACCTCCACGGCCCGGGCCACTTTGGTCAGCACTGACAAAGGAACCGTTGACGATAGCAGCACCGGACGAAGACTCGCCAAAGGTCAGGTCGTTGACCATGGTTGATTCTTCCCAGACAAGACCACATTCTGTACAAACACCTCCGTCAAGTCTGGATCCGCAAGATTTGCATTTTCTTCCGTCCATTTTTGTGAGTTGTTTAGTTTAGATAAAGGGTTTTTTTTTATATTTTTTTTTATATTTTTTTTAAAAAAAAAAAAAAAAAAAGATGGTTGAAATGGAATGGATTAAAATTGGTGTGTTTGGACCACACAATTTTTTTTTTTTTATAAAGACGCGAAAAAACATCCGGAGATCATAATAAATTAAAAATATTATATAATTGTTATATAATCATATGTAATCAATTCATACGATTCTTATTCAACGCTTACAAATGTTGCATTATCAAGAAGTTGTATTTAATCAAAAAAAAATTGCCACACCTCCTTTCAAGGGTCCCGGCCCTTTCACGTGGGCCTGCGAGACCCGCTCAAGCACCGGTTCCAAAAAAGAACCCCAGTAAAGAGAAAATAATGACAAGATTGATTAAGATATGATAAGTCTAAGATTATTTTTTATTTTTTTTTTTTTTAACCATCATTCAAAAGCCAATCACGCATTTTCTTTTCAGAGCGCTCCTTTTGAGCCTTCTTGTACTTTTGCACTTGCTTCTTTGAGATTTTGTGGGCTGTATTAGAAATTCCATCATTCGATCCAGTTGATCCAATTGATCCAGGTTTACGTTTGAGCTGCTGTTTTGTGGTTTGTCGCTGCTCAAGTGACTGCTGGAGTACTGCTGCGTTTGCGCGTTGAATGGCGTCTTCCTTAGACTCTTGTTCTTCTTGTTCCTTTGCCAGTTGTTCCTTATAGTACTTGACTTTTTCCGCTTTGCTCAAGTTTTGGAAATACTCATCTTTTGCCAATCTTTGTGCCAGAGTTTGTGGAGTTTCACCAGTGTCTTTGGTATCTTTTTGTAGTTGATCTGGATCACTAGTCCTTTTTCTATCTGGGACAATAATGTCTGGCGGACGTTCTGGAACACCTTCTTCAGGCAATGGCGGCGCAGGAAACGATGACTGAGACATATCCGAACGAAACAGAGATGATTTTTTATAATGGCGATGACTATGAAAGCAAATGGAGTCCGGAACTCTCCGGATCTTTAAATATATATACTTTGACTGGTGGCTTGTTTTGGTGGTACCGAAAACCCGGGGAGGCTATTTTTAGCACAGCACACAAATTTTTTTTTTTTTTTGTTTCTTCCAGCACCACCAAAAAAAAAAAAAACCTCCTCTGCAGGGCCTCCCAAACATTTCCAACATGGCCTTTTCTCCTTGATTCTGAACTTTTTCTACATAAACAAGCCACTCAAACCTGTAAAAACAATAAGCAAAAAATTTTAAATACACAAATACACAAATACACAAATTCAAAAAATCTACAAACATTAAAAAACTATTCAAACTATTATTTATATTTTTTTCTGATTTAAGTACTATTTTTTTTTCCTGGCTAAAAGCCTATTTACCATGGACGCTCCTCCGCTCTGCAATGCCGCCCAGGCAATTTCAACGTCCTCTCTCATTGCCACTCTTCACCAGACGTTTGTGCATTCCCAATACCGCTCTCTCCGTCTCGATTCCACTTCATTTCTTGTATTTGGTCCAAATATTGAGGAAGCTTTTGTTGTTGGAGTCTGGGATCATGGCCGACGCCGTTCTGAAGACCAAACTATTGTTGTTCTGTAAGTAAACACTCAACTTTTGTCAACTTTAAAAGCTCTTTTTACATTTCTAACAAAATATTCTAGTCCCACTCATAATGCTGCTTCTACTTCCTTTTTTTCCACCGTATCGGCATTCCCTGGTGTTAATCCAGCGGTTCTTCAATCCCTGAATGTAATCACCCCTTTTCTTACTGCTTTGACACCTGAAAATCTCTCTCGCCGCTTTCACAATGGCCTAGGTGTTGCATTTTCTCTTTCCTCTACAGGCCAAATTCTTTCCACTCGTCTTAACATTGCTGAAGACCCACTATCTTCTTATGAGCAGTTACTCAACCTTCCATCAGCTCCAAACAACCGCGTCTTTGATGTCTTTTATCATGTTCTCCTTGCTGAGGCTGAATCCTACCAATCATACCTTTCTCTCAAATCAAGCCCTAATGAATACAAGCTCCTCGCTAAATCAAACACATATAGTCTCCCCGAATGGGTTCTTTTCTCTGATGACTACGCTCTCGCAAAGGATTGGAGTAACGCTCTGCGCCAATGTGGTATCAAGGGCTCCGTCTTGAGAGGCGTCCTTTCAACTCTTTCTGGCATCCTCCTCCTCGGCAACTCTTCTTCTCCTGATGATGTTGCTGAAGGTTGTTCTCTCATTGGTATAGAACCCGCCACATTTGAAAAATATTCTACTCAAGAACTCATCACTTCTGCATACTCGGCTCTCATTCACAATGTTGTAGCCGAACTAAACAAATTTCTTGCTGGCTTTGACCACTATGTCGACAGATCCGCCCAACCTCAAGGCCCCCACGACGATACTGAAGACGACCCCAATGAGGTTGTTTCTATTGTCACTATTGTCGAGGGAGTTCAGTCTTACAAGAAAACAATTCTTCATAATGTCTTTGACGACTCCTTTGGAATCAACAAGGAGCTTAAGGAAGACGGTATCAAGGTCTCCAAAACCCCAGCAAGCGTGCTAAAAACTATTAAAAAGCTCTACGAAAATGATCCCATGTCAACAAAAATTACCCGCCAGATTCCAAACTTCAGAGCTTTTTTAAACCCTTCAATCTCCTACATTGCAACATCTCCTGCTACTGCAGCTTCATCCCAACATAGATCAGAGCTCATCGAGGATGACGATTCATTACATCTCAATGTTGAATCTTTAATTACATGCAGCAGAGTTTGGACTGTTTTGAATCTTTCCCCATCTACTGACGCTGTTTCCCTTTCTAATGACCTCTGGTCCAGTCAAATTGTTTCTCAGCAACTTCGTGAATACATGGCCGTTGAATGGTCTGCAAAACGCCGTAACATTGACTTCTCTGCAGACTTTGACTTTTACGAGTTTCTTGAAAAGTATTCAGCAATTCTTCCTCCCAACGTCGGTGTTTTTAACTTGGAAGAATGGGCACGTTATGAAAAACAGTGGGGTCCTGCTGAGTTCTCTTGCGGCTCTGCAAGAATATGGCTTTCGGAACCCGTCTGGCGTGATCTTGAAATAGGCCTTGAAAATGTCCGCGGTTCTGGTGCAATGATTCCTATTCAAGGCGCTTCTGAGGGCTATGACCAATTCGGTAACCCAGTCATGGCCCCACCCCCTATTGCTGCTGGAATTAACCCATTTGAAACCGGCAGCGCCTTGTCTCTGACTTCCCGGTCTGTCATGCCTCAATATCAATATTCTCAACATACCCCATCATTACATCCTCAAGCATCTGCCCATAATCCTTACCAACAGCAACAACAATTCCAACAATCACAATCACAGTCTTCACAACAAAACATTAACGCTCCGTATGGTAATCAGTACGGCGCCTCTAACTCTAAAGAAAATCATGCTCTTCTTGACAACGATGTGGAAAGCTTTGAGCGAGACTCTGGAGATGAGGAAATGGACGATTACGAAAATGAACAGTATTATCTTAGCGAGTTTAAAGATGACATTGAAAAAGAAGCTGCTGGAAAACCCATTGAAATTATCCCCATGTCTTCTGAGCGTAAGGCCTGGGTATGGTTTGTATGGATGGTTACATTTTGGATCCCCAGTCCATTTTTGAAGTGGTTTGGTCGCATGAAGCGTTCTGATGTTCGCATGGCTTGGCGTGAAAAGGTGGTCATTTGCGGCTTTATCTTTCTTGTTAATGCTGGTATTATTTTCTACATGATTTTCCTTAGTAAAATTATTTGCCCTGAGTTTAACAAGGTTTGGAACATTAACGAGGTTTCTGAACACAATTCAGACGATAATTTCTATGTGGCTGTACATGGCAAAGTTTACGACATTTCAAAGTTTTGGCGCATTCAGCATTCCGATACTACGACTACAACTACTACTGATGTTATGAAACCCTTTGCTGGTATGGATCTTACCGATTATTTCCCTCCACCATTGACTGTTGCCTGCGAAGGCCTTGTCACTGATACTTCGGTTATGCTCAGTTTGAATACTACTCTTGATTATCCTGATGCTGAGCATAAGAGTGGTTCTTATTACGTTACTTCAAACACAACAGCTTTGTACAATTATACTTGGTACGATGATGTTTTCTTGCCAAAGATGAAAAACTATTACAAGGGTGAGCTAGTCGTTAAAAAGTCAGTCTTAAAAAAAGAGGGCCAAGATACTAGTAACCCACATTACTGGGCTATCATTGACAACAAAATTTATGACTTGGTTAACTACATGTATACTATCGACTTGTATCCGTCAAGTTATAGCTCTGTTTATGAAAAATATGAGTTCTTATACTCTGATCTTGTTGACTTGTTCCAGTCTAATGCCGGTGAAGATATTACTGAACTTGTTAACGATCTTGGCTGGGACCGTGCTACTCGTGTCAACAATATGAATTGTCTTCAAAATATGTTTTACGCAGGTGTCCCAGATTTTCGTTACACTGCCCGTTGTCAGGCCTCTAATATTATTCTGCTTGTTCTTGCTGCTTCACTTTCAATGGTCACTGTCGTCAAGTTTGTTGCCTCCCTTCAGTTTGGTTCAAAAGCCCTACCCCCACTTCAAGACAAGTTTGTCATTTGCCAGGTGCCGGCCTATACAGAAGATGAGGATGCTTTGCGTCGTGCCATTGACTCTTTAACTGCACTCAAGTATGATAATCGCCGTAAATTAATTACAGTAATTTGCGATGGTAACATTATTGGTTCCGGTAACGATAAGCCTACTCCCCGCATTGTGTTGGACATTTTTGGCGTTGATCCCAAGGTTGACCCTCCAGCACTGCCATTCCAAAGTGTGGGTGAAGGTGCTGCTCAGCTTAATTATGCTAAAATTTACTCAGGCCTTTACGATTTTGAAGGTGATGTTGTTCCCTTTTTGGTAATTGTTAAGGTTGGTAAACCCAGCGAGACAAGCAAGCCTGGTAACAGAGGTAAACGTGATTCACAAATTCTGCTCATGAGTTTCTTGAATCGTGTCCATTATCAGCGTCCTATGAATCCTATGGAACTGGAGATTTTCCACCATATTAATAATGTAATTGGTGTGGACCCGGAATTGTACGAGTATCTATTCATGGTCGATGCCGATACATCTGTTGCCGATGACTCCTTGAACAGACTTGTTGCTGCTTGTGCAAATGATTCACGCATTGCAGGTATTTGTGGTGAAACTGGTTTACAAAATGAAGAAAAGTCTCTTTCGACTATGATTCAGGTTTACGAATACTACATTTCACATCACCTCACTAAAGCATTCGAGAGTTTATTTGGATCAGTTACATGTTTGCCTGGTTGTTTCTCCATGTACCGTTTGCGCACACTTAAAAAGGCTAAACCCTTGTTTATCAGTGATGAGATTATCCGTGACTACTCGGTGGGCCAGGTTGACACGCTGCATAAAAAGAATTTGTTCTCTCTCGGTGAAGATCGTTATTTGACTACTCTGATGGCAAAGTATTACCCTCGTATGAAGTATACCTTCATTCCGGACGCTCATGCATACACACAAGCTCCCGATGAGTTCAGCGTTTTGTTATCGCAACGTCGTCGTTGGATTAACTCTACTGTGCACAATCTCGTTGAGCTGCTTCGTTTGAGAAACATGTGTGGTTTCTTGTGTTTTAGTATGCGTCTTGTTGTAATGATTGATTTGGCAGGTACCATTATGTTGCCTTCTGTGTGTGTCTACCTGGGTTATTTGATCTACGTTATGGCTGGTCACGTTGGTGCGTTCCCTCTTATTTCGATTATCATGATTGCTGCTGTTTACGGTCTTCAAGCACTTGTGTTTATTCTACGTCGTCAATGGCAGCATGTTTTCTGGATGCTTATCTATGTAGCTGCCTACCCGATCCACTCATTTATTCTTCCCATTTACTCTTTCTGGTACATGGATAACTTTTCCTGGGGTAATACACGTATTGTCGTGGGAGAAAAGAATGGCAAACAGATTGTGGCAGTTGACGATGAGGGATTTGAGCCATCCATGATCCCTCTTGAAACATGGGAGTCGTACGCTACTCGTACAGGTATTGAAGGTGCCATCAGAAACATTGTATTTGATGAATACTATGGCCGTATCAGTAATATTGCTGGTGTTAACACCGAAATGCAGGATTGGAATACAATTAAGCCAAGAGGCCATATCAATGCTATGATGAATGGATATGATGCCAGTGGCGCCCAGTCTATTTACTCACGGCCTGATTATGCACCCTCGCAACATACATTTTCACAATTCAGCATGGCAGGACCTCAAGGTTCTGGTGCGCAATCAGCTGCTGCAAGTAGGTACATGTCTCTTATGGGGCCTGCACCTACAATTGGTGGTTCTACAGTGGGTTTGCCTACCGCCACAACACCGCTTGATCCTGAGCGTGAGGCCAAAATCAGCGTTACGATACGGCAGGTGTTGCAAAGTGCTGATCTTGATAACATGACAAAGCGACAGCTCCGTGCCCGGGTAGAGGATTTAATGGGTGTCACATTTGTCGGAGACAAGATTGCTTATGTTGATCGGTTGATTGATGAGGAATTGGAAAAGTTGGATGACGAAGATAGTGACGACGAAGGCGCAAAATAAAAGGAGTTTTATGGGGAAAAAAATAAAAATAAAAATAAAGCACAAAAATATTTATAGTTATGGTTGTATTTAAGTAAATTGTATAAAAAAAACTGGGAAATTAATTATTTAAAACATATTTAATTGAGTAATTTTACGTGATAGTTTGGTTTGAATAAACATGACAACCAATGACTGCGAGATGAATATCTTTAAAAAAATATTTCAAATAGATAAAAATTTTACATTTTTTACATCATTATGACTAAAGAACATGTTAAGTAACAAGTTTTTCAAAAATATTTTTTTTTTTAATGTGCTTATTCAAAATAAAAAAAAAACTATAAAAAACAACCCAGTACAAAAATAAACAAAGCATGCAAATAAAAAAATAACTTTTTTGAAGTGAAAGAAAAAGGTCTCACGATAATATCCAGTCACGGATTTGACTCTGGTGAAGATCAACTAGCGACTGGACATCTTTAAGAATTAACCGACACACAACCTTGGCCACAAAGACGCAGAATGCATGCACACCTTGAGCATGCTTGTCTGCATTGGGATCAAGTGACTGGTGCTCTGAAAAATCATCAGAACTAGAGGAAGACGATGCCAAGGGTTCCAGGATAGCAATAAGGTCTGTAATTGCTGCAATGTAAGATTGGAGAGTGGTGGTTGTAGAAGGTGTGGGTGTCACAATTTTCTCGCTGGATTTCGATGAGCTTGTGGGCGACGTACTGCCACTGGACAATGTTGTTTTCATTGGCATGGAGGCCAAATTATTAGAGGAAACAGATGAAGAAATCACATTTCCAATATTGGAGCTGCTACTTCCTGGGCCACGTTTGCGCAAACGATTAGTAGTGCCTACCGAGCCGTTTGATCCCGACCCTTGAGAATGTTTCTTGTGTGCGGATCCTACTGGAATTTTGGATGGTGCAGGTTCCGCCGGCGAGTCAGGTCCTGCAAGTAGTGTCGTGACCGAAGAATGACGCAAAAAGGAAGTCGACGATGGAGACAAAGCGCGAACATGAGCTCCACTCTGAGGTGTTGGTGATACGGCTGAGGTACCTGCGCCGACCGTTGCTGTAGACTTGTTAGCTCCAAGAGCGGCTAGTTTGTCGCTGTAAAGTGCATTATATGCACTAGTAGCACTATTACCTGTATAACCGTGGTGACCAAGGCCAAACCCTAGACTATGGGCATAAATATGTGGTGCATATGGTGATGTTGAGGTATTTGTGGAAGCGCTATTTCGGCGGCTCAAGCTGAGATAAGTTTGTTTTGGTGGAGAAGTTTGTAAGGAAGTTGCTGAGCTAGCGCTGGACGTTATTGAAACTGATGATGACGCAGAAGAAGTGGATGAAGACGACGACGAGCTAATGGGAGACGGACCAGGGGTAGAGGGAGCAGTTGTGATATCATGTTGGAGCACTGAAGACAATGGTTCAATGAAAGCAACATGAAACTCTTGTTCCAAAGCTGAAAGTTGTAGAGTTTGGCGTGACAATGTTTCAGATGATGCCGCCACCGCAGGTGAACTGTCATCACCAAAAAGAAGAGTGCCGATACGGGTAGCTTCGTGAAGGCATTCAATACGGCTATCCAAAAGGCGAGCTCCAATGCTTGCATCAAGCGAGCTCCACATGCTTCGGGGGAGAAATAAATGTGCGGACAGAGATAACCCTACTGGTTGAGAGTTGGAAGATACCACTTGGCGAAGAAACCATATTGGAGCAGCCAGTGTTTTGTTTTCGGAAAAAGAAGAAGAAGAAGAAAAAGGAGGAGGAGGCGTACGTGTAGATGTTTCGCTAATTGACCCACTAAACGTGGCCGAAAATGGTGAAGATGGGAGGAAAGAAAGAAATGTGTTATCAAAATCTGGCATATCAAGACCTGCATTTTCTGGTACGCGCACAAATTCCCATGTTGGTGTTGGATGTGCACGAGAAGACAATTGTGTGTGCTGCTGACGAGCAGACAGTGATCCAGAATTGGTTGAAGAATGAGTGACGCTGCTACCTGTACCGCCTAAAGTCACAGAGCTGTTATTAGGGTTGGCCGCACCAAGACTGGTGATGCTTGCTGATGAGCTGCTTGCTGAGCTGGCTCTCCGGAGAAGACTAAGATCATGGGTTGATGGTGATGTACGGATTGGTGTAAGAGATGTTGTTGAGGGCGATGACGTTGGCAGTGCCTGAGAAAACCAATTAGGAGAAGATGTAGACTGTGATTTTTTGTGACGGTGACGGCGTGGAGGTGTAATTGAGCTTCCAGTTGACCCACCTCCCGATTGGCCAGCATTTGAAGACCCGGATCCCATGCCAGATGGTCCGCCTTCCTTTTCTGAAGAAAATAGACTAATAGAAGAAAGTCGGGACGAACGGATTTTAGAGGAGAAATTTGAAGACATGTGTGACAAGGAGGGACGTTTTTCTAGTGTTGTCGTGGTGTATGACGTTGTTGGGCTGGATGATGCTGTCGAAAGACGCCTTGAAGATTCCGTTGATTCTAATAAGGGATTGTCCGTAGATGATTCGTTAGGAGATGATGATGCACTCTTGGGCTTGCTGCTTTTGGTGCGCTCTGTTTTTCGGTGAAAAAACCGAGAAGACTCCTTTATTGTTTGCTTCAGTGAGACTGGCTGCAAAGCTGGAGTTGGAGGAGATGTTTGGAATGATTTACTGTTACGTTTGCGTAAAGAAAGTCTGTGGCGAGGGTTGTTTGATGTTTCCAAAGATTGTGAATCTGTATCATCTGAAGAACGATCCTTAATACGGTCAGTAAAGAGTTGAAGGCTAGAGCGCTTGGTATGTAGCGTGCGAGCATCTGATGAGGAGGATGAGGATGCAGATGATGCTGTGGACGAAACTGTGGAGACTGTAGATACAGATGATACCACAGATACACCTGTAATTGTGGGAGCCAAAAGACCAACTGGAATTGATCTGGATGGTGAAATCCCATGACTGGGTCCATGTGGATGGTGTCGAATGGTTTCTGCTGGCACAAATGCAGAGGTCGACGCCGATGCAAGACTCCGGAATGAGTTACCAGTAGGAGAAAGTGACGACTTGGAGGCCTTTAAATCAAGGTATGAAGCCGACTTAGGCAATTTACGTGGAGCTGGTGTTGTGGTTTGCCCTTGTATTGGAGCAGAAGCATTGGCTGAAAAGGTTGGATGCTCGAGCATAGAAGGGCTCTGAATGGCTTCATGAAAGGACTCATCTGAAGAAGAAAGGGTTGGGGAAGGAGATTCAATTCGGGCTGAAGAAGCAGCCATAACAGGACCCAGCGGCACTGGGGAGAGTGTAGACATGTAGTTGTTGATGTGAGTGTAATGGTGTTGTTGTTGGTTTGTGAAATGGTTATGGTGGTGGTGGGTATTAAATCCACTAGTGGTGCTTGCAAGGTGCCCCCCTGAAACGGAAGTAACGGAGGTAGGTATGCCAGCCGAAGGATAAGGTTTTGCATATGGAGCACCAGAAGAGGCAACAGTCACCGCTGCAGCAGAAAAAAACGGAGGTTCGTCGTCTGATCCGCTAGTTGCAATAGCAGGACCAACAGGTGTGAGAGAATCTGAGAATGCAGTTTTAGAATTTGTAGCAGAGCGTGATAAACCAAACGAGTCTTCGACAAAGGACAGCGCGTCGAGATTAAGTGGAGTGGGCCTACGTTTTGTGTAGGGAACCTGGTTTACGGCTGCTGCTGGTTTTGATTGTTGGTATTTTTTGGGGGAAGGTGGTCTGGAAGAAATAGATGAGACTGGAGAGGATCCCGGAGAAGAGAGACGCATATTTGGAATAGATGCATTTTTACGAAGGCTACGTGGAGCTGGATGAGTAAGAGGTCGGTCAGAGGAAACTGCGGTTGGAACTGGAATGCTTGTAGTCATTGCGGCAGTCGCGTATAGATGCGAGAAGGAGCGAGAGTAGTTGAGAGTCTTTGGGCGTTGTTGTGGTAGTTGTTGCTGTTGGTTATGATGCTGGCGTGAAAATAATGAAACAGTAGATGAAGATGTCGCAGAAACTGATGATGACGAAGAGGATAATGAAGAGGAAAAAGAAGAGGAGGAAGAAGAGGAGGAAGATGGTTTGCTGTTGTTTCCTTCAAAGGCACTGGCCAGAACTCCTGCTGCTAGTTTTTGTTGCCCGGTGGTGCTGTTGTTGCTACTGCTGGCCATGGTGTTTGCATGATTTTGGTTGCCTTGAATGGAATGGCGTGCGGCCTGGGGTTGCATGAAACTGAAATTGAGGTTGGAGAAGGTGGAGGATCTCCGGGTGCGTTTTTTTGTTGTTGAAGAATGAACAGAAGAAGGAAATGATTGAGTTGATGCTGGGGCTGAAGCAGGGACTGGTCCAAACGACGGCCCTAGCGACTGCGCTAACGGAGGCACTAGTGATAAGGCTGGTGCAAAAGACGGGGTTGGAGTCGAGGATGGAGCGGCGCTAAGATCTGCTAGCCGCCGCGACGACGCTGAAACAGTGATGTTGCCACTCCCATTACTGGCTGATGTGAGAATGCTTAAGTGGGAGCTGTTTGTACCAACACGAGCAATTGGGGTGCGGTCTGGTGAATCACAGTCGCTACTATAATATGGACTTGTTTCGAGAGCAAAAAGATCACGAAGGTCATTATCAAATTCAGCAAGAACGGTTCTACGAATTTCATTGGGAGTTCCTGAAATAACACCGTGAGAATCTGGGTTTGTGATAACGGTGAATGGATTATTTGGCAAAATAGAGAAGCGGGGGTTACGCGAGGAGTTCAATGGCGGGGTGACTGTGCCTGGGTTTTGCTGAGAAGGGAGAGGATTTGAATCAATTCTGGAGTCTATGCTAAAGTTTGTATTTAAGTCTAAGCCCAAAAGCTCTCGAGTAAGACTGTCTGAGTTGGTATAGTGGCTATGAGTGGTATCATCTTCAATGTTACTTATGCTTCCTAGTAGCGGTTCCGTAGAGGAGAATGAAAGGTCGGCAAGCCTGGCTGTGGACGAATCCGAAAAGGAGGAGTCTCCTTCGTCATCAGGCATGTTATCTGCAAAACCGCTCCGGATATGGGGATTTTATAAACGAAAGAGGGTTGAAAAGGTGTCAAGCAGGCTAACAGGCAGACAGACCGACGAAAACTAGAATGTTGAATGTTCGAAAGAAGAAAACTGGAGGTTTTGAAATGATTAGAAAATTAATTAATTTTTTTTTTTTTTTGAGGTCGAACACATGCAAGGGGGTGGTTTATTGAAAAAATTGTTACCAGGTAAGTTATAGTGTATAATGTGTTATTACAAGTATGATACAGTAAGTTTACAATCTAAATACAAGTCAAAGTCATAAGGCATAAATTTCAGGTCTTAAATCACAACGCCCAAAGACGAAAAGGCCACGGCTCACCCAATCAGTCGTGGCTCGTGTTGTTTTGGCGGTCACCAAGGTCGCCAACACCAGGCAAAATGTAGCCTGTTGCCGACAGCTCATCATCAACAGCACCAACATACAATTCCAGCAGGCCATCTTCAAAGTCCTTGGGTGACAATTCCTCAAACAAACGCGAAATGCCTGCACTGGATGCAATGACAGAGACAAGATAAATCTTCTTGACACCCCATTCCTTGAGAGTGGCCACGACGGCCTCTGCAGTACCACCAGTGGCAATCAGAGGGTCCAGGACAAAAGCAGTGTCAAAAGGCTGCTTAGGAAGTTTGTTGTAGTATTCAACAGGGCTCAGAGAGATTTTTTCGCGAAACAGACCCAGATGGTACACTGGGGTTTCCGAAGAAGGTAAGAGAGATAAAAAGGCTGTTAAAGTTAATAGAGTATTTTTTTAAAAAAAAATAAAAAATAACATACAATCAACCATGCCCAAACCTGAGCGCAAAATAGGAATTAAAACATATGACGATGGAGATGCCACAGCGGTGGTATAAGTGGTACCAGTTGCTGATACTGCCTGAATAGAAATATGGTTAGTTTTGAAGATTGATGACATATATATAAGCACATACAGAAGGACCTGGTTGAACAGAAAAGGCGTCACCAGAGACCCAAGCTGCCAGCAGCGATGAAATCTCGCTCACAAGTGTGCGGGTATCCTTAGCAGAGCCAGCCTGTCTAAGCGCTGAAATTTTAGCGTGGAGAACAGGGTGGGAAGAGACGTGAACGTTTGAAGGAAGAGAAGAAGAAGAAGACATATTGAAAGATGAAGAATTGATGAGTTAAAAAAAAAAAAGAAAAGAAAAAGGAGGAAAAGGAAGAAGATTTGAGATATTTAATATTCAGATAGGAGAAAAAAAAGAGAGAAAAAGAGGAATTGATGAAAGAGTTTTTTGGGAAATTGCTGGCTGAAAATATTTGTGGGAATTTGGCTGGTATTTATACCCCGCGCGCTTATCTTATCGGCCGCCGCCTCCTTTTTATTAGACATCATGGAAAACCTCACTGATAAGCACTCCCCCAGTCGGATATAAATACCGGCCATCCCCCCACAACAGTAATAACAATAAATAACAACAAATAAAACAAAACAATCACAACCTCCTACAAACTTTTTTTTTCTAACAAACCACAGCTAAAATCCTTATCAATTCCTCTTAATAGATAATATATAAAAAAAAAAAAAAAACTATGACCGATACCCAGCACGCTAAATACCTTCTTTCCATCCCCTCTGTACGCGAGCGTGCTCAGTCTGTATTTGCAAAGGCAACCACTACTGGTCACGGAACTGCATTTACCATTGATATGACTCGAGTCCCTGATGTTGTTGATTGTGTTGTGCGGCTCATAGCGCGCGACTACGGAACAGACTATGCCGCAATTCCTCCCCATGGCCGCTGGCAACACTTTAATGTTGGTGGAGTCGATCGTATAACACCTTTAGTTGAGGCATGGATTGCTGCTGGTGTTGCTAATGATGATGTTGCTCGCAGACTGCTGGACCTCTTTGTTGTGTCTGTGTTACTCGACGCAGGTGCTGGAAACAAGTGGGTGTATCATGATGCAGCTAGTGGATCTACTTATAACCGCAGTGAGGGTATTGCAGTGGCGTCGTTGGCAATGTTTGCAAATGGCGCTTTTTCTGCTGACTCTACACAACCGTTTCAAGTCAATGGCAATGCCTTGTCGGCACTGTCTCATGAAACTCTTGCTAAGGGTATGCAGGCATCTGAAGAAAATCCCATGGAGGGCATTGCTGGACGTGCATCGCTGATGCAACGTTTAGGGTCTGCACTTACAGCCAGTCCGGAATACTTTGGAGAAGATGCACGGCCAGGAAACTTGCTGGGGTACCTCCTACAGCATCCCACCACCACCACCACAACAACAACAACCTCTCCAGGCCCAGTCATCCAATTGACGACTTTATGGGACGCACTCATGGCTGGTTTAGCTCCCATTTGGCCTGCAGGTCGTACGCAGTTAGCTGGAGTTAGTCTAGGTGATGCATGGCCTTGTGAGTTGTTAAATACACCAGGGTCTGAATTTTGGGAACGTATTACCCCGTTCCATAAACTTACCCAGTGGCTTTGCTACTCACTTCTTGTTCCCATTAAAAAGTACTCCGGTGCTACATTTGTGGGAGAAGAATTGCAAACAGGTTTGCCAGAGTATCGTAATGGCGGTTTGCTTGTGGATCTCGGTGTGCTCACGCTTAAACCCGAAATTTTGGCTGCGGGGCTAGACACGGCCCGCGTCAACAATGCATCATCTTTTGGCAAGCCGTACGAGGTACCAATGTATACGCCGGACTCGGACGTGATTGTCGAGTGGCGCGCGCTGACTGTTGGATTTCTTGACCATTTGCTCCCCCTCGTAAACGAAAAACTCGGCACTCAACTATCCTTGGCCCAGCTACTTGAGGCCGGAACTTGGAAGGCTGGACGAGAAGTTGCTGCTGAAAAACGACCAGAAACCAAGGGCCCACCTATTGATCTTCTTTCAGATGGTACTGTCTTTTAAAAGAGAAATTGAAAGTGGGATTATGTCCATGTCCAAACATTTATATAAATCTTGCATCTCTGTAATTATTATTATATATATTATACCTATACTATGTACATCAAAAAAAAAAATTTTAATCATAAATCATCAATCATCCATCATTTACTCCTGTTCCAAAACAATACCGACCTTGGCAGCACGCAGAACACGGCCATTGAGCATAAAGCCAGTTTGTTGAACAAAGAAAACGGTGCCGGGCTCCTTGTCAGCCTGTGGCGCCTGGAAAGTGGCCTCGTGAAGGTTGGGGTCGAACTTCTCACCAACGGGGTTAATTTTGGTAATACCGTACTTTTGAAGAGTCTTTTCAAAAACATTTTGGGTCATCTTGACACCTTCGTATAGATCAATGATCTCTTTGTGCTCAACGGGATCATTTCTCTTGTCCTCAGCAACGACTGCCAGTGCACGGTCAAAGTTATCAACAGATTCAAGAAGATCCTTAGCGAACTTGGTCAGAGCGTAGTCCTTAGCATCGGAAACCTCCTTGACAGTACGGGTTTGCAGGTTCTGGAAATCAGCAACAGCACGCAGGTACTTATCCTTGAACTGAGCAGCCTGTTTATCCTTCTCATCAAGCTTAGTCTTGCATGAATCCAGCTCCTTTTGCAGAGGGTGGACTTCACCAGCCTCAGCATCGGCATCCTCTTCAGCGGGCTTTTCCTCAGCCTTTTCGGCCTTTTCGGAGTAAAATCTTAGCGCAGGCATAGCAGCACGCATAGTAACGGCGCTAGCAACAGGGCGAGCAGCAGCAAGAGTTCTTCTAGGAGCACTAGCGATGATGGATCTCAACATTATGGATGGATATTTGATTGTTGTTATTGTTGTGTTTTGGTATGTGATGAAATTTTCAAACTTGCTGTGAGTTATATGTGTAGGTTAGAATCCAACAGAATTTTTCTGGCAGCAAAAAAAAAAAAAAAAAAAATTGTAATAATATAATTTAATTCATGGCCACACTACCACCACCTAAAATTTTTCATCATTGAGCGCTTTTCGTTGGTTGGCCGTCCCCGCACACAACCCCGCCACACGACCGTCTTCCCCTAACCCTGATCAGCTCTCTACCCAAGGCCGACCCGGAAAAGACCCGCTTGGCCATTGCCCTAATAATAAGCGGCTGCTGCTACTGTTGGCTATTACTCATCATATCCACTTCCACATACACATCCAGACCAAAGTATATCCACAAACTGCTCACCCAAAGACCGTCCATCACCACCTTCCCATCCAACTACCCTCTTCTGTCTCAAAATCCTGCCATCAGTCATCTTGCTCATGAACACCATCTACGTCCTATATGCCTCGGAGACTGGAAACTCACAGGACTTGGCTCAGTTGCTGGCTGCTCGTCTTCGAAGACTCGCTGTTGCCACCGGTCCGGCCATCTCTGATCCGACCGCTCCTATTGGAAACATCATTGTTTCTTCGTTCGATGATGCTCTTCCAGGACTTGTAGATCTTCTCAATACTCATCTTGAATCGCCAAATGCTTCCAAATCAAATCTAAACCTCTTTTTCCCACTCGTGTCCACCACAGGTCAAGGCGAAATGCCCCGATCGGCTCTTCGCTTCTGGAGATTCATCCTGCGAAGAAACCTTCCTTCAACTCTCTTTTCTAGATTTTTATTCTCATCCTTTGGCCTGGGTGACTCTTCATATCCACGATTCAACTGGGCTGTCCGCAAACTCCATGCCCGCCTACTCCAGCTTGGCGCTTCCGAGATTGGTGTTCAGGTCCCGCGAGCAGAGGCCGATGAGCAATCTTCCGATCCTTCAACTGACAAGGTCTACCAAGAATGGGAAGATCGCATTGTTGGTTACCTTGAAAGTCTCGACGCCTTTAAGGACCCAAGTACTGGCGTTGGACTTCTCAACGCAATTCCAGACGATACCATTTTAGATCCCGTCTACCCAATCTCTTTAACTGAAAATGAATCATCACCCCTAGATCTTTTACCTGAAAATATTCTTGCAACTTCTGTAACTCGTGTGGATTCTCCTAAAGTCTTCCCAGCATCCATCACATCGTTGACAAGAATATCTGCTCCATCGCATTACCAAGATGTGCGTCATCTTTCACTCAAGTTACCCGAATCTCTGCAGTACTCCCCTGGTGATACTCTCGCATTATACCCGTCCAATTCTCCGGCTGACGTTCAGGCTCTTTTAGACCACATGGGTTGGGCTCCTCATGCAGATAAGTTGATTACAGTCCCAGCCTCCTATATCGCCAAGGTTTCACCATTTGGTGGAAAGCTTGTCGAACCTTTGACTCTGCGGAACCTTGTTCTCCATCACTTGGACATCATGTCTGTTCCTAGACGAAGTTTCTTTTCCGCAATCTGGCGTTTCTCTCAAGTTTCTGAAACCATAGAACCAACTGTCCTAGATCCCTCGGGAAAAAAAGATCCAAATTCACCGGAACATGCAGTCCTCGAACGTGAAAAACTTAAAGCCTTTGGATCTCAAGTCGACGACGATACCCTTCAGGACCTCTACAATTACGCCAACCGACCTAGAAGATCGATTCTTGAAACTCTTCTCGAATTTGGCTCCCTTGGTAAGGCCCCGGACGGTTCTCCAAGAGTCCCAATCTCATACATTGCCGATATCTTTCCAGTCCTCCGACCACGTCTCTTTTCTATTGCCTCAGCGCAAACAGGAACCACTGCTGAACTTTGCATTGCCATTGTGCGCTATAAAACAATTCTTCGCCGCACTCGCCGTGGCGTTTGCTCTCGTTGGCTTGAAGACTGTGTTGCGCCAGCAGTGGCTGCGCGTGGTTCCGTTCCAGTTGCTATTGCACTTCAGAAAAACCACCTTTTTAAATCTGCACCTCCACAACTGGCCGCAGCATCTGTCCCCATACTGTTAATCTCTGCAGGAACCGGTGTAGCACCTGTCCGAGCACTTGTTGAATACTATCGTGCCAAGTTTGCTTCAAATCCAGAGGCGTTCCCAGAACTTTACGTGTTTTTCGGATGCCGTGCACGTGGAGCTGATTTTCATTACGCAGCTGAATGGCAGGCTTTGCTTCAAGATCCTGTCATTGGGCCAAAAGTCCATCTTTATGTGGCCTTTTCACAGCCTAACTTGTCGCCTGCCAATGCCCCTACTCTTGACTTTGGGCCCAACTACAATATCCTCGAGGGCGTTCATTTGCAAGCCCATATCTACGCCCAACGCACTCGTATATCCGAGCTTCTCCGCGACCGTGCAGCTCTCGTTTATCTCTGCGGGTCTTCCGGAAAGTTCCCCACAGAAACCCGTTCGACTCTTATCACTGCCTTGACTGAAACTCTTGGTGGATATGACACAGCTTCCGAAAAACAAAGTGAAGAACTCAAAGAGTCAGCAACACAATATGTCCATGATATGGAGCAGCAGGGCCGCTTTATTCAGGAAACTTGGTAGAGAAAAAAAATTTTTTAAATACATTTTATAGACATCTTTTTTTATACACTTATTAATTGTTTATTTATTTCTTTTTTCATTATTCTTCGTTGTCACTGCTGTGGCTGCTTTTGCTCGTCTTTTCCTCATCAACGCTAATAATGGTGTCGTCATCTGCTCCAGTATCTCGCATAAATAGCATCACTACAACCAGAGTCACTGATATGCAAAATGCGACCCACGCCGCACCAGTCACACAAGTTCCTGCACGCATCAAAGAGCAGCTGACGCCAGCCGTGCCTGCCGAACACGCACCGACCCAAGCTGCCTGTGCAACAAGTTCGACAGCAGCTCCCAGCCACGCTGCCCAAGTCACAACCTCCAACACCAGTGAGACCCAGCGGTACTGTGCAGCAGTTTCCAGCGCTTTCCAGTTTCTGAGGGCAACAAACAAAATGCCAGTTGGTGCTAAGATAGAGTGTGCAATGCCCCATGCCGAAACAGCAGCGGCGTAGATTTCGTGAGCATCAAAAAGACGTAATGTCGCTGATATCCGTACAAACCGTCGCCCAGAGTCTAAATGTGAGAAAGTGACTTGGTAAGTCTCGCGAGCCATAATGGCCACTTGGAGAGCAAGACAAGTTGCAGCCAGTGTTAGTTGTAGTGCACGAAGGGGAAGTAAAAGTTGAGAATATGTGATTGTTCGAAACATTGAAAGTTATTATTGTAAATGAAAAAAATATATATAGTGGATGAAGAAAAAAAAAAAAAAAAAAAAACAGGTGGGAATGGTTTCATTTTTATATGGAATACCTAGCAAAGGAATAAAAAAATAAAACCTCCGAATTAGGTTGGCATGAATTTGAAATTTAATGTAAAAATGAATACCAGAAACAACTCGTTATATAACGGTGTCGATTATAATGCACCGTAAAATAAAACAAATACAAGTGAAAAAAACTTACTGAAAAATAGAGAATGGTATTATGTCTGAGAAATTTTACCTAAATTTTTTGTTTAAATTTTGGTGCATAAATTGATTCTTTTTTTTTTCATGGAAGGGAAACGTGATGTTGATTATTTATATAGATAAAGCTTGATAGAAGTCGCATCAAAAATGCCCTTAGCCACTTCTCCGAAACAAAATAAAACTTTGATTCATATGAAACAATTTTTGGAATTTCTTTTCAACATTATAAATTTAATGAGCCTTTTACACCTTTAAGACTAAATCAACTTTAAAAAAAAAAAATCAATACTAATGATGAAATCTCATCGTTAAACTTGCAATAATATTTCTGCAAAAAAATTAATTGCGAATTCTGTGGATCGAACACAGGACCTTCAGATTTCAAGACCAAAGTTGTAACTTCAGTCTGACGCTCTCCCAACTGAGCTAAATCCGCTTGTAATTGTTGTTGCATAAAATCAGCACGGCAATCCTTGAATACGAAACTAAAAAAGCAACTAAACAAACAAACAATAAGCCGGGCTAAGGGGAAAAGGGCTGGATGGTGTAAAGGATAACACGTTCGCTCGAAAGCGGAAGATACTGGGTTCGATTCCCAGAATACCCCCTTTTTCCTGAGGATGTGTACGGGAGTATTCATCTAGACTGAAAACCATAGGCTACCCTGGTTACAGGAATGCCGACTCTTCCGTACAGTCTAATAGCCTGCAGGTGATTGCGAGCCGTATCTCTGACGGAAGAGATTAAGAAATACATGGGCGTCCGTGAAGATAAGTGGAAATGGGTTGGGAAGGTTTTGGGACCGACAGACTGGTTCTCCCTGTTCCTCGTAAGCTGGCATCAGGGCCCATCTTCCGGGCTACCGGAGACGCACAGAACAGAAACCACCCGTACTAAAAAGGTACAAATGAAAACCGGCAAGTCACATAGTCAGACAATAAAAGGATAGCGCAGATGCTGATGTTATATAGTTCTATAACCCTTGAATAAAAACAAACAAACAAAGCAATTAAGAAAGGAATTAATAAAGGAATTAATAAAGAAATTAATAAAGAAATTAATAAAGAAATTAATAAAGAAATTAAGAAGCAGTTAAAAAGTGATTAAGAAGTGATTAAGAGGTGATTAAGAAGGTATTATTAAAAAGAATTGAATGAACATATATAGTCGTATATTTCCATAGTTTTATCAGTATCTAAAGATATTTACATCAATACAATAAGTTTTATATTAAACTATTAGCTTGGTTCTTTCTTTGGACAATCCGACTTTACTCTCATACGATAACTCCATTACAGAGAAATAGCATGTTCAACAAATCTTTGAAATTACATTTCTGCTGAATTTAGAATACCATTATTTTAAGCTTATGTGGCATCAAGACCTATTTTCAAGTTGTTTGAAATGCAATGTTAAAGCCAAAATTAAAAGTTTATTATGAAAATAAAAAAAAATATGTAGTATGGACAAGAAGGATAGCACAGATGCTGATCAGCATCATAATGATATATTATTCTATAACCCTTGAATAAAAACAAATAAAAAATTTTGATTTTTATAATTTAAATTAATATTAATGGTATACTATAAAAAATTAAGAATTATCTGGTATAAGCGATAAAAACAGAATTCTGTCATTCGAATGGATGTTGATGTTATATTATTCTATACCCCTCCGATAAAAACAAACAAGCACTGTTTTAATAATCTTAAAAAAAAACAAACAGAATATTATATTTTCAAAAATGAAGATTTAAATTGACTTTTTGTTAAGGATTAGTTTTTTATGTTCAACTATTAATAATATCATTTTAAAAGCCGATCCTTAAATAAATTCTAAAAAAGTAAATATCAAGTTACTTTAATAAGTTCAAAAATAATAAATTTTCATTATTGTAAAAATTTCAATTAATTAACTAAATCTAAAATATTCATTTATTTAATTTTCTTTTGATTTCTATTTTTAGAAGTATTTTTTTTCTTCTGGTTTACATTTATAGGATAGTGATTCTTGCTTGACATTAAAAGATTAAAATGATTTTTTATCAGATTGTTCAATGATTTCTAGGATTACTCTTGAGATCCAAAATCTAATTGAGAGTTGTTTGAATTTTCAATGGGTAAATTATCAAGTAAACCTTCTAAAGGAGGAATTAAACCTTGATTATAATGGCCAAGTTCTGCACCGACGTTGTCATTTAAAAAAAATGAATTCAAAATTGATGTATATTGATCAATATCTGAAATCAAATTGGAGTTATCAACTTGGATTTCCTCTGTAGTTACTTCTGTTTGATTGGCCACACGTGCAGTTTTGCTAATGTTTGGTGTCATTCCATTGCCCCAACTCTCACGTTTTCTTTTTTCTAGTTGCAAAGGTAATTGACTCTGACCGGTGGATTGAGTTTCAATTTCAAAAAAATTAGGCATGTTCTCTAGAGATTCAAAAGTTGTTGTTAATGTAGGCTGATTAACAATAGTTTGTGAAACCTGAGCAGCTGTAGGATCCCATTCAAAAGGGTTTTCAAATTGTGGAAAAGACTGAGTGGGAAACTGAGAAAACTCAGGTTTATCAACTGGAGCTAGACAAGGGTCTGCAGCACCAAGCGATGGAAAAGCTGGAAGTATGGGAGAAGAATCGAATTCTGGTTGTTTGATTCCATTTTCATCTAAAAAATGAAGAGTTCCTGGATAAGATGATTCAACATGTAGGTTGTTTGCTAAAGAAGGTAAAGCATTGGGTAGAGTGCTTGGAAGTAATCCTAATGCATTTTGCTCAAAAAATCCTTCTGTATAAGGTGAACTAAGCATTGTTGACTGAGAAGATGAAGCTACTTCGTCGGTATCTTTAACGGTCTGGTTCTTATTTGAATTATAAATACTAATGTGGCGGTTGAAATTTTCATTAGTGCATTTTTCATCGGCGAAAGAGTTAAAAATAGAAAACAAGCCTTGATAAAATTCATAAGAGGAAGTCAAATAATTTAAAGTAGCTGCCAAACTTCTTTTTTTTCTTTCAGTGACATTATCCGGAGAAACATTATCAATACTAAGGCGGATCAGCGTAATGTATTCATAAGGACTAAATATTGCTCGATTGCTTTGAGCTAAATATTTGGTTCCAACAGGAAAAAGAACCTTAGAATTATCAGTCGCAACCTTGATTTGATACCTTCTGTCAAAACTAATTTTTTGAAAATAGTTCAGGATATGAGACAAGTTTAGAGCCACGCCAAGTTCCAAAAGACCCAAAATATCTCGATTTGACGTGGTGCCAAGTATCCCAGTAATGCCCTTTTCGGAAATAAATTTTGAAGAAATAAAAAGGTCACGAATAACAAGAATCAACGACTTGACCAAAAACGATGGTGTGACTTGAGAAATGTCGTCAGTATTAAGAATAGAACTTAAAAATAGATGTGAAAATGATAATTTAAATCGATTTTTAAAAGAAACAGACTTGACAATGTGATTAAATTGTGCATTAGTGAAAAAATATTGTCCTTTAGAGTAGATTATAGAAGAAAATTTAATTTTGGATAAGGAAGTAATTTTTTCAAAATCAATCAAAACCTTTTCAATTATTTCTGAATTCATGTGATATTTTTCATAGAAATTGCGAATATTTGAGAAATTTGATTTGAAATCAGGGTGTTCTAAAGCAAAATTGATGCGCCCTTGAAAGTTGCCGGATGACACAGTTTCATTTTTGGCGTTGGTCAAAAAAGTTTGGAAAAGAAGTTCTGTGATTGCCAAAGATTCCAACAAATGTGAAAATACTTCACAGAAATATGGAGAAAAAACTGTGTTCATTTGAACTCGGTTTCTATGTGCTGTCATATCGTCAAACTCTGATTCATTATTAGTAGAGTCTATTGATTTAAGCAGGCTAGTATTTGAAAGAAATTTTTTTTGTCTATACTCCTTGGAGAGTATAATAAACACAAGGGCTTTGTTCAAATCTTGAGATACAAAGTCAAGAGAACCATCCAGTATTCTGGCAATGTTGAAAGGTACAAGGGCGCCAGAATAAAATTTCAGGGGAGCATCGTCAGGCAACAAAATACCATTTTTCAAACTTTTTAATGTAAACTCCTCTTGAAAAATATCAGTTACCATGATTCCTATTTCTCGATATATGAACGAAATTAAATCATGATGAACAGAAAAAAAGCTGGAGAGAATATCAGAGCCAAAAGTATATTTTTGGCCATACTCTTGGGGTGAATGATCAATAGAATAAAAAAAAGCCTTCAAATTTAATTCATGAGGGTCGTATTTAAAATGAAAAACCCCCCAATTGAATTCGGAATCTGGCGGTATAAGAAGAAAAAAGTCCACAACAGAGTTCATAGTTTTCAACTTATACTTTTGGATTTTCTGCTGGATAATGTCAATACCATTGTATGAAATATCGGGTGTGAATGGTAAGGTGCATAAAAGACACAGCCTTTCATTTTGGTCAAATTCCTCAAAAAGAAACTCGGTTGATGTGGATTGCAAACTCTCAGAATATGTCTTCAGTGCTCCAAAGACATCTAGAGCATCGACTATGGCTATAGAATGTTCATCAGCTGGTAGAGAAGATAGCTGGTTTAAAACACTTTCTTTAAGAATATCTCTTCCATATTGGTAATACTTGCTTTCAACACCCGATACAGTTTGAACGTAAATTTTTTCCATTGTAGCTTGTGAAAGACTCAAAGTTTTTGTTAGTTGGTTAAAAAAGATAACATTAGGCTAAAAACAAATACTCACTAATCTTTTTTTAAATTGTTTATTTAGATGAGGAAAAAATGTGAAATAAAGAATTTTATTCTATTAATCTAAATGATAAAAAAAATACTTTAAGATTTTAAAAAAAAATTAAAAAAACAATTTTAAATCCAAACATTGTGATGTAATGAAGTGTGACAGCACTTATTAATAAAAAACCAAACAAAACGATCTATGGACAAAACAGTTTAAGTGATGATTAGAAAAAATATTGAAAACTGTTTAGAAATACGTTTAAAAAAATAAAAAATAAAAAATTTACATAGTTTAAATATAATTTTTATTAAACAATTATAAGTAATTGATAATAATTACGAGCTGTTTAACTGAAAATAGATTCATAGATATTTGGACCAGATTTTAAGAAATTTTCAGAGTCTAAGTATGGAGTTGCAATATAGTTTCCATATCAGAGGTTAAAATGAAAAAAGTTAAACTATGAATTCCACCCATAACAATAAAGCTTAGTAATAGCTGGTTGTCACAAAATGACCCAGCATTAATGTTAACCTTGAATTTCAAATAAATTGGTTTTTGGTTTTTTTTAATATTATTCAAGAACTGTAAAACTATAGAATTTAAATTTACAATTTATTTATTTATTTATTTTTTTTGGTTGAAGAGTATTCGTTCTATTGAAATGTAGTCACTCTATGGATAAGAGGAAGCTGAAAAATCATTTTGCAGTTAAACTTTGTGTTTAATATTTAACTAAAAAATCTTATTTGAATTAAACACCATTCTTGTTCTATTTTTTATTTGAGAGTTGTAAAAATAAAATATGATGATTGATTCAATTTTTTTATTGCCTAATATTGGTAACTTTCTGTTTATTGGGTATATTTTTTTTTAGTACGGGGGGTTTAAAAATCAGTGTCCTTTGGATGGCCATCTTACGAGGAACATTGAAAGCAATTTTGTCTGTGTCAAAACTAGCAGACCCATTTCCATTTATCTTTCTAAACGCCTATGAATTCCTTAATATTTTTTTCCAGATATATCACCAGTAATCATTTGAAGTCTAATTAAACTGAACAAAAGAGTTCACTTCCCGGTTCGCCAGGGTAGCCCGAGGATCAGAAAACATATGTACTATCCTACACTCCCCTCCAAGACTGGAGACAAGTGTAAACTAAAATATTATTAATAGAGAAATTAAATCCATGTATTTTTTGAATTATTTTGATTACAAAAATCATATAGAAGTTTTATATTTTTAAAAGCTTGAGTATATATAGTCTTTTAATTTTAAAATTTTCAATCGGCAATAGTTTAGTGGCTAGAATTTCCGCCTGTCATTGATTAGCACGCGGGGGACCGGGGTTCAATTCCCCGTTGCCGAGTTTTTTTTGCTTTAAAAAGTCTTGAAATCATCATCTATAGACAAGGTTTGCTTTGACTGTTTTAATGGAAATAATTTTCTGACTACACTCAATCAAATTTCCTGTTCAATGTTAAAATTTTTGTGCGGTGTTTAGCTTTACTTTGGTGTTAGATGTTTTGTATGCGTATATGAACAGTGTCTTTGTTTTTCTAACATGACCAGAAGATCTGAGATATCATTTTTAGAACAGCATATTCAAATTCTAAAAAAAAAAAAAAAAAAAAAAAAAATACCTTCACTTAATCAAAAGCTTTTTATACATATCTTTTTTCAAGTTTTATAAGATATCCTCTTAGGAACGTAAATACAGCTCCTATCGTGATTTGTAGTTCAGTCATTGCCCGTCTAGACCATAAAGCTGAGTCGGGTTAGGGTTTGACACAAGCCAACTGTGCAGACAAAAAAAAACACCCCTACATAAGTGGTTCACTGTAAATCCCTGTTTCAGTCGATTCTCATTAATCAAACCTCGAACTTTTCCATTTTTTTTTTTAAAAAATTAAAATATATTTCATTAGTTTCTGATTTTATTGAAAGCATTTTATTTTGAAATATTTTTTTTCTCTTTTTATTTTTTTTTTAATAATTTTTTTTGTGACCGTTTCTTTTTTTTTTATATTTTACTCTCACCTAAGGACTGAAACTTACCACCTAATTTAACACTCCAGCTATCATGTCTGAGAACTCTCGAGGCGAAATCAGCAAAGATATCTCTGTATCTATTCTTTCAGCTTTAAACGCGTCAAAGAAGGGAAAATCCTCTAGTAAGAAGATTCTATCTCTTCAGAAACAAGTTCAAGGACTGAAAAATGTTGTAGAGGGGCTTCTCTCGCTTCTCAAATCCCAGGCTGAAGAAACTGTTTTTTTCCTTTCAAGTGACCTTGGAAAGAATGGTCCTCCCTCTAAAGATATAATCCACTTACTTTCATCTAACTACCAAGTGAAGCAAAAAGTTTCCATTCTTCTGACCGAGCTTAAGAGTAGTCAGATGGAGGAAGCTGAGGACGACGACAAAGATGACGATGAAGATGACGATATCAAAGGAATAAGAAGTTCAGTTATCCAAGACATTAACGAGAAGGCAGCAGAGACCAAATTACAAGAAAAAGTTGCGTCTGTTTTGGCAGCAGGATTGAATGGTTCTACGGAATCATCTTTTACAGCGCCAAGCGATACTACCGTTCGGTTTCAATCATCACCAAAAATAAACCGAGCAGCCATTCCGCAACAAGAACATCCAATAGTACCTCAGTCTCCAATTACACCACAACCTCCGATGGTCTCCCTGCCCTCGGAAAATTCCCAGACTTCATTTGTTTTTCAACAACCAAATTCTCGTATTGCAAATCCTCAAGTAGTCGCAAATCCATCTCCTGTTTCCCAGTCAGCCTCTTCACAATTAGATGAACACCCTCAGGCATCATCAACCCCCCAGCATTCGATAGTTAACTCATCACCTGCGGTCACCGACTCGCCTGTTGTTTCTAAGCCTCCTCTCTCTTCCACCCCCATTGAATTATACCAGTCATTGCCAAACTCTCAATCTCCTTTAATTGTTCAATCTCCTGTGGTCTCTCAAGTGAACTCTGTAGATGTTCCAGCTCCAGCTGAAACACATGTTCGAACTCAACCAAAACCACAACCTGTTCCCAAAACTTCCCCTATTAGCCGCAATTGGATACGACCCTCTCAAATCAAAACGCGTTCACAAGCTCATGCTTTAGCTCAGGCACAAGCTAAAGTTCAGACGGAAGTGAACACACAAACACAGACCCAGGTACAGGTATCAGAAAATGAACAAACCGAGGGTGTTTCTGAATCTTCCAATGAAAAAATACCTGTCGAGCCTGATGCTGATGCTGTTTTAGAGGTTCCATCCACTTCTGAGTCTCCCAAAAATAATGAGCCTCCTGAACTTCAAATCAAACCTTTGGATTCAACCAAAGCACATTCACAAACCCCGGTCTCAACAGCCCCTCATCGATCGCAAATTCAAAGCTCAAGTCGATTGCTCTCAACAGCTTCAGCTTCAGCTTCATCTACTGTTTCTCCTCCAGCGCTATCTCCAGGCCCAAGTCGTACAACCAGAAACTCCACCAAAGTCCGTGAATTTAGTGCTAAACTTGCACAGTCTCAAGACCAAGTCGGTACATCTCAAGATATAATGCCAGCACCAGCAGAGTTCATTGTTGTAAACTCATCCACTTCACAGTCAATTTCTAATGGAACTGCTAACCAGGAAAACCTCACACCGGCACCGCCAATAAACAGTAGCCAGGAAAGTTCCAGAAAAACGGAAAATGGATCAAGTACATCTAAACAACAACAACCCTCTTCTTCAGTAACGCTTCAGCATGATCTTCCACTGCCAGTGACTCAGTCGAGGTTGATTAAAAATTCCATATCTTTTAGTCCCGCCAATGCTGCGAATCTCAAGCCCACGCAAAATGATACTATTAAAAAATTAATGATGCGTAGAGAAGCATCTCTTTTTGCAGACATTCTTCCCCCTCCAACGTTTACTTCGTCATCATCTTCCAGCAAGCCCAAATCTTTAACAATTAGTTTACGGACTACCAGGGCTTCCGAAAGGAAACAAGAGAGCAAAGCTAACGACAGTTCTCTAGAAATAATTGATAACGAAGATTCTGCTTTTCAAAATGCTGATCCCCCTATTAAAAAAGATAATGACATGCCTGCTTCTGGCTCGAAGCGGACTCTTGAGGAAGTATCAGTCGAAGATGGTACTGACTCAGACATTACAATAACTTCAGTAGATTCAACGATATCAACTCGTTTAAAAAGACCACGCAAGTCACATGTGCCAAACACTGGAGCTGATTTGAAAAATACAGAGGACAACTCTGTGCTACCGGATTCAGCGCCCATAATGGATCCAGAGTGTCGTTATTATCGTCTTCCATCTGATGAATACACAACGTACAACCAGTTGGGTAACAAACAATTCAGAAACGGGTATTTAAGAAACCATTATGGTAACATCATTTTGTTTCAAGAGCTGGGCCAAATAGCTCTCAAGAAAAAACTGTTGATTGGTGTAGGGAACCAAAAATTATCACCATACAAAAACGATACTGGCAACAATAAACTTAATAGTCTGCTAAATAATCTCATGCTGTTGCGGACTTATCTCCAAAATTGTATACGAACTGCCACCGAAGTTGCTAACAAGAAAATTGAAGAGATTCAAAAAAATCACGGCAATCTTAGTGATTCCAACATGAAAATTATTTGCAGTCAAGAAATCCCTATGCTAGAGCTCATGCAGATCGATACAAAGAAGCTCAACATTGACGGTGAACTTTTATCAGAAGGACTTTATCGTGTTATGCGCACAAGAGCCCATGATATTGAATACTGTGTATGCAACAGAGTGATTGGATATTGTACTTCATTGTGTCCTTGCTATAAGTCTTTGGGAGGCTGCCGTGCTCCTCAATGTGAAAGTATTGATTCGCCAAATGATTTTTGTCCTTCCAACAGAAGGCATCCATTATACAAGTAACCGTTGGCTTTTGAGTTTTTTAAGTAATTATTATTTATTCTGATTTCCAATAAGCTTATTTTAATATTATTTTAAATTATAAAAAAAAACTACCGCTTGTACAAATCACATATGGTTTTAAATTTTTGGAAAACGAAAAAACAAAAGACAATGACAGACGCAGAAAATCCGAGCGTGGGGTTTTCTTTTCTTTGTTTTTTGCAAAGCTCAGTCCAAACTTAAACTTGGTAGAAAAAATGGTTTCCGTGATAAAACTTTTTTTTAAAAATTCAAACGACAACCGAAAGCTTTTAAATTCCATCAAACGTTGAAATGAAATCATGAGGGGCTGAATGAATTTGAAAAAAAAAAAATTAAGTCAAAGCCTACATCTATTTTTGGAAACTTCCATATTATTTAATGCTTTCCAACTTGAAAGTATACTTTGATTGCAGAAGTAATAATTATACTTTGAAACTTTTTAGCAAATATTTAGAATCATGATAAAATTAAGGTTGAACAGCTTAACTTGACTGAAAAAAATATGTCAAAGTTGTTTTCCTTATTGAGAAAATTTGATGTATTTCTAATGCATTTTTTAAAATAAATATATATATTTTAATAATCTTACAAATTGTGCCCAGAAAGACTCAAAAATTTTTTTATTAATCAATAAATTTACAAAAAATTAAACTTCTTACCATTCAATAAATTGCTGCAAATCGTAGCGACACGTAGGACATGTAGAATTCGCGCTTGTTGCCCAAGTTGTAACGCACTTGGTATGAAACATGTGGCTACAGGGAAGAATAGTGACATGGTTTGTAGGCTGGTATGGATCCATGCAAATTGGACACTCGTCAGGAATCGCATACTCAAAAAAGGAACAACCTGTTGATTCTTCCAATAGAATCTTATTTGCACATGCTTCAATAGACTTACTCAACACTGTTCCCATTCCAGGAATCTCAACATCACCCTCCATCGGCAACTCTCTTGATAAAAGATTTGAATTTTGAATAAACTCAACAGCACCACCCTTGCCGAGAATATACAATGCAATGTGTCTGTTCAGCTTTTGAAGCATGCTACGTGATCCTGGAATTAAATCTTCCCAAGGAAGCAAAAGCTCCACGCGAAACAAAGAGCGAACTTTTCTCGCATCAGAAACAATTACTAGTAGCTTTCGAACCTCTTCAATTAGCGCATTCTTCGATGAAAAGGCAAAGTCCTCGCGCTCTTCCAAAATTGCAGAAAAGGGTGGTCTCAAGTTGCGAGTCATTTCAGGGTTAACAACCGGAAGTGCAAAAGCTGTATAAAATTCTTCCTCTTCTTCATCATTAACATTTTCAATTTCATCATCAATGTCCATTTCGTCTTCATCAACCTCATCTTTTTTGTCACTACTCTCCATATCAACATAATAGTCCATGAAAGGCATTTCTTCATCACTGCGAATACCACACTTTTTACGAATATCCTCAGCTTCCTTCTCACTATGGGCAACACGTAGCACTGGAGCTTGACCATCAACAAGCCCCCCAAAAATGTTGTCGCATTCTTCCATGTCGTCATTCACCCTAGAGTGTAAATAAATGAGCAGACTCTTTTCGCAGAGGGAAAGACGAAGACGTGGGATAATTGGAGAAAGTACTGAGACAACGTCATCAAAAACAACAACAACACTTGCTCCAAATTCTTCAATTTCAAAGTCCAAGGTTCCGGCATAGTCAGCATTTGATGATGAAGGTGATGAGTTTTGGAAAGAATCAAAATCAGGTGGGAAAAGAGCAGGTATATTTTGTTCGGGCAATCTCGATGGCTGAGACAATGGTTGTTGGTCCACAGAAGCAGACTGAGGGTTAAAAAGTGAGAATAAAGATGAAGACGCAGTTGACTCTCCCGAGCATGAAGACATTCTAGTAATACTTGCGTGGCAGGACTTCTTACCATGAAGCTTGTGAATTTCCTCTAGCCTAGCAAGTGCTGCCATCTCTGCTTCATACATGCATACGACGCGCACCCTGCGAACAGCAAAAGCAAACACTTCACGTTTTATCACCTCAGCCCAAACCATAGACAAATCATTATATCGCCAATGTTCAAACGCACCGCCAAACCAATCATACATTCTGCGTGGTGACAAAAAATCATAAAGCATGCGAGTAGTCATCAGTCTGTCATTGGGGAAATTGGAGATACTATCATGAGCGGCTTGTGGTGCACCATAACGAAGATCACCAAACTCTGGTCTAGAATAAGCTTCAGCGGCAGGTGGATGACGCCTTGTTAAATTATTATTGATAGTGTGAGAGCTAGAAAAATTTCCATTGTCTATGTTCCTATCGTTCCATTGATTAGGAGTGGCTGAGTGTGCTTGAGGTCGAGTCATTGCTTCTTCACCAAGGTCTTCTTGTGGGTAAGGGGCATGATTTGTCAAACCCGGTCCCTCTTCAAATTGGCCTAAAGAAGCCCTACGTTCGGAAGTTTGAAAATCCTCATCTTCGCTAGCAAAGGAACGAGACAAAGATCTATTTTGGCGGGCAGGTGGTCTTCTGTGTCTTGAAAAGGGATCCCAATCATTGCTTGAGTCATTGCTTCTTGTGGATCCTTGAGCATGTAACACGCGAGTAGAAAAGTCTGCAATTTCAGAAAGGTTTGTATACTCATTCAAATCCAAACCTTGCTCATGAACTCTGTTGGAGTCCTGACTGGCCGAATTAGGTTGCACTCTAAAAACACCCGTAGAGCCTCCAGGGTATGGTTGACGAGTGTTTGAGGATGAGCGTCGACTAAAAACTCGACTCATCCAGTTACTCATTCGCCGAGCCCTGGATGGTCTGCGCATTAAATTAGAAGATGAGGGAGATGAAATTCTGTCAGACACACGAGACAACAACGGTGGTGGAAGAGGCAAACTGCGTTCACGGTAAGATTCCCAAGGCCGGCGCCGAAGTTCCTCTAGAGGAGTTCCTCCACGCAGAATTGCTTCCTCAGGAAGTGCTGGTAAAGAAGGTTCCGGGTGGAGACGGTCTCTCCGTCTTGAGGCATGAACACGGTTGCGATATTCTTCTAAAGATAAACCGTGAAAAGAACGAAGTCTTTCTTCTCTTTGCTGTAAAGATACTTCACGTCGAGCAAGGATTTGTTGTTCATTTAAAGATAGTTGGTGTCGAGAACGGATGGGCATCTGCTGATTTCGAAGAGCAATGTCGGAGTTGTCAAGATTTACAAGATTCCCTGGTGGCAAACTAGTACAGACAGAACCATTTGAACCACTTCGTGGCAAAAGCCTGACATTGTCGTCTAGTATGGTTGCATCACGACTTCCAGAAACTGGATTATTTTCAGGATGGCCCAGCAGACTAAGCAAAGGTATTGACATGGTATTGAAGGGAAAAAAATGAGGGGGTTAAAAAAATGAGCAAGATTAAGAGAAAACATAGCATATAAAAAGGAGAAAAAAAACACTATTCAAGATTTTATTCACGCTGAAGGTTCCAAATTTTCAAGTCGATCACATAAGCGGCCGTTTGGCGATTCTATAAATGCAAATAAAATTTGGCGCTTCTTGCTTTACGGGGGAAAAAAAGTTAATAATAGTAAGGTTGACATTTGCGCAGTGCAATTAAAGAATTTTGGTCTGCGTTTAAGTGTAGCCGATAATAGCTTAATAGCAAGCATAGGTGGAGGCAGCTTCACAAACTTACATGCTGCAGGTTTTGTACGTGTTAAAAAAAAAAAGGAAAAGAAAAAAAAAATAGAGATCTGGTGCGCGCACGGAGAGATTCAAAAAAATCCCTTTAAGATGTTGTAATCGATCGGCTTTATGGGTGAAGATGGAACCCCTGCAGCTTCTGATCTTGACGGCTAATATCATGTATTTTTCAAATGTTGAAGGGTCTCGTTGCATCTTGTGATTTTCTGGAGGTTAAGCTACGATTGAATTTTTATGAGAGCTAAATGATATCCTGATGTGTTCATATTTTCTATGCGCAAAGTTCTTGCATGTTGCAACAGACATAATTATTTTGGATTTTTATTTTTTTTTTAAAAAAAAAAAGGAGCCGACCCTTTGACTCCTTACACCATCATCATCATCACCATTGTCACACTTTGGCATCAAACCCCGGTGGCCAATTGAGGACATTACGATACAATGTCGTTGGTTTATCGTGCTAAAGGCGAGAAACCTACGGCGAATGAGTTTCTAGAACATCGCCGGAATCTCAGAGTGCTCCAGGCCTCTGAGTCACAGCGGCACCACCCGGACCTTGTTTCACATTTTTCAGCCTCAACCTTTTTCAAAATACTCGAGCTATTTCTTATTGTCAAGGTACTACTATATACACTAGTTTACTTTACACCATATCTCTACGACACATCTTCCTCGACAATCTCACTATTGTTTAGTTCCGACGGCAGCGACACAATTTTCGGTGCGCGGCTGGGCCATCTTATACGACGGCTTGCCATTTGGGACCATGTATTTTTCATTTCTTCTGCAGCGACGGAGGTTTTACATCCTGATATTTCGACGCTTTCTCCACTTGTTCCTTTTTTGTACGAACACGAGTGGGCATTTGGCTATGCCTGGATTGCCATTATTAAGACATTTGGGACCAGATTTTACAACTTGACGGGTAAACAAGGCGACCCTCTGTACTATTTTTCAGCCGTTGCAATTATCATTTCGACTCTTTGCCATTTTTTTGCATGCTTGGCTCTTTACTTTTTGACGTTTATTGTCTACTCATCGCCACAAAAACCGTTGCTTCTTCGAATTTACGACTTTGCCTCAGGGGTGTGCAGTGACGAGACCACCAGTGACGAAGACCAAGAACAAGAAGAAGCCAGCAAACAGCGACGGGTTTTCCTCAAGGGAACGAGTCTTGCCCGGCATGCAGACTCAATTGCGCTCAAGACTGCACTTCTTTACACTCTTTCCCCTGCTGGAATATTTCTTGCTGCGGGGTACAGCGAGTCAGTATTTGCATTCCTGTCGTTTTTAGCACTCATCAACAGGGAAACCAACCAACCACTTACAGCCGCGCTCTTATTTTCCTTCACAGCCATCATTCGAAGCAATGGTCTGCTGTGGGGGATTGTTTACATCTACGACGCTGTCACGATTTTACGGAGCTTTTACTATACGTTTTATCGCCCCGACATGCCAATTGCCAATTTAAAGAAAAATAGCCCATACCAGTCAAAAGCGGTGTTGTCGGCCAAGAGAAATTGGTACGCTATCCCGTTACAAAAACACTTTTCCAGGGTGTGCGGCGGTGGAATGGTACTTGCCGTTTGTTTTTCTGGTGTACAGTACATTGCGTACAGAGCGTTTTGCGTCGATGGACCAGAAAATGGCGCGCCGCCAGCCAAATGGTGCAAACCGAGCGACCCTAGCCGAGGGCTTCTTCATGTGCCTCTTATTTATAGCTATATTCAGGCCAAATACTGGGGAATTGGGTTTTTAAAGTACTGGACTTCCAATAATATTGGAAACTTTTTGTTTGCTGTGCCGACCTTGATTTTGATTTTGGCTTCAACAATTTACTATTACAGACAAAACGAGAGATATTGGCGTATATCCATTTCACGGACAGGCCGAGCCCCTGTTATTCCAAAGACTGCACCGCTAAACAAGCTTAAAAAGAAGAAGAAAGGCAAGACAGTATCGCATCAGCCTGACAGAAAGCCTTTGCAAAACACAGCATTGACATATGCGCCATATCTGATGACGCCATATCTTCTTGTGGCCGGTACCTTGGCAATATCTGCTGTTTTTGTGTGGCATGTCCAAATCATTACTCGTGTGGCCAGCTGCTTGCCGACGATATACTGGTATACTGCGGAGCTTCTTTCGAGCACGCGGGTCAGGGACGTTAAAATTGGCAAGCTTATAGTGCGGTATTTTGTGATATGGATTGTTGTCCAAGGTATTTTCTTTGCAGCTTTTCTTCCTCCAGCTTAAACATGGTATAAATATTTAAAAAAAAAAGTAGATATTATTATTATTATTATAAAGTCATGTAAATTCATCTCAAGTCGTAAGAAGGTCATAAACTAGTGCCCAGAAACGGGGGTACCGGCCTGCAGTAAAGCCTCGCGACGGGTAGCATCCTCGAGCAGAGTTGTATCGATTGCAGAAGCTGGAAGGTGGACATATCTGATGACGGAGCCTCTAATGAAGATGTTTCTGACAGAGTTCTATAGAAGTTAGGAAAATGAAAATAAAAAAATAAAAAAAAAACATTGAAAAACAAGGACTTACCAGATGAGGGTAGTTGCCATCATCCAAAGTGGTGATATTGTCAAGTTTCAGGTTGAGATAAGTGTCTACTGATTTGAGAGTCCCCCGGATGGAGAGATCATTTTTAAGCTAGAGAGTTAGATTGTAGAAGAAAAAAATAAGTCACAGGACATACTTCAACAGTGATCTAACTAGTTAATAAAAAGGCAATGATACTCATATTTAATATCAACATACTTCCTGGTTAACCAGCGACTTGAATACCGAAAAGAAGATCATTATGGGAAGGATTTATTTATTATTTATTTTTTTTTTTGGCTTGACAAAAATTGGTGGTGAAGAGATTTGAGATTTTTTTTTTTTTTTTTTTTTTTTCGTCTTCTGTCATCTCACAAAAAAATGACTCAGTGATTACATAACCAAAACTACAACAGGGTAACACTTGTTAGCCAAACATAACACCGCCACCATATACGTTAGTAATGTCACATGACACATATGGACCCCTCTTTTACCCTACCTGGCCTTGTTATTTTTCAAGTTTCTTGCCCACGACACTCCAACAAAAGGGAAACCTCCTCTTAAACTCCCTTGAAATCACCAGATAAGGGGTTTTGAAACCAGTTCTTTTAAAATAAGCATAGTTATCATCTCAATCCAATAATTTAATAAAGCCAATTGCAATTAGTGTTTTTTTTTTTTTTTTTTTTGGAAATTTACCCTGCAGAAACTTGCATTTATAAACTCAGACTTTCCGGACACCATCTCAAACACACACGCCGGTTTTTGTGCGTGAGCCAGTCAGTCGTTTTGAACAAAAGTGCCAACCATGGTTAGCAGTGGCTACGGCACTAACTCACCCTCAAACCAAGGCTTCAGCAGGCAGACTAAAAACCAACACCAGGGTTCTCAACCTGTCGATTACTCTAGCTCTTCTTATCATTCCCAATTCGCTCATCAGATGCCTCCTTCTCTAGCGCCTCCGTCTTCTCAGACAGTCCCCCAGTCAATTCCGTCGCCAATGGCATATTCTCCAATTCCTGTGGAGTCACCGACGACTCCGGGGTTTCGCTCGCATCACCACCATGGCTCCTCTTCTGTCACAAGTAGCCCCATGGCTGCTGGTGGGCCATATTCACCCCAGTACAACCCTCCTCAAGCGTACACAGGGGTTTCTTTGGGTAGCGTCAATGCCAACTTGGCTCACAGCAACTTGTATAACCTACCTCCATATGTACTTCCACCTCCTCAAGATCACAACAATACTGCAACTCGCCAAGGCAATTACCCCCACATGGGGAGCCATGTAGGCAGCGTTGGTCGCCACTATAACGGGACCGGGTCTACTCCCACCGGATCCTTGAAACAATCGAGTTACGGATCCACGTCTTCTCTCATGTCGTTTGAAATGGCAAGTAGCGGTGGGCGTGGATCGGCCTCTAAGCCTCAACAACAATCGCCGACCAGCGAGGGCCCAAATCGACTTCATTTTAATCCACACGTAAGCCCTATTCTGCAAGGTGGCCGGTCTCTATCCTATAGTTCGGGCATGGGCTCCAGCAATAGCAGTAGCACAACCACGTCATCACCACCCATACCTTCCCACGCAAGCAATTTGGCTGCCACCCATCGGGGTTCAGGGTATCCCACTGAAGCTTTCCAGCAAGGTGAAGCATTGCTATATAACCCGTGGACATCGCCCCCTAATAATAGAGCGGTAGTGTTGGATGGTGGGCCAAAGTCTAATTTTATGTCCTCAGCAAACTCTAATTTGGCTAATTCAACAACCACCACCGCTTCTTCTCCTTCTATCGCACCACAAAGCTCTCTTTCTCTTTCCTCTTCTGCTCACCAGCAGATTCCGCAATTTTCTCCATCTTCAACTTCGATGACGGCCTCTTCCAATACATTAACAAACAGTACTGTATCTCCTCGCCAATCGATGTCGACCCAGCAATCTGCCCTCTTGGCTACTTCGCATCATAGACTTTCCTCTGGAAGTACCAATGAGCAGGACTTTAGAACCAGCCATCCAAGTGCAACTCCTGGGGGTTCCGCAACATCTCCTACATCTCCTATAAGACAGCAGGCCTTTCAAAAATCAGTCCAGCAGCAGCAGCAGCAGCAGCAGCAACAACAACAACAGCAGCAGCAACAGCAACATCTAATACAACCTCCAGTTCAGCAACAGCAGCAACAGCAGCAACAGCAGCAACAGCAGCAACAGCAGCAACAGCAGCAACAGCAGCAGCAGCAACAGCAGCAACAGCAGCAACAACAGCAGCAACAGCAACAACAGCATCAACAACAGCATCAACAGCAGCAACAACAGCAGCAACAACAGCAGCAACAACAGCAACAGCAGCAACAACCACCACAACCACAACATCTTTTACAAACTCCCAGCTCCAATGTCCGCCCGCATTCGTACCATACTCACCAACAATCTGCTTCCATCAATGTACCCAGTTCTTCAGACTTTTCTGGAACGACACACCCACACCCGTACTACGCCCAGCATCCTTCTTACATAGCTGCTGTTCCCATCAATCCCAGCTTCCACCGCGTAAGGTCTCGCTCTGAGCTTGCACCTTTGATTCACGAACAACCGCGGTACCGCCGCGCGCTTCCCGAAGGCGGTACACTGAGTCCTCTTGCAGCGCTTACGAAGCAGCTGTCGACGACTTATCACATTTGCAATCCTGAGTTCAACTATCAGTCATCTAAGAATCCTCGGCGAGTGCTTACGAAACCTTCGGAAGGCAAACATAATAATGGAGCCGACAACGTTGACAGCGACTACATTCTCTACGTCAATGATATTTTGGGAGTTTCTGAGCAGCGGCGGTTTCTTGTTCTTGACATTTTAGGGCACGGCACGTTTGGGCAAGTTGCCAAGTGCCAAAACATGATTAACAAGGAAATTGTGGCCGTTAAAGTGATTAAAAATAAGCCTGCTTACCTAAAGCAAAGTTTGATGGAGGTTTCGATTCTGGACCACTTGAACAACCAGGTTGACAGGAACGATGAGCATAATTTGCTTCGTCTCAAGGACCGATTCATGCACAAGGGCCACTTGTGTTTAGTGTTTGAGCTTTTGAGCAGCAATTTATATGAGCTCATTAAGCGGAACCAATTTCGCGGGCTCAGCACAAACCTTGTGCGGGTATTTGCACAGCAGCTACTTGACTCTCTCAAGGTTCTTAAGGACGCGAAAATTATCCATTGCGACTTGAAACCGGAAAACATTTTGCTCAAGTCAATTGACTCGCCAGTGATTAAGGTGATTGATTTTGGATCTGCATGCCATGAGCTGCAGACGGTATACACTTATATCCAATCGCGATTTTATCGGTCGCCGGAAGTGTTGCTGGGCCTACCATACACAACTTCTATTGACATGTGGTCACTAGGATGCATTGTTGCGGAGCTGTTTTTGGGTCTACCTATCTTTCCAGGCACGTCGGAGTACAATCAATTGTCGCGAATTATCGACACGCTTGGAGGCCCACCGAACTGGATGGTGGAGATGGGCAAGACGTCGTCACAGTTTATGGAAAAGTATGTTGACGAGTATGGGCAGCGGCACTATATGCTAAAGTCTCGGGAGAAGTACTCGCAGGAGTACAAGACCAAAGAGGAGCCGAGCAAGCAGTATTTCCCGTCGACTAAGCTGGACGAGATTATCATGAAGTATCCTCTGCCGAAGAACAATATGAAGCAAGCGGATATTGATAGAGAGATGCAAAGCCGGGCATCCTTTTTGGACTTTGTCAAGGGGTTGCTCAATATGAATCCGTTTGAGCGGTGGACGCCTCACCAGGCCGCAATGCATCCGTTTATCACGGAAAGCAAGTTCACTGCGCCGTTTGTACCGAACTCGCGGTCTGGCGGAAGTAAGGTACGAGGAACGGGGTACTCTCAGAACCCGAGTGCCGGAGCTACTGCATTGCAATATGCTCAAAATGTTCAAAATGCTCATCATGCTCAACAGCCAGCGCAACAGGCTCAACAGGCTCAACAAGCTCATCAAGCTCAGCAGCAGCCGCAACAACCGATGCAGGTCATGTATTATAGGCCTTCAGGGGCAACAGGGAATGAAAACATGACTGGAGCTGGGCAAGCCGCTGGGTCTGGGACGTATGGACAGCAGACCAATATTTATGGCTCACAGATGGATCAGCAGGTGAAGTTAAAGTTGCAGCAGCAGCAACAGATGGAGAAACTACAACAACGGCAACAGCTTGGTTCAGGTAGTAACAATAACAACAATAATAACAATAATAACAATAGCCGAAGCACTAGCAGTGGTGGTAACAGCACGCACTGGTCTGCCCGGCGTCCACGGGCAACTACAATTGGTAACATGGATCCGATTCCACCGCCGATCCAGCGGGCAACTGCGCTGATGAATCCTGCACAGCCAATCCGTGCCCAGCCTAGCCCTGCATACATTCCACCACCGGAACTGAGCGAGGGTGCTAACAGTGGAGAGGCAACAGTAGGAGGTGCACGTACGCGAGGGAATGCGGGGCACTCGAAACTGAACCAGAGTACGACTGCATCTGCGGGAGGAGGAACAAGCTACGGAGAAGCAGGGGTTGGGTCCGGGGCCACGGGGTCAGGAGGAAGCAACAATAAGGATGGAGATGTTGTTCGTAACCTTGAGAATGGGCTCATGTCGTATTGGTCTTAGTTTCTTTTTCTTTTTCTTTTTTTTTTTTTTTTTTTTTTTTTTTTGGAAGGAGAGGTTGTATATATATAGGCATTTTCAAAAAATAAATTAAAAAAAATAAATAAAAAATAAAAAATAAAAAATAAAAAATAGTTTTTTTTTGGTACAAATTGGTGATTTTTATTATTAAACGCGACACAAAGGGGGGGAGGGACAAAGTTTATAAATAGGGCCCAAATTTTTTTTTTAATTTTTTATGGCGAGGATTATTTTTCAAATGAGCCATTAATTAAAGAATAATAAAAAAAAATATTGTAATAAAAATTTTTTTTATAATTTAATTATTTATTTCTATATATATATATATATAATATAACCGTAAATGCAAAGGAGAGAATATGAAGTAACCAAAAAAAATATTGTTTAATAATAATACACACAACAAAAACAAGAGACCAGAATGGATTTCAAGATCCTAAAGGGGGGGGGGGGGAATTTAAAAAAAAAAATTAATGCAAAAAAAAAGTCAGTCTTCTTTCAACTTGAAGAACTAACCACCAGTTTAGGATGTCCAGACATTGGTTTAGAATAACTTGCAAGCCCTACATTATTTAATTTTTGGGCCACGCTGTATGAAAAACTTGTCGAGCCTGCAAGTTGTCCTGAAAAGGATCCTACAATGGGCACTTGTTTAAGTATAAGTGGTCCCGCAGTGCGTAGTGGGAGTTCTACTCTCACATTTTGTCCCGATTGGGGCGGGTTTTCCAAGACAATTTGGGCGGCACCTGCTGAACATGATGCAACTGAAAATGCAGCAAATTGAGACTGAGATGTAGTATCATTAAATGCAAGTTGCAATGATTGTAGTGCAGACACTGAGGAACAATCAAAACTGTAACCAGGAATAGTCACATTTAACGATAAATTGGACCAGCCAGTAAATGCAGCAGGAACATAAGCATACACGGCAGGCAATGTTGCGGATGAAGATGTGGCAAGTGAGGGGAATGCGGAATCTGCAGGTGCAAGGTCCAGAATGCTAGTACTCCAGTAACGTGGGAAATTGGGTGAGTAAAAGAGGATTGGTAGTTGAGTATGCTGAGTATACTGGTCTGGGTTTTTAAGACCACAGCCAAAAATAATGGATCCAGTGATGAGAGTTTTCTGAGGGTCTGCTAAAACAGTAGCTTGTAGAATGTTGGTTGTATTATTGATAGAAACACTCAGAATGGCCTTACCCGACCGCTGGTAGACTTTAAAAGTGTCTGGGAAATTGGTAAACTGTGAAGGTAGTGTCACGTTAAACTTGAACCCAACCTTGAACCCATTGAGAGCCTGGAATGGAATTGACACCTGTAGTGTGTCACGGGGGGCAATGTTAATTGTATTGTTTGAGTTAGCAGAGCGTAGTGACGGTTGTAGTACTAGAATACCGCCCAGGTCAGTGCCAAGGTCTGCAGCCAATGCACTACGAGCCCCCGATACAGTGGCAGCTCCTGTGGAATTATACTTAAACGGTGTTGAGAGCCACACCTGCCAGTCGTCAGTGGTTGTTTGGTTGGCCACGAGGTTTGGAATGGCTGGCAGGGCTGCAGCAAGCATACGATAAGTACCAGAGGGGATGCCAGGGACCGAGACTCTTGCATAGAAACCAGCAAGAGAGCGTGACATTTGCGTGACGGGGAACCCAGTGAGTTGGGTAACAACACCAGCTTGGCCATTTGTAATGGGCAATGTAAAGTTATAGTTTTCAGCAACGACAGCGACCGAATATTGGGAAACACCAGCGAGGAGGGGTGAGTAGAGAACAGCATTTGAGGACGAGTTTAACAGAGGAATATTGTCAGTGAGATCATCTTGAGACTTTTGAGTGAGGACTGCAGCCTCGTTCCCATTGTAGATAAAGACTGGTTGATGTTCGTCTGAAAAGACCTTGTAATTATCAGTGACGGTCGCAATATAGGGGAGCGAGACTTGTTCACCATTAGAGCCTGAGGCCACAAGCTTGCCCTGGAAAATGGGAGAGTAGGAAGCCTGGACTGAGTCCGGGATTCCTACCGAGACGAGCAAGGATGCGGCCGAGTGGCCCTGGATGGTGATTGAAGAAGTGTCAAACGTGACATTAGCGGTAGCCTGGACAGTAGGTTGGTAGTAGCCAAAGATGCGGCCTGCTGAGGACTTTGCGAGAATGGTTGAAGCATGAGCATGGGAAAAAGTATAAGTAACTGGGTCATCGTTGCCATTGTAGAGTGAGATTGAAACCGAATTAGTTGTGGCGGAAGAGTTGAGGCCAAAGTTGAGGATAGGTGAGGTGGTAAAGACAGATTTTGTATTGACAAAAGCTGTAGCATTAATAAGACCGGCACCTTGACCAATTAGTGGAGCCAAGGTACCGTCATCAAGGGTAAGTGCCGAAGCAGTTTGGATAAGACGGGAGCGCAAGCCTGGAACAAAAGTAGAGTCATTAGCGGGTCTTCCACCAAGAGATTGGAGGTAGAGAGCCACAAGACCAGTGACATAAGGAGCAGAGAAGGAGGTTCCTTCTTGGACGGAACGCGAATAGTTGAGCCAGGTAGAGTAGATGTTTTCACCAGGAGCCGAGACCAGCGGGTAAAGATTTCCTGAGTAGTCAGGGCCCAGTGAAGAAAAGTAGGAGAGGTTAATTGCCTTTGAGGTGACGAGAGATCTGGGAGTTTTGGAAGAATCGTCAAAACCAAGTGACACTGAGTGACCCTGTTTTACCTGTGATTCTACCCATTGACCAAGCCCAGGCTCCACGTTGAGTCGGAAAACCGAGTCCTCAAAGTATTGGGTTGGAGCCGTGGCAGCAGAGGCCAAAGAATTTGTGTCTGTATCCTGGTAAGAAAGCACAAGGCCATAGCCTAGGTCATGTGTTGCATGGTAGAACGGATATCCAGTGCAGTTCCCTTGGGGGAAAATGATTGCAGTGGATGAATCCCCAGAGTCTGGGGAAGCAACACATGCATTTGTATTTACAACAGTCAAATCAAAGGATCCCGTGACATTAAGCTGGACACCTTTAGGTTGTGTAAAAGTGAAACGGTACTCGTCACCAGAAGAGGCAATGGCTACGGCCTCGTAGCCAACAATTTGACCAGTGGAGGTTGATCCGACTGAGAGTGTGAGGTTACCAGTGGCGGCATTATTTCCTTCAAAGGGGCCTCCTGTACCTGAATTTCCAGCTGAGGAGACAACAACAATACCTGTAGCAGCAATACGGTCAGCAACCAGACTGAGGGCATTACCAGGGAAGCCACCACCGTCTGAGCCAATGGAGAGATTAATGACATCGACATTATCAGTATAAGCACGTTGGAGGGCAGCAAGAACAACGTCTTCGCTGGTTGATTCTGTTGAAGCAAAAACACGGTAGGACATGATTGAAGCGTCTGGGGCGACTCCGACAAAATCAGAATTTTCAGCGGCAGCAGCAACTCCGGCTACAAAGGAGCCATGGCCAAGAGTATCTAGGGTATTATTGTTGGGGACTCCATAACCTTGGATGGAAGGGTCGTAGACATTGCCAAAAAAGTTCCAGCCGCCAGCAACCTTATAATCAGAACCAAAACCACCGCCTAAAACGGGATCAAGAAAGTAAGTACCAGAGTCAATGATACCAATGGTGATACCCTTTCCTGTAATATTTTGACTATGAAGGATGTCTACACCTGTTACTGAATGGGAGGACCATTGTGGGTAATGTTGGGAGGAGTTTGAGTTAAAGTCAGGGATGGTAGTAGTAGTAGAACCTTGAGGGTAATCTGAGGAATCTGTTGGTGAATAGGTGGACGTCATTGTTTTAAGGCGACGCACGGGCCAGACATTTTTGACTTCAGGATAGAGTTTAAGTTGGGCCAGGAGGTCTTGGTCCGAGTCGTAAGGGTGGTCTGCATTGATTGAAGCTCCTGCAAAGATTTCATCAGCTTCATTATAGGAGAATGCGGTTGATGCTGAGAGAGCATGGCCACGGGCAGTTAAAAGACCAACAAATGCATCTGCTGGATCACCTAAAAGGGAACGTTTTGAAAGGGCTGGAGGATCTTCAAACTCAACAATGAAGCGGTTTGGGAGGTAAGGCGAGTCATCTGATGAGGAAGGATTGGCAGTGGCAGATTTTGCTAGGGCCAATAAAATTGGTAAGAGGATCATTTGGAGGTTTACTTTTTTTTTTTATGAATGAATGAATGAATGAATGAATGAATGAATGAATGAATGAATAAAGAGGGAAAGAAAGAAAGAAGGAAAGAAAGAAAGAAAGAAAAAAGGGGGAAGGAAAAGAAAGAAAGAAAGAAAGAAAGTGGGATTGTTTAGTCTTTTATAATAATATAACAATAATATAATATAAATAATAAAGGGATATTATATATTATAATAATATTATAATAATATAACAATAAAATAATAGTCAGGTTGACATTTTGGCGAATTTTTTTTTTTTTTTTTTGCATTGTGAAGAGGATTTTTTATTGTATTTTATTGTATTTTATTTTTATTTTATATTTTATATTTTATATTTTATATTTTATATTTTCAAATGTTGCCAAAAATAAATGGAAAAAAAAGAAAAAAGGCGGGCAGAAAATTACCCGATTAGGAATTTTTTTTTAGCTGGGTGGCTGGGTGGTTAGTTGGTTGGTTGGTTGGTTAGTTGGAAGGTTGGCAAGTTTTTGTTGCTTGTGAGAGGATTGCTTGGTGACCACGAGGGGAGGCTGGACATAAAAAAAATAAAATAAAATATAAATAACCGGTGATATTAAGAAGAAGAAGAAGAAGAAGAAGAAGAAGAAGAAGAAGAAGAAGAAGAAGAAGAAGAAGAAGAAGAAGAAGAAGAATATTCTTCTTTAGAAAGAATGATGCGTTTAAATCCAGCAATTGTTGTTGAATTAAAAAAAATTTTTTTTTACTGTTTCACCAGGCTTTCCACTTTGGAATAGTTTTAAAAAATAATAATAATAATAATAATAATAATAATAATAATAATAAAAATCTGAATCATTATTATTATTAAAAAAAAAAAAAAAAAAAAAAAAAAAAAAGGGATGGAATTTCAATTGCAAACTAAAATAAAATAAAAAAAAAAAAAAGGCAAAAATATTATTAAAGAAAAGTCGCGTTTAAACGTTCTGTGCGTCCACCAAATGTGGAAAAGTCCCGTGATAATAATGATGATGTCATTGAAATTTTTATTATATATAACTGTACTAATAAAGTATACTAGTATATATAAATATATATATATAAAGTTTTATTTTATATATCAAGGGATATTAAAATATATATATATATATATTTATATCCCTTGAATAGAAAAAAGAAAAACAAACCATAAGAAAAGAAATTTATATAATATTTAAACTTCCTCTTCTTGGCTCTTCTTCTTGCGTCCAAGAACAGTCTGGGGCATAAGCAAAACTGGAGGAACGAAAAAGGTATTTTCATTTGTTGCAATACCTTCATAAACAATATACCATCCAATAAAAGCAGTAAATACTCCAATTACTCCACCAGCCTTTGTGCAATTAGTAGCAGTTGTAGGATGAGAAAGTAATAGGAATTGACCAGCAGAAAGCAAACAAAGTATAATGACAACAAAAAACATGAGAGAAAATAAAACCCAAGTTGATCTGAAAGTAAAACTCCACATAACAGCAGAGAAAAGAGTCCAACCAACCAAGTAAAATCCAAGAACACTTTGCAATTGACCTGGAGTATCTTTATAAGCAGAAACCATTCCAAAAGCATCAATCAAAATAAATCCGTAAGAAATCCAAAAGCCACTAAAGGAGGTAATAAGTGTAGCAGCCCATGTATTTTCTGCAACAATACACCAAATTCCTGCAATTAATTCAATAAGACCAGAATATACCATACAAAGACCTGCAGCTAGGGCTCCATTGGAAACATCTCTTGCACCTGTGTTAATTAAAGAGACTATAAACAAGGACATTGAAAAACCAGCGACACCTAGGGGGACTGGGTTTCCGAATTTACGGGAAGGTCTTGGAGCAGAGCCTGGGTTAAGGTAACCTTCAAAAGCACGCATGAACTCTGAGCGTTCAAAAGACATGCTTCCTAGATGGACATGAGTGTCTGAGGTTATGACTCGAGAAAGGCCTTGAGATGTGGCAATAAAGTCATGGTGGGGGTTAGGGTTAGGGTGGAACTCTTCGGTTGAGGAGGAAGGTTTTTCGTCAGACATTTTTGTTATTGTTATTATTGAGTTTAAAGTTGGATTAGGGTTGTGTTGTGTTGTATTGAATTGAATCAAATTGAATTATATATTAGATTAGGTTGAATAGTTTTAATAGAATAGAATTGTATAAAAATGAATTGAAATGAATTGAAATGACTGAAAAAGAATTGTTGTTTTTACTGGAATGATTGAGAGTATTTATAGAGGAATCAAGTGGGGGATAAATGTTAGTTAGTTATTGAGTTTGTTTTATTTATTAGTTTGGTATTTTTGAGGGAAAGTTTTTAAATCTCCTCAAAGTTGATTTAATGAAGACTCCTCTTCTTCTTCTTATTCTTCTTCTTCTTTAAAAAAAGAAAACTTGTTAAAGAAATTTTTCAATATTTTTTTTTTTTGTTTTTTGTTTTTTTGTTTTTTTTCTTATTAAAGTTGTTTAAATTTCTCCATCTTCTTCATCTTCTCCACACAATTCTACAACAATCACAATAACAACAACTTTCTTTTTTTTTTTTTATTATTATTATTTTGATGTAATAACAATAATATTAATGATATTAATGATATTCTCCACAATTGAGATTTCGGAGAGAAGGAGCAGTTGCAATTGGAGAGAGGGTGGGGTGGAGAAGAATTTTCTTATTCATTTTATTCATCTTATTCATCTTTTTTTTTTTTTTTTTTAATTTTTTTTGATTGCTATTATGAGAATTGAGGAGGAATAATAATAATAATAATAATAATAATAATAATAATAATAAGAATAATAAAAATAATAAAAATATGAAGAGGAGAAAAGTTGATTTTTTTTTTTTCTTCTTTAATTCTATTCTCTATTAAAAAAAAATGAGGGGTGGTTTAATAGATCTGGTAAATAAGAAACCTGTAAAAGGAGGAGGGGTGGTTAAGTGAGGAGGGACTTTTAATTAAAGTCATAAAAGAAAAAAAAAAAAAAAAAATTATTTCATTTTATTTTAAATGTATTTTTTAAGTTTATTTTATTTATTTTTAGTGAGATTAGTTTGTTTGTTTGTTTGTTTGTTTAATAGTAATGATAATTGTTGATTAAAAAAAATAAAAAATTGGAAACTGTTTAAGTTGTTAAAAAAAAATATATATATATAATAAAAATAAAAAAAAAAATGGGCTTTAAATTGAAATTGAATTTTTTTTTTTATTTTATTTTTTGTGAACCGCTGGTGACTTTTTTAAAAATTTTTATTTTTATTCTTATTTTTTTTTTTTTTTTTTGGATCTTTAAGCACGGCTCATAAAATACTTTTGGTACTGTAATATACACATCTCAGACCAAGATCTACACACTTTATATATAGTTTATTTTTTTTTAAATATTTATATATTTATATTTATAAACTTATAAACTTTCTCTTAATAATTATTTTAATTTGGAAGCGGTTTGAAACATTTATATATATATATATAAACAAACTTTGGTGAAAAACTTTTTTTTTAATAATTAAATAATTAAATAATTAAATAAATTATATAGACAAATGGCTTAAGACATTGTACGTACAATATATATATTTTAATAGAAGACTTAATTAAAGCACTATGAGCTTATTATTATGATAACCGATAAAATAAAATAAAAGGTTTAATGAATTTAAAGAGCTTATGTTAAATAAATAAATAAATTAATATGAAATATAAATTAATCAAAGAATATTTTTATTTATTAATTTATTTATTAATTTATTTATTTATTTATTAATTTATTTATTTATTTATTTATTTATTTATTAATTTTTAATCCCACGGCTCGTCACTTTTTTTTTTTCCTCCCCCTCCTTTTTTTTTATTTTTTATTTCATTTCATTTCTCCATCTTTTTATTTTATTTTATTTAATTATAAAATGTCCACTACAAATAATAATAATAACAATAGTAACAGTAATAGCAACAGTAACAGTAACAGTCAAAAGACGTTTCTACGCCGCTTTAGTAGACTTTTCAACCAAGAAGACTTAAATGACCCTCATGGTAGTAGCGGCTTATTATTATTGCCTACAACTATTCAACAATCTTCTTCATCTACATCTTCATCTTCATCTTCATCTTCATCTCAATATCAACATCAACATCAACATCAAACAAAATCTGTTAAAAAACAACAACATGTCTTACTTAAACAACGCTCTGTGCCTTTATTACTTCAAAGATTCCGCCCAGAAAACTCTTCAAATATAAACCGTACTAGTACCCGTACTCCTATGGGGAATCTAAAAGAACCATCGTCAAAAACAACTACAACATTAACAAGACCAGCAACTTTAGATGGTTCACACTCTAAATGGCCTACAGATATTTCTACAACCACCTTTTCCCATTCATCATCATCTTCTTCTTCTTCTTCTTCTTCTTCTTCTTCTTCTTCTTCTTCTTCTTCTTCTTCTTCTTCTTCTTCATCTGTAGGTTTCCGCAGAGAAAGTGCACCGGCTGGCCCTATGTCGGTTCTTCATAATGATAATGAAGGTCTCCATGACAACGGCACTAACCTTTCCAAGTATACCAGCTCCAAATGTAATTGCAACACAAGTTGTAACAAATCTTTATCATCACCACCACCACCACCACCATCACTACACACAGGATTTTCTTTTCCCTCGTCAAAATCCTTTTCTTCTTCTTCTACTTCTTCTACTTCTTCTTCTTCTTCTTCTTCTTTTATTCCTTCTATTCAAAACCCAACAACTCAACTAACACCAGGTAGCAGCAGCACAAGCACAAGCAGCAGCAGCAGCGGAAGCAGCAGCAGCAGCAGCACCAGTAGCAGCACCAATAACAATAACAATATCAATATCAACAGCAGTACAAGTAGTAATACAAGTAGCAGTAGCAGTAGCAGTAGCAGTAGAAATAGTAGTACAAGTAGCAGTAGCAGTAGTAGTAACAGTAGTAGCACCAACAGCAGCCGCTCCAACTCAAACTCAAACAACCAACTCTCTCCAAAATTTGTAACTACAAACCCAAATCTATCCCATACAAAAAACCCCTATCCCATGGCCACTCCATCAAAAGACAATCTCATCCCTCAAGCATCTTCCTCTCCAGCATCACCCCTCCTAGCATCTACTTCTCCAGCATCATCTGTACCTACAGAACTCCCACAATCTATCAATATGAAACCTGGAGACGTGACAAACGACGATTCTACCCGTCTATATGATCTCCAAGCAACCGCTACCCCTCCACCACCAGGCGAGGCCCAGCTAGCTGCAGCCTTGGAAGACTCGGCAGGCACTCCAGTAGGTGGAGGTCCCTTATCGGGACCTTCGGACTTGGCTGGTGTTGTTGTTGTTGCAAATGCCTCCTCCGCAGCATTGGGCTATGCAGTAGCTGCAGCGGCTTTATCTTCGCCACCAGCCAAGTGTGGTGGTGACGACACTACAGGTGACAACAATGAAGGAAACAATAATCAAGAAATTACCAACACAATCACAGCCACAGCCACCACTACCACCACTACCACCACTAACAATATTAATAATAATAACAATAATAATATCTCCACATCTCAAGAAGAATCAAGACCATCATCATCAGATATGGATATCGACATGGATGAGGCCTCCCAAGCTGCCTCTCCATCAAGACCTCCCTCTTCTTCCAACATTATCAACACAGCAGCTACCGTAACGCCCGCTGGAACTGGCGCTGCTCGCGAAAATGGCGCAGCTGTCGAAAGCTCCGGCACGGCCACCTCCAGCTCGGCAAGCGGTGCCAGCGCAGGCGCAGGTGCTGGCGAGCAGACCTCTCCTAGCGTGGCTTCTGCAGGTACACAAGCTTCAGCAGAGGTAGAGGCTGAAGTAGCGGCTGCTTCTTCTACTTCTTCTGCTTCTGCGGCAGCTGCTGCTGCTGCTGCTTCTGCTGAGGAGTACCCTTATTCCATTAGATTAACCCCTTACATTGACCACTCCTCTCCAGGCCCTACAGGATATATCCCAACCGTTGAGCGCACAGCCAAAAATGGCATGGTGTTCCGGGTGGGCCGACTAACAGATAAGAGCGAAGGAGCTGCTGCAACACGACCTGAACATGCTCCCGTGGTGTTTCGATCAAAGGTTGTATCTCGGTCACACGCCCAGCTAACAGTAACTGATGGACAGTGGTATGTACAAGACGTCAAGTCTTCTTCAGGGACTTTTTTGAACCACGTGCGGTTGTCGCCGCAGTACCAGCAGTCGGCTCCATTCCCGCTGCGGGACGGCGATGTACTACAGCTGGGAATGGATTTCCGAGGCGGAACAGAGGAACTATACAAGTGCATCAAGGTGCGCGTGGAAGTAAACCGGTCATGGCAACGTCGGGCAAACAATTTTAATGTAAATGCACTATCGACATTGAAGAACTTGCAAGCAATCAATCCTAATGACTTGCAGGAGTGTGCGATTTGCTTGTTCCCCGTGGCACCATGCCAAGCGCTGTTTGTGTCCCCGTGCACACACTCATGGCACTACAAGTGTATTCGACCATTAGTGATTAAAGCGTACCCACACTTTTTATGTCCCAACTGTCGGGCCATGTGTGACTTGGAGGCGGAGATTGAGAGCCCAGACTTGTCACATTTGAAGGTTAAAGAATGAATGGTTTTATGGATTAAGTGTTAATAAATTATATATAAAAAGAAAAAAAATGAAAAAGAGAGAGAGAAAGAAAGAGAGAATAAACAACATATATATATTTAAGGGGTTTGAGATCGGTCTTCTAAAAGATTAATGAGAACTCGCTGCATTTTGGACTTGGCTCCAGGTGTAAGCCATAACTCATGGGGGGCCTCGAGAATATCCCAAGCAACATTGTTTGCAGTGACTTTAGTCAAGCTGCGCTGGTAGTTTGACCACTCGTCATCTTCACGAATGTGCTGAGCAGATGACAATACAGCCAACGGGACATTTGAACCAGAAAGAATGCGTGAAGCGGCATCCAAGTCACTACGGGACAGTCCGACTGCTGCCAGTTGTTCCTGTAATGAAGCTTTAAGCTCTGAAGGTTGAGTGAAATGAGCTGCGCGACCCAAGACACGATCACGTGCACCTCGAGCGTGGAGTAGCCATGATGCTTGTTTGCGTAAACCAAGAGTAGACCATAATCCTTGTAACCAAGCGCGTAGGCCTGCACCAGGAAGAGCTAACCGGTGAGCGAGTAAAGTGTCTGGATATGCATCAAGAAGGGTAAGTGAATGGATATTTTGTAAATTACGAGCGGCAAATGCACGTGCATATAAGCCACCTAGACCATGACCAACGACAGCAAAAGTCAAGTTTTTACCAAGTGGGACATCAGGGCTATGAACATCAGTAGGACGTAAAACATGGGCGAGAGCTGCAGTAAGAGCATCTGCAGCCATACCTGGAGCAAAAGGAGATGGAGCGTTATCAGAATAACCTCTTCCTGGACGGTTCCAATAACAAACTTGGCTAATTTTAGTTTGGGTATAAAGTTCATCTAGCCAGCCTTGGACTTGGGTCTGTGCACTTACAGAAGATGCGGCTTCAACAAGAACAATAGGGGCTGGGCGGCCATCAGGGCCTGGGCGAACAGAGGGAGGAGCAGTAGATGGGTCTGAAGCAGTTTGGCGAGGAGTACAGTATACAAAGACTCGATAATGAAACCCGGAACCTTTAGTAACTGGGTGAAGGTACCCTGAGCCGAGGGCGGAAGAGGAAGTAGTTTTAGGGTAGATGGAGACATAATGGCCGAGGGATTTGTCTCTTGCCAAAACAAGTGCATCATGGGCATCGAGTAATTGAGTAGCAGTATAAAGAATTAAAGGTATAACGATGAGAAGGGAAGTAAGAAGAACACTGAACCAAACACGGAACCATTCCGAAACTGTGCGGCGAGTTTCACGGCGACCCGTGAGCCGGATTTCTTCATGAGTTTTGCCCCATTGAACCATGTAGGGGGTAAGAACACCAGCAACAAGGGCACAGACAAGAGACCAAGTAAGGGCAAGAGTTCCTGTATAATGAGTATTTCTACGAAGTCCAGGGACTGCTAAAGCCAAGATTAAGGCAATTGCAATTGCGACGGCAGCTATTGAATTTGCTGTTCTATCTGCAGGTGCTGGAGTTTTAAAAAAGAGCAAAGCCAAAGTTAATTGTAAACAAGTGATACCTGCTAATCCGAATTCCACAAACCCTGAATCACGGGTAGGTACCAAGGCCAAGAAAAAGGAAATAAGAAGTGTTAAGAACCAAAGAATTGAAGCAGCAAGAAGAAGCCAAAGAATAGCATGAAGAATTCGTACAGATTGTAAATTAAGAGGTGAAACTGCAGGGTCATCTGGGTCAAGAAGCGGAGTATGTTCGGTGGGATGGGGATGGGCACAATGGGAGTCGGTGGGTGAAGAAGATGGGGTCATTCCATTTTGATGATCAGATTGGGATCTATTTGTAGTTGGATAGTACTTTGGTATAGATGTTGAAGAGTCTCTTCTATTATTAAGGTCAGATTCTATTGAAGACATTTTTTTAGATTTTAAAGATTTTAAGGATTTTTTTTTTTTTAAAAAAAAAAAAGTTGGAGGGGATTTTTTTTTTTTTTTTAATTTATTTATACAAAATTACACGATAAACTGGACAGTTTATATAGAACTTTTGTTAATAGCAACCTTGAGCAACCTTTGTCAAACCTTAAACCAATTTAAAAGGCCTCATTGGTCTTAAGAAATTCGGCCGCCTGAGCAACCTCATCAGTAGAACCCAGCCAGATACCACTACGCTCATGAATTTCAGTAGGAACAAGATCAAGAATACGTTCACCCTTATCATTGATAGCCTTACCACCTGCCTGTTCAATGACCATGGCCATAGGGAAACCTTCATAAAGAAGACGCAGCTTACCCTTCTTAGACTTTTTATCAGCTGGGTAAGCAAACAAACCACCATAAAGAATAGTACGGTGAACATCGGCAACCATGGAACCAATATAACGAGCAGAGTAAGGTTTGGCACCTTCTGCCTTGGGGAACTTGATAGATTCAAAGAACTTGATAGTACCAGAAGGCCAATAGATGGAGTTACCTTCATTAACTGAATAGATGGAACGTTTTTTAGGAAGAACCAAGTCAGGGTGTGTTAGAATGAATTCACCCAAAGCATTATCGAGAGTAAATCCATTAAGGCCATTGCCTGTAGTGATGACGAGGTTTGCAGAAGCTCCGTACATGGTGTAACCGGCAGCAACAAGTTCTTTACCTGGACGTAAAACATCTTTGATTGAACCATGGGAGCCTTCAGCCAGCTTATAGACGCCAAAGATAGTTCCGACCGAGACGCCTGCGTCGAGGTTTGATGAGCCATCGATGGGGTCACAAACAACGGCATATTTCCCATCTCCATCAAATACAATGAGGTCTTCTTGTTCTTCAGAGACTAAGATTTTAACTTTACCTGAGGCCTTCATAGCATTGATGAAGATTTCATCACCAATAACATCAAGTTTCTTTTGGTCATCACCTGTTGAATTTGCAGTACCAGAAAGACCCACCAGGTTAATGAGAGTAGACCGACGAATGTTATAAGCAATGGCCTTGAAAGCGAATTGAAGAGTATTGAGGAGAATGGTAAAGTCACCAGTAGCCTTTCCTCCAACAATTTGTTGTTGTTGAAGAATGAAGCGGGTGAGGGTAATGATATCTGTTTCAACGGGAGAGTCTGCAGGCATTTTTGTTTTTTCTTTTTTTCAGTTATTAATTAATTTTAATTAATTGATGAAATTTTTTTTATAAAATTGGAATTAAAAAAAAAAAGGTTTAAGAGAATTTTAATATATATATATATATAAATATGAGGGAAATTATAGAAAAGAAAAAAAAAGAAAAAAAAAAAAAAAAAAGGAAATTTTCAAAGGGCTTTAAAAGGGGTTTTATATATAAAAATAAAAATAAATAAAAAAAAAATATAGTTGAAAAAATGCCGGACCAAAGGCTGCCTTTTATTTATTTATTTATTTATTTTATTTTTTTTATTTTTTTTATTTTTTTTATTTTCATATAAAAAAAATTCCAATACACACACACACCACTTAAATAAATTTTAATTTATTTTTGTGGGGGAAACAGCGGTGGTTGGTTTGGTTTGGTTTGGTTTGGTTTGTGGGGAGACTTCTTACCGGCAATTGTCGGCATATACAATAAAAAAGAGCAGCAGCAGCCAGATATAAAAGACAGACAAGCAGCCATTTAGAAAAGAAAAAGGGTTAGGGGATTAAAATAATAAATTAAAATAAATTAAAAGTTACTGATACCGAAAAAAACACTAACAAAAAAAATAAATAAAAAATAAATAAAAATTTATATTCCGGGAAGTTTTCGTGGTCACGTGGACTGTGACGTGGCATCTGGTAACGTGATATAACCCTAGCCCTTTTAAGTTACAAAAAAAAAAAAAAAACCTAGACCTGAACTTATATTATTTTTTATATTTAAAAAAAAAAAAAAGTAAAAACCCTAGCCCATATCATTATCACATGATCACGTGCCCTTTTTTTTTTCTTTTTTTTTTTTTTTTTTTTTTTTTCTCTGTAACTCCAAAAACTTTCAAATAAAAAAAAAAGCCACTATCACCAAAAAAAAAAAAAAAAAAAAAAAACCTCTATTTTTACAATCACAACTACCAAAATGTCCCTTGAAAGTGCCCTCGAAGAAGAACGCTTAGGCGTCCTTCATATCCTTGAAGAAGCCCAAAATAAATCTCGCTCTGCTCATTCTTCTCCAGTTCCTGGCTCTTCCTCTCGCTCACGACCTCCAACTTCTTCCTCACTTCTTCTCCCAGAATCAAACCAACCCCGACGCAAGTCCTCTTCCATGCTTATCGACCCTTCCTCCTCTTCTGCAGACCCCTCTCGCTTAAGACCAGTAACTACTGCTAACGTTGCTTCTATCCATAACAGATCATTATCTGCATCCGCTTCAACAGCTTTAAGACCTTCTCGTTCAATCACTGAAAATGATTACTTCTCACTTCAAGACCCTGATGCTGACCCTAACGCATCCCCAGACTCTTATTACTATGACCCAAAAGTCCTTAGAGCTCATCTTCCTGCTAACTTTATGACCAAACGTGAGCGTGAAGAAGCAGAAAAAGCAGCTAAACAATCAAAATTTGCCTTTTGGAAAAAGGGATCCAATAATAACGGATCCTCATCTTCTCGCCAAGCTTCAAGAAGTCCCTCTCGTGACGGAAGAAGTCCTTCAGCCGGTCAAGACTTGAATAAATTAAAACTCGCCCAAAATGCAACTCTTTTTACTTCCCCAGGTGCCTCTCCTCTAATGAGACCTTCCGAAGCTGCCCCATCTCCTCCCTTCCACTCTTCTAGAGCTGCCTCTTCCTCCCGTCACTCATCAACTTCAGCCCCAGGAGTCTCCTACTTGGATAGCTTCGACCTCAACCAAGTAAAGGTCGACCTCGATGCAAGCGCTGCACCTAAACCTCTTACATCAGCTCCACGTCGCCGCTCTTCTACTGCTCCTCCAGGCCCTGCTGAAGATTTTGATGACCTTTACAAGTCCATTGGCACCCGTCGCTTAGTCGATGAAGACCAAGAAGAAGAATACTCGGACGATGATGAAGAAACCGGAACTTCTTCTGAAGAAGATACTGACTCAGATGAAAACCCTGAAGATGAAGAAGATGATGATGATGATGACGCAGAATATGACAAGGCTGGACGCCGCAAAAAGAGAGACCTCATTGGCCTCAACTCAAGTATCGTCAAGGGCCCAACCGATACCCTCATTTCCGCCATGGAAGAAGAACGCAAGTCTATCGAGTCCTCCAAGTTCCGTGTGAAATCTCTCATTGACGAAACCCCAGGTGTTGTCCCTCCTCCATCCATGGCTGAGTATGCCGCATACAAACGCAGAATTATCCACCCTCATACTGCCTTTGACAAAAACCTTCTCGAAGATACCCCCTATACTTCAGATACTGAGGAACTTCTAGACGCCAGAAGAGCTGCAAAACTTCCCTTTGAAATTAGTACCATCCACTCTTCTGCTTCTACAAAAAGAATGATTCGCACAATGTCTCGCGGTGAAAACTTGCCCTCCCTTACTGACCCTAACGCCCCCGTCCCTAAAACTTTTGTTCTCGGAACTGACTTGTCTCCGGAAGCCGCCCATGCCCTCGAGTGGACCATCGGAACTGTTCTGCGTGACTCAAACGTTCTCTACATTGTGTGCGCAAACGAAGATGAACTGGCAAATGAAAAGTCTTCCACTGTCACTCTTGAACAACAAGAAGAAGAACGTTTAGATGCAATTACCCAACTTACTGCTACTGTCTCTAAACTTTTGAAAAAGACCCGCCTCCAAATCCATGTTGTCATTGAAGTCGTTCACTGCAAATCTCCCAAACATTTGCTCATGGCTGTCATTGACCATGTCATGCCCACCATGGTAATTCTGGGTTCCCGTGGCCGCAGTGCGCTCAAGGGTGTATTGCTTGGTTCCTTTTCAAACTACATTGTAGAACGCTCTGCCGTCCCTGTCATGGTGGCCCGCCGTAAACTCCACAAGACTAAGCATAAGGACCTTAATGTGCGGCTGGCAAACAACCTCCGTTCCCAAGGTGGTCTTTCTTCGGCCATTGTCGATTGATTTTTTTTTATTATTGTTTTTATTGTTTTGAATGTGAAGAAGAAGAAGAAGAAGAAGAAGAAGAAGAAGAAAAAGAGATTGTTATTGTTGTTTTTAATGTAATGTGTGTTTTTAATGAATTTAATTAATAAATGAATAAATGAGTAGTATATTTTATTTCTTTTTGGGTTTGGTGTCTAGGCTCTTTAGAGATTTTGATAAATCAACAAGAATCCGTGATGCCGCAGAGCCTGGCGTGACAGCTGGCTTTGATGAGGTCCAGCCTCCGGAAGTTGGTTTAAACACAACTGTATCTATTATACAAAGTTAGTTATAACTAATTATTTTATAATTAGAAATAAATTCAAAAAATTATTATTCTTTTGTTCTTAGTTTTTAGTTTTTAAAAGTTATTGGAGTACATCAGGAACTATAGCTAACAAAATAAAAAAAAAAAAAAAAAAGATAAAAGAGGGGGAAGGTATATATATATATATATATAAAAATATAAAAATACGCACTTTTAAAAGAAGATGCCGAGGAGACAATCTCGCGATAAGAAGATGTCAGCGCAGCTTGGGTTTGTTCGGCATTGAAGTTGTTAACAGGGACGTGCGGGATGACGCTCATTTGTGATGATGGTGATGGTGATGGTGATGGTGATGGTGATGGTGAAGATAGTGGAAAGTACGTTTTGGTGGTAGTGGCGGGTTGGGTTTTTTTTTTTTTTTCTAAAAAAAAAATAAAAAATAAAAAAAAAAAGAAGGGTGTGTGTGTGTGTGTGTGTGTGGTGAGAGGGTACAAAAATAAAAAGATTTTGAATTTGAAAAAAAAAAAAAAATAAAAATTGAAAGATTTTAACTTCAACTTGATATAAAGGTCTCAGTAACAAAAAAAATATATATATATATATAAATGAAAAAAGAAAAAAAAAAAAAAAAACAGGTTAAAGAAGTAAAAAAAAAAAAAAAAACCACTGATTGAAAATTGAATTAAAAGGCAATGAGTAAGTAATTACTTTAACCTCACTTGTATAAAGGTCTCGCTGAATTCTCATAAGCTAAAGAAACTGTTCTAGAAGATTTTTTTTAGTATTCTTCCTGTCAATTGTTTTTTTTAAATATATATATATATACTTTAATAAACATTTTTAAAATTTGTAATTTTTTGTTTTTTTTTGTGCGTTCATATAACACCATCATCAATTCTATATCAATTTCTGTTTCCACAAATAAGTTTTTTTTTTTCATTTTTAACTTTTACAATTACATTTCCAAAACCTTTAAATTTATATTTTGATATTTGCATTAACTAGAAGTAAAATTGTAACTTAAAAAACATACTTTTAAACAATTTATTATTATACTCTAACAAATCCGTGTATATATTGTACACCTAAATTATTAAACTCTTAATTACCCGATTTGGGCGTCTGGTGTAGTTGGCTATCACGTTCGCTTAGCATGCGAAAGGTCCCCGGTTCAACTCCGGTGTCGTCCAATAATCTTTTTATTTCCATCTATTTTATAAAAAAAGTAATTTTTAGTTTTTAAATTGAATAAATTTCCATCTTAAACTTGAAGTAAAATACACTATTAAATCATTAATTAGTGATTTATAAAGTTTTTCTCTTTTGTAACCTCTTTTTTATTATTAAAAAAAATGACATTCAGTTAAACTAATAGTATTAAAAATTAAAAAAAAAAAAAAAAAAAAGACTTTGACTCATTTGAAAGCTGTCATCATTTTTTTTTTTTTAATCCTGATAAATCCATTTAATCTTAATTGTTCTGGTAATTTTCAAAATATGGTTGAGTGTATTGTTTTGTAATAAGAAGTCTTAGTTTAAAACATTTGTCATCCAATTGATTGGTAATTACCTTTAATTCATTTGATTTAGTTGACACTGTTTCCAAAATATTGGACTAATTTAATGAGTATCAAACTTGTTAAGCCTTATTTTTTTTTTTTTTTAACAATTTTGTTAACTACAAACCCTTCTTTATAAGCTGTAGAATCATCATTGAATTTAAAGAATTACCTTGCAGTGTAAATCAACGATATTGTTCAGCCGCACCATCAGCTGACTGATAAATTTTTTTTTTTTTTTTTTTTTTGTAGAACTTTCAACAGTCGGCTTTTCAAGATATTGCAAAACAAGAAAGAATTCAGTTGTTTGTTTCTCTTTTTTTTTTTTCAAAAAGTTTTTACCAATTTGTTTATTTTTTTTTCTAAATATTTTATTTTAGCATTAATATAAAACATCTTCAAGTATTCAACCCCTTATACTCTTAGTAAGCCACTTCATACGTGGCAATAATTGCCTTCCCTAAAGCTTTTAAAACTTTGACATTAACATCTTTACCATTTGTAAATTGTTCCTTTATGTCATCACCTGCAATAGTCCTTGGTAATTCAATTTCAATCTTGTCTCCATTTACAGGATTTAAAAGCAAAAGCTGGCCGCCATCCAGTCCAATTACTTTATAAGTTCTCCGTTCAACTTTTGGCATCTCAATGGGATGCTCATATGTGTAAAAGTCTTTAAATTCTTTGCCATTGAAAAGATCAATTCCTGATATATTAACATGGCTGTCGGATCTGGAAATCTCACAAATCTGACAAGGGCGGCCTTTGATTACGGCAATGTCATTCAAGCATAACGAAGAGCATTTAACAACCTAAGTTTTATTTAGAGAGGGATATTATTTTTTTTTTTTAAAAAAAAAAAAATTAAAATAAACATACCTTGTTAATCATTATTTCAAGTGATTATTTTGATTTATTAAGAAACAAAAAAAAAAAAACTAAAAAAAATTTTTTTCCGCATTAAATTTGATCCCTTTTATACTTTTTCTTTCTCCATCCAATAACTGCAAAATATGGTATTTCATTAATGGGTTACCTGATCGATCAATTAAGATTCGGGACATGCAAACGAAGCGGCTCTTAGGTGCTAGGCAAAGTTGTTTGTTAAAAATAATAATAATAATAATAATACATGCCTAGTTAATGTTCATAAGCTACCAATTTATAAAAAAAAAAAAAAAAAAAAAAAAACCTTCCATCATCTAGTAAATAAAATAATAATGCTAAAATATTGTCTACTCTTGTTATTATTTCAGTTTTCAATTGATCTCCCTTTTTCCATCGATCTACCTCGGTATTGATTTGGTTTTAACCAGATCAATGAACTAAATGAAAGATGACCAAGTATATATATACACAAATCAGGAGATTTCAAAAACAAAATCGCACAAATTTTTTTTTTTTTTTTTTTTGAAATTTGATTGATTGATTAATTGTTTTTTTTTTTTTTATTTTAAAACAATTGAGAAATTCAAGAGATTCAGTTAATGCTTAAGTCTTTGAAATTGTGTCTAAATGGAATGCATCCGTTGTTGTTGTTGTCTAACATAAAAAAAAATTACCTTTCTTTTCTTAAAAGCATTTTAGGTGTAAAATTTGGGTTGATTGATGGTGGAAAATTTCTTAAACTGATGATTGTTGTCAGCCGCTTTATAATAGATTTTTAAAATAAAATAAAATAAAATAAAATACACACGTCATTTAACTCTCACAACAAAATTATTTTTGTTCAAACCACCAAAATAAAAAAATTAAAAATTGTCATAAGTTCCCCTCGCCCCGTCATCAAGGTAATAGGTAAACAAATATAAACAAATACAAACAATCAACATAATGGATACCCGGTCACCACCGACACTGTCAACAGCACCGGAGCTACTAATGCTACCTGGGATAGTAAATAATAATAATTTGGAGCCCGAGCCTGTGCCTGTGCCTGTACCTTCTGATACTGACGAAGCAAACAAAATTCTAGCTTCTATTTTACACAACCTTGCAACAACCACAGAACCTACTACTACTACAACAACTATAGCAACCGAACCTGTTTCTACAACAGAACCAGAAAACCACTTTGGGTCAGCTTCCAAAAAGGATTTTGGCCCGATACTAGTTGAAGATATGTTTAGATCACCAACACCTACACCTGAGATGCCCTTAAACGTTGAAATACATCAACACAATAATGACGCGACGACTTTTCAACCACCAGTTACAAGCGAATTGCATGAAGAAAATACCACTACTCAAGTCAATGAATCGCTTCCACTTTTTGACCCTCAAGATTTCCATATCTTAATTCCAGATAATGGTCCGGCTACTGGGGATTTGTCAACCCCTTTGGAAAATGCTCCAGACCATTTTTTACCAGTTTTGACAAAGATAGATTCTACAAATACTCCATTTACACCTCCACTAAATACTAATGAAGATGGGAATTATGAACATGCCTTTTTTCAAGAAACCTCGGAGACTCTTTCAATAATGGCTCCACAATCAATGACCCCGCAATCAGAAGCTCTGCAATTAGAAAATCCACAACCAGAAGCTTCGCAATCAGAAGATCCACAATCAAAAAATTTACAACAAGAAGCTCCGCAATCAATGGCCCTGCAACCAATGGCCTTGGTACGCCGCCAGTCTAATCCACCAAAACCAGGAGTCCCAGATGTCCCATTTGTTCTTTTGGACGATGAAGAAAATTCTGGAAATAGTAATTCTTCTATTCCATTAAATGTGGTTCAGTCTGAAAATAATTTGCAGGCTCCGACTTTTTCAGGCATTTCAACTCCTTTGGCAATAATGGCCCCACATACCCTTCAACTAACAGCACCAAAACTAGGGCTTCGAGACTCACCGCTTGTGCTATCAGATTCTTCAGATGATGAAAATATAAATAAGGCAGAAGGCGCGTTACCAACTGTGACTCCAATTGTGGCGGCACGGCAAAGACATTTTCTACTTCCAGTTCAGCCCAGCATGTATGTGAATCGAAATGGCCATTTTACAATCCAAACGGAAGGCTACAACTTTGAAGACCCTCCTAATATTGTTACGACGAACCAACGGGGACCACGACACAATGTATGGCCGAGTAGTCGTATTCCCACTTCAGAAACAATGTTTGAAAGCACTGCGTATCCAAACCCAAACAACTTTATACCTAGAACCCCACATGAATCACCCACAGTCGCCTTAGTTGTATACTTTCAACAATCCTTTGCTACTCTTTTTAAAGGTACGCCGGAGCTGACCCCTCAGATTGTGGCACAAGAAATTATGGAGGGATATTCTGAAACCGAAGCTGATTCATGGCTCCCCGCAGGGCTTGCTGCTTTTGTGGCACGTACCATTTCACTGATTCTTAACAAGCACCAGATTTTGGAGCCACCTGCAACGTTTGAGCAACTTAAAACTACGAAAGACCGAGTGGAAGCTAAAAAACAGGACCCTGATTGGCGAAGAATGGTATATGCGATTCGCCAAGTACGCCGAGAGTTTTCAAGCATAGATTCTGAAATACAGAAACACACCAAACCTTTGGCGCAGTTTCTTCGTCCCAATGCACACTTGGGGGTTTCCCATTTACCCTGGGAGGAAAGGTTATTGGCTTTGTCTGGGCTGGTAAATGCGGCTCTGACGTCTGCTAAATCCGTACACGCGCTTGCAACAGCAGCACGCCGAAACTGGGGGCCCAATCTATCACCGACAGACCATTTAAATGGGCAAGCGTTTGGATATGAGCCTATGACATTTTCTGCAGCATCTTCACATGTGTGGCGGTTTGTTATGGCAGAAGCAATGCACAAGGCTCACAGTCCTGCGTATGTGGCAGCCGCAGCTCTTGGGCTCCCATATCATCCAGAATTTGAAAAAACACTGGCCAAGGAGTTGAGAAGTGGGCACGAGCAGGTTCAAATGCAATTAGAACAACGTCAGGAGGCCAAGCTGCAGTTGCAACATCAGCAGTTTCAGCAGCAACAGTTTCAGCAGCAACAGTTTCAGCAGCAACAGTTTCAGCAGCAGCAGCAGCAGCAGCAGCGACATATTCAACAGCAGCAACAGCTGCAACACCTACAACACCAGCAACTTTTGCAACAGTTACAACAACAAAATTTGCAACAATTACTGCAACATGATATTCTACAACAACAAGGGCAATCACAAGAACAACCACAAGAACACCAAAAAGAGCAGCAGCAGCTGAAACCAGAGCAGCAGCAACAGCAGCAGCAACAACAGCAACAGCAACAGCAACAGCAACAACAACAGCAAGAGCTGCAACAACAGCAAGAGCTGCAACAACAGCAAGAGCTGCAACAACAGCAAGAGCTGCAACAACAGCAAGAGCTGCAACAACTGCAAGTGCTGCAACAACTGCAAGTGCTGCAACAACAGCAAGTGCTGCAACAACAAGAGCATCAACAAGAGCATCAACGAGAGCATCAACAAGAGCATCAACGAGAGCCTCAGCTATATCAGCCACAAGATCAGCAAAAGGCACAAGACCAACCTCAAGAGCGGCAGCAACAGGAACAGCAGGAACTTGAACTACAACCGCCACAACCGCCACAACCTCCACAACCTCCACAACCTCCACAATCTCCACAACCTCCACAACCTCCACAATCACAACAACAGGGCACTCTGGGAGAAAATCGAACTTTTACGGAGAAATTGTTTGCATTCCAGGATCGACAACGGGCGCCGGTTGCACTTGGGCGGAACGTGCGTACGGAAGAAGTGTACTGGTTTGTTCAAGGCGAAAAGTTTAATACTACAGTGGACTGCGAGGATAACTATGACGGGCCTCTTGGGAACTCATATAAGCGTGGGTATGGGGAATTTGCAGTTTACGAAGAAAGAAACCCGTATCTTGGGGCATTGAGTCATGAGGATGAGGAAATTATTGATGACGAGAAAAACCGACAGTCTGGGTTTACACTTCCTGCGTGGCGGCTTGTTGCAACAACAGTTGCAGAGATGCGGGAACTGGTGGAGCGGGTAGGTGGAAATGTTCCGCAGCTCGGGGAGATTGTGGAGTGTATGGCTCCCAGGCTGTTGCGTGGAGAGGCGTTTCGTGCGCGACAAAAGGAGCGTGCTGAGGCAATGCGAATACGTAAGGCACGGTTACGGGGGGCAGCGGCGGCAAGGGAAGTAGCTGGAAAAGGTAAAGGTGAGAAGAATATTATGAGGCCACGACATCGAGTTGCACGAGGTGGATACCGAGAAAGCGATAGTGAGAAAGAGGGAGATGAGGAGGAAAATGGAGATGAAAATGAAGAAAATAAAAGAATAAAGAGAATAAAGAGAATAAAGAGAATAAAGAGAATGAAGAGAATGAAGAGAATGAAGAGAATGAAGAGAATGAAGAGAATGAAGAGAATGAAGAGAGTGAAGAGAATGAGGAGAATGAGGAGAATGAGGAGAATGATGAAAGTGAGAAAAATGAAGAGAAAGAAGAGAATGAAGAAAAAGAAGCGACTGAAGAAGGTGAAGAAAGTGAAGAGAAGGAGGTGGAAGTGAGAACAGCCTTTAGACGACTACGGTCTCACCGGTCTCCTAAACGTCGTGAGGTTAGTGAGACAGTTGCAGAAGAGTCTGAGGAGATTAATTCCAATGAACCTGAGGAGATTGTTGAAGTTCAAGAAGGTATGGATGAGGAACAAGTTGAAGAACAAGTTGAGAAAGAAGATGATGATAAAGAAGATGAGTTAATTGTTGTTGTTTCTGAGGAAGATGAATCCAGCAATCAAGCAGAAGAGGTTGATGGAATGGACGATTCGGATGATGAAAGTATTAAAGAGTTGGCCATTGTTACACATACGTCATCTCAATCACCTACCCATAGCCAAAGTGATTTAAATGTTTCAGAAGTCAATTCCTCGGAATCACCATCTACTTCTCGAAGCGAATCATTATCTTTGGCGAAAAAGAAGAAGCGAAAGCTAAGGACTCCGTCTGTACAGAAATGGGGGGTGAGTGGAGGGAGGGTTGAGCGAGTTTTACGGTCAAAGCAGCAACAAAATCAGAGTTCTGTAACATCTTTGGTACAGAATGAAGAAGAAGGAGAAGGAGAAGGAGAAGGAGAAGGAGAAGGAGAAGGAGAAGAAGAAGAAGAAGAAGAAGAAGAAGAAGAAGAAGAAGAAGAAGAAGAAGAAGAAGAAGAAGAAGAAGAAGAAGAAGAAGAAGAAGAAGAAGAAGAAGAAGAAGAAGAAGATAAAGAAAGAGAGAAAGAAGATGAAAGTTTGGGGGTGATGAGGAAGTTAAGATCGCGAGAAAAGAAGAATGTTGTTGGAGAGGGAAAGGATAAGAAGAAGAAGAATGAAGAAGCTCATTCGGAGGTCATTGTTGTGATTGGACGTGATGGAGAAGTGTTTGAAGAGGTTGTTGAGAAGAAGGGAGATGAAGGAGGTGATAAGGATAAGAATGATATGGATGATGATATTGTTGATATTGTTGATGTTATTGATGTTGATCATCCTCAAGTTGAGGAAGAGCACAAGACTCAGAACAAGAAAAGATCTTTGAGGTCTCAAGGGAGTGTCAAGACTCGAGTTATTGATGAAGGTATTACAATAGAGGAATCACAAGGGGGTATGGATTTAAGTGACTCTGATTCAGTAGCAGAGATGGAAAAACAACTTCTTTGTCCAATCAATAAGAAAAAAACAAGAAAATGGGAAGGAATCTCAATGGCACAACGGAAAAGAAAGAAAAAAAATATTATTAATATTAATAATAATAAACGGTCTGGAGAGGCTCAGGTGAATACTGGAATTAGTGAAGAGGAGCTACAGTCACCAGCCTCACCATTATCTAGACGGTCCAAACGACGGTTGCGATAATGAATGACTTTAATTATAATAATATAATATAATAATTTTTTTTTTTTTTTTAGAGGAAGGGAAAGTTATTATCCAAATGTACATTATTAATTGAAAAAATTTTTTTTTTTTTTTTTTTTTTTTAAAAATCATTATTATTTTTTATTTTTTTAATTTTTTGTACCTTTTTATATTAACTGAAGAAATGAAGAAATGATGGGAAACAAAGCAATTACTGGTCTATAATGTGAATGTACTCGCGTTCTTTTCGCAGAGCTTGAGTAGCATCGACGGTATCCTGCAAGTGGAGGTAAGAACGCCAGTGTCTAACGTACTTGATGACGAGAGACTCGAGTTGAGCAGGCTCAATTCCGAGAGAGGCAAAAGTCTCAGCGTTAGGGTCAATGACTTGGTCAATAAACATGCGCTCGACTTGATCTGGGGAAAGAGTAGGCCAGTAGATGAGCTGGGTAGCCTTAGCAAAGGCGAGGTAGAGCTGCTTGGGGAGGTTAAGAACAGTTTGTTCGTTGGAGGTAGCACCTTGGACAAGAGCTTGAATCTCAGCCATGGTGAGTTCCTTAGGACCGTAAAGTTCAAAAGTCTTGCCGGTAGTAGCATCGTCGTAGCCGATTTGCTCGAGGGCAGCAGCAACGTCAACAACATGGACTGGGCGAAGTTTTTCCTGGTTATTGTTTGCGACTAGGAGACGGGATTTAGAGGCGATTTGGTTGAGGAACTTATCTGAGTTACCGTACATGGTTGAGGGTCTAACAATGGTAGTATGGGGGACGATTTCGCGGACAATTTCCTCGCCGAGGCCCTTTGTGCGATTAAACTGGGAGACCTTGTCAGAGGAGTTTGCGTTAAAAGCTGAGACGTGGACAAAACGGGGGACATTATACTTGTCGACAGCTTCAGCGATACGCTTAGCACCTTCGACATGGACATCATCGTAAGAGAAGTTTTTAGTTTCATATTCACGGCCAATGAGGTTATAGACAATGTCTGAGTTTTTAACAGCGTCTTCAATGGATTGGACATTACGGAAGTCAAACTCAACAAAGTTGACGACGCCGAGGTCGCCGGCGACCTTAAGGTGACGCTTTTTCATTTCCTCACGGAAGGGGGCGACAGTGATAGTACCGTGACGAGCAAGACGCGAGACGAGATGAGAACCGAGGAACCCGTTAGAGCCAAAGACGGTGGCAGTGTAGCCAGTACGAGAGGAACGGCCACCAGTACCTTGAGCAATAATTGTTTTACCATTGCGGGTAATTTTAATATCGGTGACGAGGGGTTCAAAAGTTTGGATTCCACGAGCCGAGATGTAGGGGGCTATATATGTATAGTAGGTTTGTGTTAGAGAGAAATGGATATTGTATTAGATATATATATTTGCAATCACATACCAAGGGATTTAGGAGAGACGAGACGGACTGAGCGAATCATCTTTTAAATGAGTATATATATAGGATAAAAGGATGGGAAGAGGGTGAGAAGAAGGAATAGGGTATTATAGGGGCGACACTTATATGTGTTAGAAGAGGGATTATATATGATGGTGGTAGTAATTTTAGGTGGTGATTGTGATTGAAGTTTTTTTTTTTTTTTTTTTTTTTTTTTTTTTTTTTTATTAATTGAATAGAAAAAAGGGCGGTCGTTTTGTTGGTTGGCTTAGGAATGGAGAAACTGGATGTGCGTGATTGGTTGAGAATGTGGTTTAAGTTGTAAAGTTTATATTGTAATGGTATAAGTTATAAGTCACGTTTTAAACCCTAACCTTAAAAATAAGATACCGGGTAATTTATTTATAAGTTATTTAAAATAAGGTAAGTTAAATGTACTTACCAAGTACCTTTTTATGTATAACCACGCGACCTTAAATATAAATAGTAAGATCAAAAGGAGGGTGTGATCTTGAGATTTTGTTTTTCAAGTAATGATTATTATCATTTAAATATATATATATATATATTTAAACAGTACTATAATCAAGTTTAAATATATTTGATTGAAATTGAAATAAAAATTTTAAAAAAAAAAATAAATATAAATAAAGTATATTTGAAAGTTGATTAAATGAATGAAATTAAAGATATAAAAAAAAAAATCTATTAATATAATAAGAATATATATATATATATTTTTTTTTTCCACATAAGATTGTAAGCATGAAATTTTTTATTAAAAAAATCAAAAAAATCAAAGTCATTTAATAAATTAAAAATTAATTTTTTTTTGTAAAATCAATTAAGATGTTATCGGTTAATATTCATTTAAAATAGATAAATATATATATATATATATATATATATATATATTTTCTTCATTATTTGTCGTTAAAAAAAAAAAGGGGTGTGTAATAGTAGTCATTGATCATTAATTAATTATAAAAGGCCAAAAAGACGAAGCATTTCAAAGATTCCACCTCCAGCAACTAAGAATCCCAGAAAGACTATATATAATTAATATTATAAAAAAAAAAAAAATTAGTTATTTAGTTAGTTTAATAGATTATATATATTTTATATAATTATAATTATAATTATTTTACATACTTAGCCATGGAGTAGAGATTGGAGATTTTGTATTTGTGATTGATTTCTTGTGGGGTTTACCACGTTTTTTATCTTCCATTCGAGCAAATCGTTCATTTGCTTTTCTAAGTTGAGCGTTTGTTCCCATTATTATATTTTTTTGTGAAAAATTTGTGGAAAAAAATAAATTTATTGATTAGATCTGGATTGATGATTTATAAGTTTTTTTTTTTTTTTAAAAAAGTAAAAGTAAAGTAAAAGTAAAGAGAAAAAAAAAAAAAAAAAAAAAATTGATTTATTAAATTTTTTTTAATTTTTTTTAATTTTTTTAATTTTTTTAATTTTTTTTTATTTTTATTTTTATTTTAATTTTAATTTTTAAAGTTGAGCCACGCTGTCATCTCTAAAAACATTTTTTGAAAATTTCCACTAACAGAATTAAATAGATTTAATAATTAAATTAATTAAATTAAATTAAATAATTAAATTAATTAAATTAAATTAAATTAAATTTAAATATCACGTGAATTATAACTATTTCTTTTAATGTACGTGTCCTAAAATGAGATTTTTTTTTCTTTCTTTCTTTCTTTTTTTGGGGGTTTTTTTTTCTTAATTTGAAACGCACGGCTAACACATTTTCTTTTTTTTTTTTTAAGACTAAAAAATAAACGCTAAACGCGTAAAAAAAAAAAAAATTTTTTTTTTTTTTTTTTTTTTTTTTTTTTTTTTTTTTTTTTTTTTTTTTCGTTTATATTATATTTTAAAATCTCGTCAATTTTCTAATCATAATAATAATAATAAATATAAATTAAGTCATGACTTCATCGTCTTGTTCTGTATTTCTTGCCAAGCTAGTAGTAGTAGTTTGTTACTTATAAGTAATTACTTAAACACACACACACAATAACTACAAAAACTCCTCCTTCTCTCTCCACCACCCCCCCTTGAATGTTTTGAATTCCAATTTTTGCATACGCGTATCCTTTTTTTTTTTTTTTTTTTTTTTTTTTTTTTATTTATTTAAAAAAAATATATATATAAATAAAAGGAGGTTTCCATTATTACCATTTAAATATATAAAAAAAAAAAAAAATACTTGTCCCCCCTTTTTCAAAATTAAAGAATCCTTTTTTTTTTTTTTTATTTATTTATTTTAAATATTTTAAAATTTCGCGTTTTAAATAAAATAAAATAAAAAAAGTTAATGTTTTTTATTTGAAATTTTATTTTTATTTTATCTTCTTCTTCTTCTTCTTCTTCTTCTTTTAAATTTTAAAAAACTTTCTTATTCATTCCTTTTTATATTTATATTTTTTATTTTATTTTTATTTATATTTGAATTTATTCCAACTATTTCACACTCTTTTTTTTTTTTTTCAAACTTTTCAAACTTTTCAAATGAAACCCATTGCTACTACTAAATCCTCTTTGGCTTTAGGATCTCTCTTTGCCCTATTATTCTCCAGTACCCCTACTCTAGTCAAAGCTTCCTCAGACTGCCAGTATATTGAAGGAAATTATTATTGCAACGAAGTTAATAAAGTCGTCTATTCAGGAATCGGATATTCTGGTTCTTACCAACAAGTCTCTTATTTTAATACAACAGATTGTTCTTGTAATCAAACACCTTATTCTTTCTCCGGTTCACTTACTCCTCTCGATGAAGAACTTTCAGTCCATTTCCGTGGTCCAATCAATCTTAAACAATTTGCCTTTTATTCAGTTGATTCTTCATCATCTTCATCTTCATCAAAAAAACATAAACGTAACCAACAAGATTCCCCTCAAAAAGTTCGCAGACACGTCCACCATGCTCATGAACATGATGTAAACAAAAGAGACGCTAAGCCTGATGCTGTCTACGTTACAGCTACTGCCTACGTAACCCAAGTTGTATACGCACAAGTAGATGCTGCTACTAATAACGAAAATAATAACAACAACAACAACAACAACAACAACAATAATAATGACGAAGACACTACTACTACGTCCTCATCTTCCTTGGCTAATCAACAAGTTGTCGTCGTCACCACTGTGGTTCAACAAGCTTCCGATGCTTCTTCTTCTTCTTCTTCTTCTTCTTCTTCTTCTTCTGCTGCACCAGTTGTTGTTTCTTCTTCTTCTGCTGCTGCTGCCCCAGTTGTCGCTTCTTCTTCTTCTTCTTCTTCTTCGGCTGCTGCTGCACCAGTCGTCACATCCTCTTCATCTTCTGATGTTGCCCCAGTCATTGCCTCCTCTTCTTCAACCCCCTCAACTAGCTCTCTTGTCGCTCAAACTACCTTCTCTGTAGCCTCTCCAAGCTCAACTGCTTCTTCTTCTTCTTCTTCATCTGCTTATGTTCGCTCAGGTTATTACTCCTCCTCAGGAACTCTCGATGGCTTAGTCTTCCTCAACAACATGGGAGGCTCTGCAGGTTCCGGTGTTTGGGACTCTTGCTTTGGTAACTCTCTTTCTTACGCAGCTTCTGATGGTGTTTCTGGCGCCGGTTCTTCTCAAACCCTCAGCGACGTCACCCTTGCCTCAAACAAAGAATTTAGTATCTGGTCTTCAACCGAATGCTCAGGAGATTCATGCGGTTACTATCGTCCAGGCTCCGTGGCCCACCATGGCTTTGGCGGCTCTGCTAAAATCTTTGCCTTTGAATTCTCAATGCCAACAGATTCTGATAGCAGCTCCTCTTTTAACTACGATATGCCTGCTGTCTGGCTTCTTAATGCCCAAATTCCTCGTAACCTTCAATATGGAAATAGCGCTTGTTCATGTTGGGCCACTGGTTGTGGTGAAATGGATCTTTTTGAGGTTCTCAATTCTGGGAATAATCGTCTCACTTCTCACCTTCATAGTGGTCAAGGTGCTACTTCTTCTTCTAAGAAGGTTCGTCGTGATGAACTTTTCCCTCACCTTAATAAACGTGCCACTGCTGTTGTTGGTGGTGGTGGTGGTACTTCCGACTATATTTCTCGTCCTACTTCCGGTACAATGAAGGCAGCTGCCATTTTCCAAGATGGTTCAATCACCATTGTTGTTTTACCTGATGATACTACTTTTGATTCTAGTCTTGATGAAAATACAGTTGCTGAGTGGCTTGCTTTGAATTCGGATTCTGCTGCTAGTGTTGTTCTTTAAAAAAAAGGAAAAAAGAAAAAAAACATTAAACAAATTAAAGACTATTAAAATTACAAAAAAAACAAAAAAAAATTCACCTACAAATCAATTCAATCAACAATGTTTTAAAAAAAATAAAATAAAAAAAAAAACTTATCAACAACAACAATTATCTTTCATTCTCTTTTTTTTTTTTTTTTTTTTTTACTTTTATTATATGTGTTTCTTATCCTTGTATTTTTAGCTTTAAAGCGTCTGACGCTTGTTTTCGTTTGTTATATATAAAAAAAAAAATTTGAAAAAATAGAAAAAAAAAAACCAAATATACAATTTTTTTTTTTTTTTTTAATTGAGGTCAAAATTTGAATATTTGAGGGGGGAGGGAAGAGAAATAAACATTAATGATTTCTTTCTTTCTTTCTTCCTCTTCCTCTTCCTCTTCCTCCTGAAAATATTCAAATATTTTTTTAAAAAAAATAAAAAAAAAAAAAAGGAAACTACGTACAAAAAAAAAGAAAAAAAATTAAAAATCTCATGTTGAATAATACCACTATAATTATAAGAAGATCTTTTTTTTTTTATTATTATTATTATTAAAAAGTACTTTGGTGGTTGTTTACATTTGTTTGCCATATCGTGATTTACTTACTTACTTACTATACTATACTTATTATTGTATGTATTACTACCATTATCAAAAATATTTATTTTTTTATTTTTTTTTTTATTTTGATTGATTGATTGATTGATTTGAGTCTTTCTACCACCTCATCATTCCCCTTCCCTCTCCCCTTCTTTAATCTCTCTGCCTCCTCCCCCCCCCCTTTTTTTTTTAGGGGATGACGATGGGCAACAAACAAACGGACCATTTGTATTTATACAAGAAGAAGAAGAAGAAGAAAAAAAGAAGAAGAAGAAGAAGTTGATGTTTATGATAATAATGATGATGATGATGAAAAAAAAAAAAAAAAAAAAAAAAAAAAAAAAAACATGTAGTTGAGTATAAATTAAAGCTTTATATTTATCTATATTAATATGATGAAAAAAAATAAAAAATAAAAAATAAAAGATTACTTATATATATAAGAAGAAAATAAATTTATATTAAAAGTAAAAAAAAAATAAATAAATAAATAAATAAAAAAGAAGAAGGTACTACATAACTTGTATATCCAGAAACTGAGCCAATTTCCAAGCTAGATTTTTTATGTTTTCTTTTTATTTTTTTTTTTTGTTTTTTTTGTTTTTTTTTTTTTTTTTTGTTATTAAACAAGCTATATAAAAAAAACTATAATATCTCTAAGTAAGTCTAAACTCGTGAACGTCGTTGTATTTATTTATTTGTTTGTTTGTTTGTTTTGCGTATGTGAATGTAAATGTAAATGAATAAATATGAATGAATGAATGTAGGCTGTGTAGTACATGTATACCTTCATCCCCCGTTAGAATTAATATATATTTGATATGAGGGGGGGTCAAATAACAAGTAATAGAGAACATAATTATTTTTTATGAGAAGTTATTATATATATAAAACTGTAGATAATTGTCATCATAATAATTATTATTATTATTATTATTATTATTATTATTATTATTATTATTATTATTATTATTATTATTATTATTATTATTATTATTATTATTATTATTATTATTATTATTATTATTATTATTATTATTATTATTATTATTTTTTTTATTCTTTATAAAATGATAATTATAAAGATTTTTATCTTAAATAAAACAAACCTCATCCCCTAAAAAAAAAATGAATTGTAATGTTGTTAATGTTGTAATGTTGTTAATCCTAAAGTTCTGTTTTTTTTTTTTTTTTTTTTTTTTTTTTCATTGGAATGTAAACTTGGGTTAAATAACTAATTAGATGGAAACATAAAATAAAAATAATATCAAGGTACTACGTATTATATAAATTAAAATAAAAATAAAAATAAAATAAAAAAAAAGATTATTGATGATGATGATGATAATAATAATAATAATAATAATAATAATGATAACGTATTTAGTTAAGATACTCCGTAATGGATGATTATGTATATACAAAAAAAATAAAAATAAATGATTTTAGTTTTTAAAAATAAAGTTGATTTGAATAAACTTTATTTTTAAAAACTATGATAATGATGACGATGATGAAGATGAAGAAGATGAAGAAGATGATATTTGAAAAAAAAAAAAAATTAAAATTCAAAAATTTTTTATTTTTTATTTTTTTTTTATATTCTTATCAAACGTTTTTTTTTTTTTTTTTTTTTATTCCACCTTATATAGTGGGGGGGAAAAAATAAGAAGAAAGACATTTTTTTCTTTCTTTTTTTCTTTCTTTTCTTTTGAAACAATTGCTTTGTTCTGTATAGAAGACATAATTATTATAATAAATATAAAGTTAAAACATTAATAGTCAAACAAACGAACAAACAAAATCAATTTAAAATCAAATAAATAAATAAAAATAAATAAATAAATAATTTTTTTTTTCACTTTCTAATTATATTATTAATGTTGTTGCTGTCTTTCTCTAAGAAAAAAAATAAAAAAAATAAAATTCACTCTTTGTGTTCGTTTCAGAAAAACATTTCTTCATCTATAAAAAACCCTTTTTAAAAAGTTTCTCTTTTTTTTTTTTTTTTTTTTTTTGATGAACCTTGGTTAGGCCAAAAAAGAAAGAGAAAGAAATAAAGAAAGAAAGAAATGAATAAAATTTTTTATTTTTATTTTTATTTTTATTTTGCTTTCAATGTTATTACGGGGGGGTTTTTTTTTAAAATATTTTTATTTATTTATTTGTTTTTTTTACTATTCTGAAAATTCAAACGTACTTCTTTTTTTTATAGCAATCAAAGAAGAAAAACTCTTCTTCATTATTATTATTATTATTATTATTATTATTATTATTATTATTTTATTTATGGATTATAAAATTGTAAATATTTTTCAATATCAATTAATTTGAACTTTCTTTCTTTCTTTCTTTATTTTTATTTCTTTTCTATAATTATAAATTTAAAGTCATTTTTTTTTATTTTTTTTTATTTTTTTTATATTTTTTTTTATATTTCCCCCCCCCCCCACAATAATAAATCTTTTAATTTAACCAGAAAAGCACATGCACACATTACTGTTTATTGTCACTAACTAAAGTTTATTATCAAAGCCTGTCAAGAAATATCCCTAAAAAAAAAATAAAAAAAAAAAACTGCAAATATATATATATATATATGAGTTTCATTCTATAAAAAAAGGACTTTAGAAATCAATAAAAAGTCTGGATCAAAAAAATAAGAATTATAATAATTATTTTTTTTTTTTTTTTTATATTTTAAATTTTAAATTTTGAAAAAATCATGATATTCTTTACTGTTTTCATTTTTATCTTTTTTGAGCAATTTTTATTTTTATTTTAAAAAGTTTTATATTTTCTTAAATATACTTACTCAAAAAAAAAAAAAAAAAATTCAATTTATATTATTTTACATAAAAAACAAATACTATGATATATCATAATTTTTTTTTTTTTTTCAAAAAAATAAAATAAAATAATGATTCGGTAATACTTAAAAAAAATTTAAAAGTTAAAAAAAATAACAAATCCAACTAATTTTTTTGTTTTTACTTCAAAATTACCAATAATTGTTTCTTTTTTTTATATATATATATTTTTAAGAAATATAAGTATAAGCAATATTTAACAATTATTTAAATTTTTTTGTTTTTATTTTCAAAGGTTATAAAACTTTATCATCAACATCAACACTATCTCTTTTATTTATTTATTTATTTTTTTTTTTTTTTTTTTTTTTGTTCTTACTAGAAATAACTATTTATTTTTTTTTTTTCTCATTAATATTTTACTTTAACTTTAATATTTCAACCTTAATTTCTTGCTAATAAGTTCTAATACTACTTTAAAATAAATATATCAACAAAAAATTAACCATCCTCCAAAATCTTTTGGGTTTTTTTTACAAGCAACTGCCCCGTGCCTTTATATAGCCATGGTAACTTACTTTTTCAGGTCTTTTGGCCCAGTTGGTTATATACAAGCGGTAAAATATTAAGTATATAGCACTGTTTATAACGTAGATTATAAAGTTAAAAAATGTAAAAAAAAAAAAAAAAATAGCTTGGTATTTTTTACGATATTTCAAAAGGTAAATTTTCTTTGGATTAGAATATTCATGGTTAAGTTGTCAAAGTTGTCAATATTTTTAATATGATTCAAGGTGATATAAGCGTGGAGTTGAAATATTTTGTATTTTTGAAATTTTTCATAATATGAAAGACATTTAAAACAATTATTGCTGTAACTACATTTATTATTAAATAAGAATATATATATCCTTTTTGATGTTTGTTTTTTTACCCTTTAAATCTTATTATATTAAGGCATCGTGCCAATACACAAGCAACTTCCTTGTAAACACGAGGATCGGCGGTTCGATCCCGCCAGAGACCATTAATTTTCTTTTGTATTGTTATTTATAATTAAAATAATAATATTTATTACACGTGACACGTGTATTTTTTTTTTTTTTATTTGCTGTTACTGACTTTTGCCTTCTTTCCATACCAACAACAAAACCTCCACTAATTCACCACTTCAGCATCTTCAATCCAAGCATAGACAAAACCACTCAATGAGCCGGCGCTCGTCTCTTAATATCTCCCGTACAGCGTCGCCTCTCGGACCATCTTCGTCATCCCGGCTCGCTGCATCATCAACGCCCATTGTCGTCGACGTTTCGTTCGATTCGCCTGTCGTCTTTGCCGGCCAAGCCCTCACTGCTAAAATCACTTTCCGCAACCCAGAACCCCCAATACCAGCACCAGATCATCAGCCTCCACCTCCAACATCAACTTCTGCAAATCTTTCAGATCAGGGCCTTGGGAATCATACACAATTAGCTCAGGCACCTATATCGAGCAATTCATCTAGAGATTTTAATAATCATAATAACCATAGTAGCCATAATAATAATAATAATAATAATAATAATAATAATAATAATAATAATAATAATAATAATAATAATAATAATAATAATAATAATAATAATAATAATAATAATAATAATAATAATAATAATAATAATAATAATAATAATAATAATAATAATAATAATAATAATAATAATAATAATAATAATAATAATAATAATAATAATCATAATAATATCACCAATGATACATCCCAAGATATTACTACAACCTCCCCCTCCTTACAAGCAAATGATGACTCGCAATGGGATATTCCCGGAAGAAAACTATCAGTCCAAATCGCAAGTACTTTCCGCGACCTATACTTCAACAATAGTGCAAGCTCGCCAGAACTACCCGCAGGTTCCGTCCACCCACATTCTCCTGCAAGAACTACTGCTGCTACTGGAATCTCCAACAGTGGACTCCATCGCTCTGGCTCCGTTCGTGCGTCACCACCGCAGCACTCTGTGGCTACCCCCAGTCTTCTCATGGGCTATGCCCAAGTCCAGGGCTACTTTGTAGTTGATGATGAGCTGGTGGATGTTTCACAGTTTGCACATGCCAAAACTCAAGGCGTTGTTGTTGGCGCATCTGGTCTCGCTTACGCACCAGCCCCACAAACAGGTTTCCTACATGGCCTTGCGTCTGGAATCGGAAGCTTATTCCAGGTCAAAGATGCAGAAGCAATGAACTCACGTGTTTCGCCTGTAGGAAATCTACCAGGCCGTGTCCGTGCAGGATCGTTTGGTAACAATGGGCTCACTCGAAGTCCTGTCATGACCCCAATCGGCGGTAATAACATGCGCAGCGGAGCAACCACTCCAACAGCACAAGGCACTTCATCTGCCATTGCGCTCAGCAATACAGGACCTGCACCGGCAAATGCAGTGCCGATTTTTTCAACACCACAGTCACTACTTTTCGTAGACCTGAAACTCGCGCCCGGTGAAAAACGTGTTTTTTATTATAAGCTTCCACTACCTAAAACTCTGCCGCCTAGTTGCCGCGCAAAGTCTCTGCGAATTCATTATAACTTGGTCATTGGTACCCAGAAACTTATCCGTGGCATGCCAGTTCCTAAAACTACTTTTGTCCCCTTCAGAGTGTTCCCATACATTGACAAATATGGCCTACAATATACCCATGACCTAAAGGCCCCCATAGTTTTGCAACGTGATGATGCTCTAGTTGCATCAATTCCACTGGATATAATTTCTTCTGAGGAAGCCACTGCTGCTTATATCACTAAGCTCGAGGCTACAAGTACCAAAAATAATGATTCCAAACGTGGCAACAGAGGCAACAATACCCGTCACGATTTTGAACTGTACGTGGCTGAAATGCTACGCGAAATTAATGCGCACAAAGACCAAAATTCATCACAAATAACTTCTTCCCCCAATGAAAAACATCCAAATATAAAGCCACCGGAATCGCCTGTCGCACCATTGTTTTCTCAAGTTATGCAAAGCTCGGCAACAATCTCAGATGATGACGATCCGCGAAATAACATTGAGCATTTTACAAGGTTTCAGCAGACAAAGCCACCAGCGAGGCCTCTTAAAACCCGCTACGATATCGGCCGTGCCGGGCGTCGTATCGCCGCAATTACATTTTCAAAAGCAGTGTACCGGGTCGGCGACAGTGTTTTATTTACGGTTGACTTTGCGCGAGCAGCGCTGAAATGCTTCCATGTTACGGTAGCTCTCGAGACTGAAGAAGCTATTTCTCCCGATGTACTAAAGCAATTTAATGAAAATACAGATGATGATGACGATGATGACAACAATGATTTATCGCGGCAACAAAAACAGCTTCCGGTCGTCGATACCTCTGGACTCACAAGGCGCGTGTATTCACAAGCAACAACGTCGACATATGCAGCCGCCAAAACGGCTTTTGAATTTACTATCCCAGCCACAGCTACACCACAGTTTAGCACATCGGCAATTGCGCTCAAATGGGTGCTCAAAATGGACTTTATTACAAGTCCTGCAGCGGCTCCACCCATGGTTTCGGAACTCATTGGCAACAGCAACTCAAATTCTAACCATGAACGAACAACGTCAACATCTGAATTGTCTGCGGACCAACAGTCACCAACACCAAACTATCATGATCAAGCAGAAGCATCGGGTAATAGTAACCAGCAACCACCATCTGAACATGCAACAGCATCAGCACGAACATTTGTGCCGGAAGATATCTTGGAGCACATTCCCGATGACCCTCACTCTGTGATGGAGATTGTGAGCGTGTCGCCAAAGGGTGTTATTGCAGTGGCTAAAGAAACAATAGCTTGTGAAGCATTTTCATGCAAGGTTCCGCTGCATGTTGTACCGACAAACCAAGACATTAGTGCACTGCTCCGGCACTCAGTATTATCAACGAGGTCTTGGGAGCTATAGAGTTTGTTTTTTTTATTTTCACGAGATAAGTAAATGATTGTTAGGCTATTCCTTTTTATATATATAGACATATTTTACCAAGATGGAAAAATAAAAAAAAAAAAAATTGTGCATTATATTTATTTGATTTATTGATTTATACTGTACAAATGAAATTCACATCTAACCTTTTATTGAATTTTGGCTGGACGGTATGGCGATACAACACCACTCAAAGACTCGCCGCAGACCTTACACTCCTGTCGTTTCTTAAACTCGGCCAAGAAACACTTTTCGCAAAATACATGACTACACTCTTTAGTAATGACAGGCGCCGCCAGCGGGCCCAAGCACACCGGACACACGGTCGCCACGTTACTCTGCTGCTTATCTTTGCTTTCATCTTCCTCTTCTCCCTTTTCTTTTCTTATTTTTTCGCCGGCCGCCCGTTCACTTTGCTGTGCAGCCCACGCGCGATCAATCTGCCATCCAGCAGCATAATCTTCACGCATGTGCAAGAACTTGCACGTATCGCCGTACCCACAGAACCCTGTTTGCTTATAGTCTTTACACACATCAGGCGCATAATCTGTGAGCACACCACCAGCTCCTGCAACCCCAGCATTCTGAGCCGCTAGCTTTCGTGATGGTCCAAATCTTGCCACCACTGGAGGGTCTGTTGATATGGTGGTGGTTACGGAGGAGGAGGAAGAAGATGATGATGAAGTGGATGAGGTTGATTGAGAATCCGAGAATGCAAGTTTGGGTTTGGAGGAAGATGAAGATGAAGATACTGGACGTGTATTATTGGCACGCCGCCGTTTTACCACAGGCTCTGATGGGTCGTCATCGTCTTGTTGTTTGTTGGCAGAGTCTTGGATTGGATCTGAATTTTTATCTAACGCGTCTTGTGGCGGTGGCAAGTCATCTTGAAGTTCTGGGTGGGGTTCTTTTGCCGGAGAGGGTTCTGAGTCTTTAGATCTTACTGAAATTTGTTGAGAAAGTGAAGATTTTGAAATTTTACGTTTCTTAAACATGGTTTAGAGTAGTTGGTAGTTTATGAATGAATGAATAAATGAATGATTGTTTAGAAATAGTTTAAGATCAGGATAGAAATGATTTGAAATATTAGATTTGAAGTACTGATGAAAAAAAAAAAAAAAAAAAAAAAAATTAGAAATCGATTGTTTACGTAAGAAATGATGTAATTTTTTTAATGGAACCTTCGATTTCAATCTTTTATTTTAAAAAATTAAAAATGTTTATTGAAAAATAACTTTTGAAAAGAAAAAAAAAAAAAAGGACAAGCCATTCAAAATCACTTAAATAAACATTAAATTTTAAAATTTAGTCTAATTTTTATGTGATTTTTTTTTTTTGGTCATAAGACTTGGATGATGAGAGATTTGTCAGCTTGCTTGATTCACTAACATTGATTGATGCTTACTTTACTAGAAAATTTCAACAATCTTTCATACAAGATCCAAATGTATTTTTTGATGCTGGAATAAAATCGTTTCATTTATTAATTATTAATTTTTTTTTACAGGACACTTGAGACCAACTATGCACATGTTTATGAGATTAAGATTTATTTTTCAAAAAAAAATCTTTTTATTCCCATCCTCATCTTCAACTAACTTTGTATCCGTACACACAAAATAATATTTGAAACCTTAGTCTAAGCTTTTTGTTATTTTATTAATATATACTATTAACTTAACAGAAAATCAACTGACGGTTCTGTGAATCATGAAACGATAAACACAGACACAAGTCAATTGGTGGACTGACTACTCCTAAAGTTGTTTAAAAAAATATCATTAACTATATATCACTTTTATTTTCATAGTAATTCAATAACTACACTCAGTGAAGATGTTTTTTTTTTATGTCTGAACTGGAAAATATAAAAAAATTAAATAACATATATATTCAACTGACAGTCTACCTTCCATTTAAACACAAAATTTAATACTCGTCAAGCTTTGTCTGTAAAAATAAAAAAAATAAAAAAAAAACAAAAGTTTTCAAAAGAAAATTTTTCTCAGAACCAAATTTATTTAAAAAGCAAGTTCAACAGTACACATCATTAATGCTGTAACTGAATCCTGATACAGAAATATCAGCGCTCTGTAGAAGATGTGTCAACGCACTGCGCACACTCGGCCCCAAACCCTGCGTATGACGAAAAAACTAGAACGTTTAATAAAAGTTTGCTATATGTTAACAAACCAATCCATCAACATTGAAACTCGGAAAGGCAGAGCAGACACCGAATATGGTACAAAAAAAACTCCGATTGGCCAATATGGCTAGTTAGTTGTAAACGTTGGCATAGTCGTACTCTATGTACTCTAGCAGAGAAAAAGCAATTATGACGTAATATAGTTCAAAAGTAGTTTTAAGAGTCCGTTTTTTTTTCATTTTTTTTTTCATTTTTTTTATTAAATAGCTTGGTTCATATAAATTTTGGTTTTTTTTTTTATGATGACGATTATGATTTACGTCATAGAGATGAGAACGTTTAAGTTTTAAATTTTTCACACGTAAACCACAATAATGCCTACAAGTTGTGTATGCCAACCAAACCAAGAACTTTTGTTTTGTACTCCTTTCTCCCTTTGTTAACCCTTTTTATTTATTTATTTTTTTTTTTTTGAATAATAGGTTTCAGTGTTACAGTTTGAAAAAATGTTCCTCACAAGACTCAACTTCAAGTCTTGGGTGTTTATCTTATTAAATTAGTTTTTTTATGACCTTGAATTAAACTTGATTTCTTTTGAAATGTTAAGCCTTCCCTATAGGGAAAGTTCTATGTACTCAGGCCGGCTTGAGTACGCACATGAAATAAAGAGTATGAGTGAGAACCTCTGTATTGCCTAATTAAGTAGTCCAAAAGTTAGCTTGCCAAATAGGGTATACCAACGGGGACATCAAATAAAAAAACCAAAATTCCGCAAGGGTAAGGGCTAGTATTTTTTTTTTAATTTCAGCAGCTATCCCAATTAGGTTATAAAAATTTGATTTACTTTAAAACTTTTAAAAAAAAATATCTGCAAGGGTAAGGGTTTTTTCTCTTTTTATGTCGAGCCGCTAACCCAATTAGGTTATAAAAATATCAAGTACTTTCAAAATTCAAAGAATCCGTAAGGGTAAGGGCCTTTTGATTTTTTGTTGTCCAGCAGCTAACCCAATTGGGTTATACAAATATCAAGTACTTTTAAAATTCAAAGAATCCGTAAGGGTAAGGGCCTTTTGATTTTTTGTTGTCCAGCAGCTAACCCAATTGGGTTATACAAATATCAAGTACTTTTAAAATTTAAAGAATCCGGAAGGGTAAGGGTTCTATTATTTTTTTTATGGCAAATGGGTGTATTTTCGCGAAAAAGAATTCTCATACTAAATTTCTGAAAATTTAAAAAAAAATGATTAAGCTTTTATTTTAAGTTTAACAATTATTCCAATTAGGTAAAGTTTTGATTACACACACATACATAGGTAAATATTCACATACTAGAAATTGTAATTAATACGCAAGGGTAAGGGTTGAATTTTTCTTTAATAGATTTAAATTGGTAATTCCATTTTTTAGACTTTAATTATTTTGCTGCATGCTATCAATAATTGTTTTACTATTTTTGATTAAGTGCTTAAACTTAACCCAAATAGGCTAAAATGTAGTTTTTTTAAAATTATTTTCAAGATTCCATAAGGGTAAGGGTAAATTTTTAAGTGTACATTTTCTATATCCTAATTTGGATATCAGACTAATAGTTTTTGGTGCTTGATTGACACTCGAGTTCTCGAGTAATCAAAAAAAAAAAAAAATAGAAATACTTGCTCAAATAGTTCCATATCAAATAATAGGGGGATTTTTACTTGGAAAGCTGTGGCACATTAGTGCAATAAATTCAAAATATATATCATCCATAATGAAGCCCATCAAAGCATTACCAGCAATCACCAAGACCAAATACTGGTGAAACCCGTAGGCTAAGTATGCAAAAAAACAACTGGAAGATATAAAAAAAAAACAAAGGAGCCGTAAAATAAATAAGACTATATTGAAGGCCAAGGATATTTATATATAGTGTTTGTGAACCAAAAACTCAGAAAAATAATCAAAAAAAAATTTTCAAGAGCCAGTTTTCCAAAACTGGTCAAAGAAAACCAATCAATGGGCCCAAGACTGGACTATAGATGATGCCAACCAACCAAAACACAGGAGTGTATGACATGCACCGCATCAAAATGGTGTCTTCGGTAGTGGTGCGGCTAATGACCATATATAATAGAAAAGTTGGAATGAAACTTCTTTCTAATAACAGTTTTGACTATAGATATTATTGATTTTTTTTTTATTTGATTTTAATCTTCGCCCATAGCAAACGTTTTAATTGATTATTTAAGTGTTTTCCAATTTTTCTTGATGAACTTGTATGTAGTTGGATAATAATCTAGATTTCTTATGAAGACTATTTAGCTAATATATAGACTTGTTTAATTAAATGTCTTAGTATCATCAATACTGAACTGAACTGAACTGAACTGAACTTTTCTTCTACCTTTGTTCATACATTTTAATTCCTATGTTATGCTAAAAGAAGAATATTTAAATTCCTTACCCTTATGGAATCTTCATTAAAAAAGGAGTAAAAATTATAAATTGAAATTAACGTGTTTCTGACTAATATATGAATCTTACACTACACCAATCAACTTATAATTAGCAATCATAATTATAATTATCCCAAGTCTTGTGGCAATCGTTTGTTAATGACAGTTGATTGAAAAGCCTTTGAAAAAAAAAAAAAAACGTCAAAATACCTTCCCCTCAGAATTCAACACAAAAAGCATTACTTTATTTTTTTATTTTTTTTTTAATCAATAAAAAAACAGTGCATATTTACGAAATTAGCATAAATATCTCGTTACACAAGGTTTCTTTTATATTCCATACCCGGATCACTAATTCTTGATATATGGTTATTGTAATGAGATATTAGATACATAAACCTCACAATATAAGCATATTCCCTTGCCCTTGTGGAATGCACTTTAAATGTTCCAAATGGTTCTGGGCATTGTTGTTGTACTATCTTGTGAGCTATTTCATTGGTGATTGGTGATATGGGGTCCCAAAGGTCTTTCTCTTCAGTGGCGCAAATATTTTTCTCTGGCTAAAATGTATTTTTGCGTAAGCGTAAGCAATCCAAGCACCCAAGGCGGACATTTGCGACGCCGACGCAAACTAAGTGCACCTAATAACGCCTGAGAAATACAAGACTTTGGACTGTTTAGTTTTAAGTCAAATTTTTTTTTTTTTTTACTAACGAGAGCCATGATTCTTGTTTATTATTTTTGTGATTATTTTGATAATAATAAGATTTTTTCAAATGAAGAGAATTGGTTGTAGATATATAAAAAGTCCATGATAAAAGGGAATTTCTTCAAAAATTTTAGTCAAGAAGTACAAATTTAGTTGGGATTTAGCCAATCCAAATTGAGAGTTATGCGTAGTTATTACAAATAAGATCAGCTACAATCAGTTGCAATTTGCTGTGCGGCTTATAAATTTTTTTATTTTATTTTGGACCAACCTATCGTCATCATCATCATCATCATCATCTTTGAGACAGACTGTTTTGTTAAAGGACTTGTCTTGTAAAAAAAAAAAATAACAAGTTATTTAATATTTAAAGCTCATGAAAAAAAAAACAGTTATAATTTTAATTGATACATACTTTTGAAGCTGATATTAAAGCTATCATCACTGTAGGATTTGAAGCTACATGATTTGTAGATAGGATTATTGGCCAAAATTAAAAAAAGTTTATTATGAAAATGAAAAGATTTATAGTATGAAAATGAAAAGATATATAGTATGAAAATGAAAAGATATATAGTATGGACAAGAAGGATAGCGCAAATGCTGATGTTATATAATTACAACCTTTGAATAAAAACAAACAAACAAACAAACAAACAAGCAAACAAACAAACAAACAAACAAACAAACAAACAAATAGGATTATTGGTTCAGCCCTAAAATGATTAGCGTTATCTTCCGATGAGTGCATACGGTTGAGATTAATTCCGAATACGAGCTTTCAATTAAGTTACTTTAGAAGCCAAAACCTTAAACGAAAAAAAAAAAAAAGGAAACGTTGCGTTTGCTTGTTCCCAGTAGCCGAAGAGGTTTTTTTTTTTTTTTTTTTGATAGTGTATGGAATTTTGAATAAGGGCTATCGTCAAAGAAGAAAACCAGATTTAAAATCAGTAAAAAAATTAGGAAAGAAGAAGAAAAAAAGAAGGATCTGATTGTTAAAAAAATTTCAAATATTTAATGATTATATTGTCATGTATTTCGATCTTTTAAGTTAAGTTTCGGTTAAAGTGCACCGGCAAAGGAATTTTTTACCGTTTCTGAAATCCCAAACAGGCAACAGTTTAAGAAGAAATCAATTTATTTCAAGATTCCTCAAGGGTTAGGTTCATACCTTTAAGCTTGTATCGTTACAATCTCCTTGATTTAGGGAAAGATTTGGAGTTTGTGTGTAGACTTTAGGTTTTTTTTTTTTTTTTTTTTTTTCATCTTTCTCATGATATACTTTGAGTTTATTTAGAGTATTGAGAAAAGTGGGTGTGGCAAGTAAAGGGAGGCATTCACTTTACTGCGTTGATTTGACAAGGGGGTGGAAGGTTTTCTAAAGCAAAAAAATGAAAAAAAAATGAAAAAAAAAAAAAAAAAAAAAAAAAAAAAAAAAAAAAAAAAACTCAGCCCTGGGATCTACTAGTTGAAATATAAAATGCAATTCTAGTTAAGGCTTTGATTCTTTGAGGTTTACCTGTGATGATGTTTGTTTTTGAGAATTTCAACAACTTGAGCATTAACAGTCCATGAAATTAGTCGGATAGAAGCTCTAAGTAGAAACGGAAAGATGTATACAAGTACTTGTATTCATACTTGGGTAGATGAGAAAGCTAAATATGCAGATCCAATGCAGCCTTTTTAAATGATCATCTGGTCTTTGTTTAGAACAAAACAATGAAAGTTTACTAAACAAAATATTAATTTCTTTATTTTATTTACTATTAAATAATTTATTCAACTAACAAAACAAAGTAAAAACATCTCTACTTAACTCTTCAATTTGCGTACTTTGATCTGCCTCGCAATTGGACACCAAAATTGTACAAGAAAAAGGGAATTGCAATAAGTAGAGTTCCCACACATGCCCAAATAGTACCACCCCATGCTACAGGATATCTTTTAATAGCCAAATTGTGATACATGGGTGGAGTAAAAAGTGGGAAAACAGCTGCAAGAATTGAACGCAAAAGAGCATTACCTGCAAAAACAGAAGCTAAATAGCGATGGAAGCCCTTGCCAAAGTAGGAAAAAAGAGACTGGAAAATGAAAAAAGCTCCAAAGGTAAAGATGCCAATACTCATGATGGGACCCATCCAGTGAGTATGTGGACTTGAACTCCAAGAAAAAATAAAAAGACCAATGGGAAGGAAAAAGGAACCAAAAATTGCAGGCAACAAGAACTTCTCAATGGTTGGATTTTTGGAATTGTTGATCCGGGGAATAATGAAGAGATATACAATGGCAGCTAAATACCCACCTACAATTACGGCAAAATAGACTGTGCCCATTTCAATGGTGGTAAAGTTATAAATCTCAACAAAGCAGATTGGTAAAGCTTCAAACCAGGAGTTGAAAATGACATAGATAAAGGCCATGTAGAAATCTATGCAAAAAACAATGGGTTCACAAATGATGAGGAAAATAGGGCGCCAAAAAATTTCAATGACAAGTTTTTTAAAAGTTGTTTTTTCGTGGACTTCATAAGGTGACTGGATCAATGGGTTCCCAGTAAGTTTACGAAGGCGCAAGGCACGTCGATGGAGAATAGTTCCTCGACTAGTTTCTGGAAGAAAGAGCGCATAGGCCAATAAACAAGCACCAGAAATGATACAAAGAAACCAAAAGTTCCAGCGCCAGTTCACAAGAGCAGCAAAAAGAGAGCCAATGAAGGGTCCCAAAGCAGGGCCTCCAATTGCACCAGCAGACCAAAATACAATGGCATAAGGGACATGTCTAAGAGAGACAGTATCACCAATGGTGGCACCACCAATTGCAAGAGAGGGGGCAGAAGCAATTCCTGCAAGAAGACGGAGACCAATGATTTTCTCAATGGTATGAACCAGGGCAGTAGGAACTTGAATGACACAGAAAAAGGCAATAGCAGTAACATAAATTATACTGCGACCAATAGGAGCATGTTCAGACATAGGCGAGAGAATCATGGGGGCAAAACCAAAACCAAGAAGATAAGTAGTAAGAGGAAGTGTAGCTTTGACTCTTGAAGTATTAAGATCTTTCATCATTTGGGAAGATCCAGAAACAAAAATGGAGGAGGCCATGTACATGACGATAGTGAGGAAGGAGATTTGAAAAACGATCCATGATTTTTTGTAAATGGACCAGTTTTTGGGGTTTGCTGGATCCTCAGGACCGTACCAGTCAACTATGAATGTTTTTTCATCAGAGTTTTGTTTAACAAGATACATTTCAGGAACCACAAAGTCGCGTTTTTCTTCTGGGAAAGGCAAGATCTTACCCCCAGACAGCTTGTTTATGATGAACCCAAAGACACTATCGCGAAGAATATCAGGAGCCATGATTATATGTAATTTAGATTTTGAAATGATTAAGAAATATATATATAAAATAAAAGATAATAAAAAATTAAAAAATTATGAGGATTTGAGCCTGCTTTTAAATCTCATTTCTAGCTATCGTTTAGGCCCAAGTTTTTTTTTTTAGGTTTTTATTTATTTATATTTTTTTCAAGTTAACTTAGGGCAGTATTTTGGATACAAATTTCCATTTCCATTTCCATCTTCATTACCATAACTATTCCCCCTCCCCTCCCTCTCCAGGATTGTGCAAGTTCCCGTTGTTGTCCAAGCCGAAAAAGATTATGCCGAAACCCTCAAGCAGATTTTTTCGGATATTGGTAAGGCTGGAGGGTCAGTATGGCTGTGCGTGATGTGCAGGTTAGTAGTTCCTAACTTAATGTGCAGTCGGACCGAAAGTGGGAGTGCAAAAAGAAAGGTTTTGCATTTTTTCGGGACTGGTTATGGTGGGTGGTAATGGCAGTGGTGCGGCGGTAGGGTTATGGTGGTGGGGAAGTATAATATATACTACCCTCATAATACAAACACCACTCGCTATTACAAGTATAGTAAATAAACAAGTCAGATGAGTCACCACCGCCGTTTGTTTTTTTTTTCTCTTAAAAAAAATCAGACCCGCAACGGATCCGAGATTGATATTATCTGATTGAAGTAGGCCTAATGTTAGAAAAAACGTTTTTGTCATATAAAGATGACGATCTTGGATGGAGTGGTGGTAGTGGTGGTGGTCTAAAGTTTTAGAGAGAAGGTACTTGCAGCATCACTTTAAACCTAGATTGGAAATCTAAGTGCACACAAAAACAATAGAGGGGTAGCATAATAATAAAAGCCTGGGAATCTGGACTTAAAAGTAAACATTTAAACGGATATCTAAATAGGTCTAGTACAAATATGAAAGTTCAACAACCAGTATTACAAACAATATACTTGCTTCAACAATGATACTTTCAAACGTCTTTCTAAAAGGATCATCTTGTGATTTCTGCTTTTAAATCAAATACTTTAATTGTAATCTTTTTAATGCCAATCAATATGTTACTATAGGAAATCTTACGTGTTAATTTACATTCTGTTTTATTATATATATATATATATATATATATTTATAACCAGTATAAAATTTTGGGTTATAATATTTTAGTTGTTTTGAATTCCAATCTTTATAAATCTTACTAAAGGAAATCTAGAACACTTGATTTAAACATTAAAAAAATATTATTTATAATTAAAACTAAACGAAAAAAAAAAAAAAAAAACTATACAATAAACAAATTTATAAAAATTACTTAATTAGCATACTTTGAGCGACCACGGAGCTGGACGCCAAAGTGATAAATGGTGAATGGAATGGCAATCATAATAACACCAATGCATGCCCAAATGGTACCTCCCCAGGCTACCGGGTAGTCCTTAATGGCCAGGTTATTATACATTGGTGGTGTAAATATGGGGAAAATGGAGGCAAAGACAGAGCGCATGAGACAGTTACCTGCAAAGACGGAAGCCAAGAAACGGTAAAAGCCACGGCCAAGGTAGGCAAAAGTAGATTGGAAAATGAAGAGAGCACCAAAAGTGAAAATGGCAATACTAATCACAGGTGCAATCCAATGGGAGTGAGAAGAAGACCCCCAGGAAAAGATGAAAAGTGCAGTAGGTAGGAAAAATGAGCCAACCATTGCTGGAATTAAAAACTTTTCAATAGCTGGGTGTTCTGATTTGATGATGCGGTTGATGAAAAAGAGGTAGCAAATTCCACCAAGATAGCCACCAACAAGTACGGCGATATAAACGAGACCACCCTCAATGGTTGTGAAATGGTAAAATTCATTAAAAACAATAGGCAAAGATTCGAACCATGAGTTGAGGATAATGTAGATGAAGGCAATGTAGATATTGAGGGCAAGGACAATAGGCTCGAAAAAGGCAATGAAGATTGGACGCCAAAGAGTTTCCTTGATGAATTCCCAAAAGGGTTGTTTTTCTTGGACCTCATAAGGGGAGCGAATTGCTTGGTTTCCAGTCAGGTTGCGCAATCTTTGAGCTCTGCGGTGAAGAATTGTTGCGTGATTTGTTTCTGGAAGTAGGAAGGAAATGACCAAGAGTAAGAATCCAGAAATGATGCACAAGAACCAAAAAGTCCATCGCCAATCCACCTTGACTACAAAAAGAGAGCCAATAAAGGGGCCTAGTGCTGGACCACCAAGTGCACCAGCTGCCCAAAAGACAAGAGCAGCGGGGAGATGATCGAAGGAAACAATATCACCTATAGTAGCACCACCTGTGGAAAGTGAAGGAGAAGCAGCCATTCCAGCAAGCAATCTTAAGCCAATAATTTTTTCAATGGTGTTACCAAGAGCGGTTGGGACTTGAATAACACAGAAGAAGGCGACAGATAGAATGTAGAGCAAGGTGCGACCCATTGGGGGATGTTCAGAGAGTGGTGAGAGAACCATTGGAGCCACGCCATAGCCAATGATGAAAGTTGTTAGAGGAAGGGTGACCATGACACGGGTAGTATTGAGTTCTTTCATCATTTCTGGGGCACCGGAAACGTAGATTGAAGAGCCCATGTACATGCAAACTGTGAGGAAAGCAATGCCAAAGATGATCCAGCATTTCTTAAGTTTTGACCAGTTTTGTGGGTTATCAGGGTCATTGAGGTCATACCAATCAACCACAATAAATTGGCCATGGTCAATACTTCTGGAATCATCTGGTTGGGCCAGAGGATCAAGCGATTTTTGTGGCAAAATACCTAGATCTCGTTCTTCATCCACAGCTTCGTAGACTCTAGGAGATTCTTCTTCTTCTTTACGTAGTGAACTACTTGAGATTGAAGGAGATTCTTGACTTCTGGTTGTGAAAAGGGCTGGGGAAGGTTGTTCTAAAGAGGCAGTTGGAGATAAGGAGGCCAATTTTTCTTGCAAGACTTGAGGTGGGTCTGTCAGATATTTATCAGGAACAACAAAGTCAGGACGTTGTTCAGGATATGGTAAGAGTTTACCATTGGAAAGCCAATTGATCAAGTTTCCAGCGACGCTATCACGAATGAGATCAGGAGCCATTTTTAAAAAGAGTAAGAGTAAGAGTAAGTTTAAGGTATATTAGAATTTGTAGATGTAAATGTGGTTATATATATATATTTAAAAAAAAAAGAAGGATAATGATAAGGAAGAAGAAGAGAAACATAATTGAGGACTGAAAAACGGTCAAGTATTTATACTTTTGATAAAAAAACGAAAAAGAAAAGGAAGATATTGATATTTGATTTGTAAGAAAAGTTTTTAGTATATTTATTAAATGGAAATTAGAGTTGGTAATAACATTGGGCGGAGTTAAACTGCAAAGGTATGCCAGGGTGAGTCAACAGCCCTCTTCTACAAACTCAGCCTTTTGTAATGTTGCCGCACGACTCGAGCACGACTGCTGATCTTTTTATTTTTATTTATTTATTTTTATTTATTTATTTTTATTATTGTTAAAGTTTTTAAAGCCCACCTGGGCGTTAGGATTAGTTGAGGAACAATTGGCTTGATGGTGGAGTAATTTTCATAACATAGCAGATCCAAAATGATAATTTTTTTAATTTATTTATTCATTGATTTATTTTCTTGGTAATAGTAATAATAATAATAATAATAATAATAATAATAATAATAATAATAATAATAATAATAATAATAATAATAATAATAATAATAATAGTAAAAACGATTATTAAAAAAAAAAAATAGATGAAAAGGCTGACAAATAGAAACAAATTTTTTTTTTTTTATAAATGACGATAGATGGGACAAAAAACGGAAAAATCGAGTTTATTTATAAGCTCAAAAAGTAACTCCGTTTTTGAATTGATTTTTTTTTTTTTTTTTTAGAAAAATAATAATAATGGAGAAAGAAGAAGAATAATTAAAGTATAAGGAAATAAACAAACGAGATTTATTGTAAACACTAAAGAATTTTCCGGAAGCTACATCACGTTTTTGTAATTTTTTTTTAAAAATCGCAGACAAAGAAACAAACAAAAAAAAAAAAGGGTTAAGTGATAGGTATATAAAAAAAAAATAAATTTCTTTTTCTTTTTTTTTTTTTTTTTTAAAGGAGTTAAGTGTAGCCGTAAAAAAAAGAAAAAAGGAAATTTACGGATTTTGTGGATTTTGTGGATGGAGGAAACTCGAAGACGGTGGATATAAATATAACGTCATTTCTCAAGTCCGCGGATAGAAAAAAAATAAAGTAAAAATAAAAATAAAATAATAATTATTATTTTATTTTTAACTTATAAGTTAGTTAAAATGGAAGTTAATTATGTTACATAAATAATTGTAGTTATTTTATAATTAGTTAATTTGTAATCAATAAAAATGTAACAAAAATGTAATTAAAATGTAACAAAGATGTAACTAAAAAGTAACTAAAATGTAACTAAAATGTAACAACAACAACAAGATGTATTAATTACATCACACTTTGATTTTCACATGCAAATATTATCCCCTTCCCCCAACATCTTTAACTGGGTTAGGGTATTGTCGTTTAGACGTTATTTAATTATTTAAATTTTTTTTTTTTTTTTTTTTTTTTTTTCACACTCCGATAAGCTTCCCCAATTGTGATTTTAGTCGGGGATTCTAATGAGTTTTTTTTTTTTTTTTCATCATCATATGAAAGAAAAAAAAAAATTGGCATTTGACATTTGCGATGAGCCAACGGGTCCATTATTATTATTATTTCCATTGTATTTTTATATTATAACCTGTCAATATGTCAAATAAAGTATATATAAATTGAATTTTTTTAATATTTTTTTTTTTTTTTTTTTAATTCTGGTTCTCCATTTTTCTCCAGTTTTTTTAAGGTCAAAAACAATTGTAACCGAACACCTCCTATTGGCTGTACCTTTTGGTCCGACAGTTATTATCCTCTTAAAATAATCACCATTAAAACTTTTTAAAACTAGATATTAATTGTTTTTTTTTTTTTAATATCTTTTGAAAAATAAATCAAATCGTATTTTAAGAAAAAAAAAAACAGAAATCAATTAAAGTGTATTTTCATAATAATAATAATAATAATATTATTATTATTTAATTATGGAATGATTTACGGGAAGAAACAAACGAAAGTAACCAAACTCCATTTAGGTCCGATGGTTCCCCACACGATAATAAAAGACTAACCGCAATCTTTTTTTTTTTTTTTTTTTTTTTTTTTTTTTTTCTCAACAAATGCACGTCTCACCAACAAAAAAAAAAAAATTACTCTAAGTGCGCACGGAATTTTCACAAGCTTGTGAAAGTTTTTTCTTTTTATCTCTATTTCTTTTCTACTAAAGTGAGCCCATATATATACGCCATAAGTTAGCAGAACTGAACTAACAAGACTTTAAAATGTGGCGTCAAGCAACTGTGGCTTGAGCCTTCTTAATTAAAAGTTTAAAAGAAGTAAAAGAAGAAGAAGAAGAAGAAGACGAAACTTTAATGAAGATTGTGGCAAATGATGATGCTTGTATAAATAAATAAATAAATTAATAAATAAATATAGCAAACTATATTTTAACTTTTGAAAAAAAAAAAAAAATCAAAATAGTTTTTGCTGTTGAAATTTAACAAACAAAATTTTTTTTTTTCCCCTATACCATTTCTAATCCTTAAATTGTTTTCAAAAAAAAAAAAAATTCCCAAATCAATATTTTTAATTTTATTTTATTTATATCAGTCGGCGATATTGGACATGCGGGCCTCCGAAACACTCTCCGAAGCAGCCAGTCGTGTGTCCAAACTCCTATTTAGGCAGTTATCTTTAAAAAAAAAAAAAATAAATAAATAAATAAAAAAAAAAATACCACCACAGGGAGCTTTCGGGCCAACGCTACTTGAAAGACCCGCCTACTTTTCATTTTTTTTTTTTTTTTTTTGGAATAATAGAATGAAAAGAAAAAAAAAAAAAATTTTTGGATTTTTTAAAAGTACCCAAATACTGCATAAATTTGGAAGCCAATAATATTTTTAAAAAAAAAAACCGTTAGATTTTTAAGAACCTTTTAATGAATATATTTTAAAAAATTTTACAAAAATACTAAGAAAAAAAAAAACTTCTTCCTATTCATTTTTTTTTGATAAAAAAAATATACTTTTAACATAAATGTCAAAAAGGGATACTCTTAGGGGTACGCAAAAGTTTAACTTGCGGTGTGTGTAGCAGTCGTCGTTGGTTTTTCACTACAGTGTAATCACGAAAAATTTCTTTTCTTTTTTTTTTTTTTTTTTTTTTTTTTTTTTTTTTTAAAAGACAAAATTCAAATATAAATATTCGGCCAAGTCCTCCCATTTTGTCAAACTTTTTCAAAATTCCCCTTCTTGCCCTCTCCCACCCTCTCTCTCTATCTCTTCTCTTTCAAATCTCCCCATATTTAACCCCCCTCCTCCTAAAGACCTTACCAGTCTATCATCATCATCATCATAATGTCGGAGAAAATAACAACAACAACGTCGGCAACCGCCGGTGACCCCGAGCTCACCCAGATTCGCTCGCGTATCTTTTCCCACACAGACGGCCTCGAGCGAGCAACCTCTCGCGCATCCCTCGAAGAACAGGAAGACTTGAAACTCGCTGAAATGGGCTATAAGCCCGAACTGCGTCGTAACTTTAGCGCATGGTCTCTTCTCGGTATCGGTTTCGGTCTCACCAACTCTTGGTTCGGTATCTCTGCTTCCCTTGTCACCGGCATCTATTCAGGTGGTCCCCTCATGATTGTCTATGGTATCCTTATCATTGCATTTGTGTCCACATTCATTGGTATCACCCTCTCAGAACTTGCCTCCGCTTTCCCTAACTCTGGCGGCCAGTACTACTGGACAATGGTCTTGGCCCCTAGAAAACAGGCCCCCTTCCTCGCTTACATGTGTGGTGCCCTTGCTTGGGCTGGCTCTGTTTTTAGTGCTGCCTCCACTTCCATGTCTGTGGCCCAGGTCATCGTCGGTATGCATGCACTACTTGCAGGCCCTGACTTCGTTGTCAAAGATTGGATGGTCTTTGTTACCTTCCAAATCGTCAACCTAGTCGCCTTTCTGTTCAACTGCTACGGCAAGCTGCTCCCCTACTTTGCCAAAGCTGCTCTCTACATCTCTCTCATTTCTTACTTCACCATCACAGTCACTGTTCTTGCGTGCTCTTCTGGCCGTTATCAGTCAGCCCACTTTGTCTTTGTTCAGTTCAACAACCAGACCGGCTGGAAGTCTTCCGGTATCGCCTTCATTGTTGGTCTTATCAACCCCAACTGGTGTTTCTCGTGTCTTGACTCAGCAACCCATATGGCCGAAGAGGCCCTTGAGCCTGAACGTAAGATTCCTATCGCTATCATGGGTACTGTGGCCATTGGTTTCCTTACTTCCTTCACTTATGTCATTGCCATGTTCTTCTCTGTCAACAACCTTGACGAAATTTTCAACTCAAACACTCTCGTGCCTATCATTGATATTTATTACCAGGCCCTTCGCAACAAGGGTGGCACCATCTGGCTTATGGTCATGTTCTTGCTTACTGCCTTTGGCTGCAACATGTCTGGTCAGACTTGGATGACACGTCTCTGCTGGTCCTTTTCCCGTGATAACGGTCTGCTTGGTTCCAAGTACTGGAGCATCATCCACCCCACTCTCGGTGTCCCTCTTAACGCAAACATCATGTCATGCTGCTGGGTCGCCTTTGCCGGCTGCCTTTATCTCGTCTCCACCTCTGGTTTCAACTCAATGGTTGTTGGTACCATTACTTTCCTTTTGCTGTCTTACGCCATTCCTGTCGTTTGCCTTTTGCTCAAGGGTCGCAACAATATCCAGCATGGTCCCTTTTGGCTCGGCCCCTTGGGCTACATTGCCAACGTCATTACTCTGCTTTGGACCCTCTTTGCACTAGTCTTCTTTTCTTTCCCCTTCACTATCCCCGTCACTAAGGACAATATGAACTACATGTCGGTCGTCATTGTTGGCTATAGCGTGTGGTGTGTTGCATACTGGTTTGTTCGCGGCCACCGCGTGTTCAAGACCACCGAAATGCGTCTTAGTCCCAATGGCGAGTTTGTCGAAGTCGAAAAGACTGATGATACCAATGTCACTGAAGAGATTAAGCAATAGAGTTTTTGATGTTTTTTTGATGTTTTTTGTTTTGTTTTTTTTTTCCCCCACCACTACCTTTTATATAGTAATAGACGTTTTTACCAATATTTGTTTTTAAAGTAAATTTTAAAAGTCTACGATGTTGAAATTTAAATTTTATGAAATTTCATGAAAACTTTCAAAGTCACTGGGTAAGTAGGAACTTTGGTAACGCAAACATACTTTAATGGTAACTTATGATTTACCCTGAACGAACGGCTGGCTATGGCAGTTAACGTGTTTTTAATTTGAAAAAAAAAAAAAGTTGAGGAAGTTTCAATCACAATGAACAGCAATAAGGGATAGGTAAAATATTACAGATTTTCAAGGTGATAAAAAGAGACTGTAGGAAAATTAATAAGAAGATTAGAATTGGTTAGTGAGAAGTAAAAATTAGCTATGTTTTTTTTTTAAAAAGATGAAGGAAAAACCAGTAACATAAACAAGAGCATATAAGAAATGGAAAAAGAGTAGATATAAAATGGTTAAAAAAAAGTAGCGACTTTTGAAACGTATTTATTTATTTTTAAATATAAATATCAATCATAAAAGAGGTCATCATCGAGATATCCATTTTAAATGAGCCATTTCTGGGCACAACTAAAATTAAAAAAAAAAAAAATTCCTTGTTTCTGGATAATTATTGATAGGTGGTGAATCGAGTAGCAAGAAAAGTGGAGAATCTTCTTTTTTCATTGATGTAATAAACCATCCAATCAGTTTAATGATTTTTTTATTCAGCTATATTAAATTTCTTATCTAATGATAAGAAATTAATAGCATTATAACATTATAGCTTTTTTTTTATTTATTTATTTAGAGCTGTTTGAGTATGTGGTCAGATTTATATATATAGTTTCTTTGCTTGCGCGGACATTTATTTTTTTTAAAAAAATTAAATAAGGGGTAAGGGCTGAAAAGAAAAAAAAAAAAAGATTTGATCAAGTCCATAGAGTTTTTGATTCACAGTTTAAATAGAGGTTCAAAAAAACAAAAAACATGACTTGAATCGAATACTACAATTTTATCTACTTTTATTATTTCGGAATATCTATAAAAAAGATCATAAATGTAATTAATCTACAAATAAAAAAAATATTGGTTCTTGGAAAGATTAGTAAACTATCCAAAGATTTGAAAAAAAGGTTTCTATGCTGACAAAATTCTCATATAAACAATAATATCTTAAAGATCTCCATGAGATAAATAAAATAAATAAAAAAAAGTTATAGTATAAACTGATAATCATTCTAAATTAAATTATAATTTTTTTTATTAGTTCTTTACAAATTTCTCTAAACCAAAGATAGGATTTCGGAAAAAAAAAGGATCGAAGGTTGAGAACCATTCAATTTAAAGAAAACCCAAGATTGTCTATATCAATCTGCACCAAGACCAAATCAATATCGAGAGAATTAGAAAAAGAAGGAAAAAAAAAAAAAATTCTACCCTTTTTTTTATTTTCTTTAAGCTCATGTGGAACTAAGTATAAATTTAAGCAAAATATAGAAAGCATAATTAGTACTATATATATATATTGAGACTTATTTATTTTTACTGATTTTTTTTTTTTTTTTTTTTTTTTGTTCAAGAAAAGTTTAATATGGAAACCCGCCACTATCTGCGCACCGACTCAAAAGGAAATGTTTCCCGATCTGAGCAGAAGAATGAAAAAACAAAAAAAATATCCATAACATGCCCGATTGTTGCAAGAAAACAACAAGACTAGTACTATAATAGTAGCAATTAAAGAAGGCCAAGAACAAATGAAAACGTGCTTTGAACTGTTGAATTGTTGAAAATGGAACCAGAAACAATTTTTTTTTTCCATTATCATATTCCGGATACTAAAGGAAAAAAAATATAGTTATAAGAAAAAGAGGGAAATAAATACTAATATTAATTGAATAAACAACAAAAGAGCCACATGCAACTGTAAAAGCTTAGATTTTATTTTAGTTACACCGTCCGCTGCCCTGTATACTAAAAGCTGGCCAGCATCGTCAGTTAAATAAATATATAAAAATATTTATGAACCTGCACCTGATCAAAGGCTCCTCCACAGATTTGGAATTCTTAATAAATTATTTTTTTTTCTTTCTGGTGCTCAATTTAGTTGTACTCGTTTGTTTCAAAATATGACCAGTGGGATTTTTGAATCATGACATGAGTAAGTAATATATATAGCAAGAAGAATAATAGAAAAAGTCACCAGACAAATTGAACTAGTAGAATGAAAAATAAAGCAAAATAAAGCAAAATAAATAAAATCATATATTATGTGTATTTCTTTTTAAAAAAAAACGTGATAAGATTTTGGAGATTCAGCCTATTTAGTGATGGAGATAAAAAGAGTACAAAATAGTTCAGTTATTTTTACCGAGGTTATTGTTTTTTTTTACTATGGTTTTTGTTTTGTTTAAAGTGTATAATTTCCATATATAATTGGAATTGGAATTGGAATTCTGTTTCAATAGTTTTTAATTTTATTAAAGGAAGAAAAATTAAAAGCTAAAGAAAAAAAAAAAACACAAGAGCTGAAAAAAACCCAAATTATGTACTTGTTTCGTATACTTTGAATCTTGTATACACGTTATTTAACCAGTTTTGCTTAAGCCAAGATGAGATTAACTGGTTAAGTGTTTTCGAATTCGTCCTTGTCAAAGTTTAATGAATTTTTAGAAGAAGGGATTGGTAAACTGTTTTTTTTTTTTGGTATCTGTCAATTTTGAATAACACAATGTTTTCTCTTCTCAATTTCAGTTTTCCATATTTATTTAAATAAACAATCAACATTGTGTTTATATGAAAATATATAAATCTTAGAAACATTACAATCTTTGGTGTTTTGAAGATTTTTAAAAAAAAAAAAAATTAAATCCTAAATGGTGAAGAAAATAAATATAAATAATAAACAGCCACAATTTCGATTCTCGCTAATTTTTTTTTTTCCAAAGTCTCCACAAACCAATTTATATATGTCAAAGTTTAAACAGTGTAGACCAAATGAATTGAATAAATAGAAGAAAGAAACCAAAAAAAAGATGACATTTATTATAAACAACTACTAAAATTACCTTGCAGACAAAAAAAAACATTGTCACCGTCCACCCTCAAATCACAGATCTGGAATCTCTCACATTTTAATCAAAGTAGAATTATTCTAAAGGTAACCTTTATCAATATTGATTTTATACGAGTTACTTTTCACTCTAAAAAAAAAAAACATTTTTCTGTTTTTTAAACTTTTATTTTTCTCTGTTTTGCCTTTTTTATATGAAGAATATTTATTTTTATATATAGCTCGGTAAAAAGGGCCCGGTCGTTTTTTTTGGCGGTTTCTTTTCCATAAAAGAATTGTTTTTTTTTATTTATTTATTATATTTTTTCTTAATAACGGACCCACTTTTATTACTTTCTAGTTATATAATATATATAGATATACAGTATATATACCGTATATTGACAGTTACTTGCAATTGATCTTTTAATTTGATTGCTTTTGAGAAAAAAAATAATAAAAAAGAGAAAAGTAGAAGGATGAAACAAAGCAAAAAAAAAAAAATTTTTTTTCCGCAACTTGAATAAACGAGTTAAATGTTAGGACGAAATAGAGACACAATCAGTATAATTTTATAATGAAAATTTGGGGGAGAAAAAAAATCAAAAGAAAATATCTTCATCTTTAACCGTTGTTTTTTTCTTTTATAGTTAGGATCAAACTTACTTTTGTACACACTAATGAGTCTGTATGCAAATTCATAAAAAAAAAGAAACGAACAAGATCACATTTCAATGTAAGCCGCGCGGGAGAACTTCCGTTAACCTTTGAACATATTTAAATGTCAAAGATTGAGGAAAAAAAAAACGTTGGCCCTTCAAAATAACAACTGCCTTGATGAGTGGATGATGGATAATAATGATGAATTGAATCTGATATGAAAAACCAATATTTAATTTTTCAAAAAAAAAAAAAATAAATAAATAAAAAAACAATTCCCTAAATACTTTTCTGTTTCATTTTTTTTGGTTACAATTACATAAAGTCTGCAGGGTCTTTATATCATTAATGACGACATTATGTTGTTTTTAAAGTATTTGGGTTACACATTGTGATATTTTCACTTGTTCAAGAAAACAAAATAAATCAACTTTTGCCAAGTCCTGGTGATTTTCAAATATGTGGGGAGGTAATCTATATCTTTTTATTTCTTATCATGAACAGGTTAAATGCATTTAGAAAAAAAAACTCTTTTTTATTTCTTTTTTTCACTTTTTGTTGTGAATATTATCAAATAATCTTACCAGTTATTTATATATGGTACCCATTCAAAGCACACAAAACTATAGATATAAATGTCATTGATAAAATTAAGGCATAAAACTGACAAGGAATTTAGAGCAAGAGAGACTGGAGGTTTCTAAAGAACCAATAAAAATAATATATTAATTGAAATAAATTGAAGGCGGTGTCATAACTTTTATAAGAAACTTCAGTCCAAAACCTTGGAGGGGGGAAAAGAAGAAGTAGTAGAGGAAGATGAAATAAAATAAAAACTAAACTAACAGAAATCAACTAGAGAATGGAAATGGTGCAAAATAAGGCAGGCTGAGAAACAGGAAAAAAAATAAAAATCCCCCAGCAGTCTGTGATGTGACCAAGTTTCTTTGTGATCCAAAGAATCAGGGCAAACTATTATTTAAGCATCTCAAAATTGGTCCCTTTTTTTAATTTCAATAGTGCAATAAATAAATATATATTTATATATATATAAGCATTAACTAACAGCTTTCGTTTTTACCTGATTCATTATACCCACTTACCAGTTTATTGTAATTTTTTGTTCGTAGTCAATGGCGGTTATGCTTCTTTGTTTTGTGCAGTCTTTGGTCCTTGGGTCAAACTGTATAGTACAGTATCTGGTAGTACCAACGATCGGTTGCACTCGCGCCCTCCCCTTCCAAGAAAAAATAAAAAATAAAGAAAAAGGACAGTAGCAACGTTAAAAACAAATTAAAGATATGGTTGTTGACCCAAAGTTGAGGAAAAGTAATAAAAACAATAAATTACTTAAATAGTTCACCTTCAACCATCTCTCTGTTTTTTTGACAGGTCTGAAAAAAAAAAAAAAAAAAAAAAAACATGTGGAATGGTGAAAGGGACTTTTCTATTTTCTTTTTTTTCTTTTCTTATCATTTTTTAACTTTACATTCATAAACTGAGATTATGAAGACTCATTGAGGCTTCTATAAAAAGTACCCCAATTGAAGCAAATATTCAAAGTTCTTTTTTTCCCCCCCTTTTTTTTCCCTCCTTTTTTTTATTTCTACCATAAGGCTTCTTCATTGACCTTTATTCATTCATTCCATAACACATCTCAATGTCATCGTTAAAATCAACAACTTCTTCAGAACCCCCACCAGCAACAGATGCACCGACTCATGCAACAACCAGTGGTGCTCAGCTGCGTCGCAACTTCTCCATCTTCTCGCTTCTCGGTATTGGGTTTAGCATCACCAACTCATGGTTTGGTATTAGTGCAGCTTTGGTGACCTCCATATATTCGGGCGGACCTCTCATGGTGGTTTATGGTATTATAATTGCCGCCTTCTTCTCGACATTTGTCGGTATCACACTCTCAGAACTATGCTCTGCATATCCTCATTCAGGTGGTCAACACTACTGGACAGTAGTTCTTGCTCCACGAAAATACGCACCATTTCTGGCTTATATGTGTGGCGCTCTGGCATGGGCTGGCTCCGTGTTTTGCGCGTCTGCAGTTTCCATGTCTATAGCACAGGCCATTGTTGGCATGCATGCTCTGCTTGCAGGACCTGACTTTGTTGTCAAAGACTGGATGGTTTTTGTGACTTTCCAGTTGGTCAACATTGTGTGCTTTTTATTCAACTGTTATGGCAAACTCTTGCCATTTTATGCAAAAGCTGCTCTTTATATCTCTTTAATTTCTTACTTTACAATTACAATCACTGTTTTGGCATGCTCTTCTGGAAAGTATGAGGATGCACGATTTGTGTTTGTCCAATTCAATAACCAAACTGGCTGGTATTCCTCAGGTATTGCCTTTATTGTGGGCCTCATTAACCCAAGTTGGTGTTTTTCATGTCTTGATTCTGCCACTCACATGGCTGACGAGACCACTGAACCTGAACGCAAGATTCCAATTGCCATTATGGGTACTATTGCAATTGGTTTTGTGACATCCTTTACCTATGTCATTGCCATGTTTTTCAGTCTTACTAACCTGGAGTCCATTTACAACTCCAACACTGGCGTGCCAATTCTTGACATTATGTTCCAGTCTTTAAACAATAAGGGTGGCACAATGTGGCTTATGGTCATGTTTCTGCTCACTGCCTTTGGCTGCAACTTATCGGCTCAAACTTGGGCTACTCGTTTAGCATGGTCCTTTTCTCGAGACAATGGATTACCTGGGTCTCATTACTGGAGTCAGATCCACCCTGCTTTGGGTGTTCCCTTGAATGCCAACATTTTGTCTTGTGTGTGGGTTGCCATTTGTGGATGCTTATATATGGTTTCAACCACTGGTTTCAATTCATTGATTACTGGTACTCTTACATTTCTACTCTTATCGTATGCCATCCCTGTGGTGTGTCTACTGATTAAGGGCCGCAAAAACATTAAACACGGACCCTTTTGGTTGGGACCTTTGGGGTTTGTTTCCAACATTGTGACGCTCATGTGGACCGTGTTTGCCGTCATTTTCTTTTCTTTCCCATTCAACATGCCAGCTACTAAAGATAACATGAACTATATGTCGGTTATTATAGTGGGATACAGTTTGTATGCCATCATTTACTGGTTTTCAAGAGGACACAAGCTTTTCAAGACCGAAATTACCCATGAACAGTTAGTGGTTGAAAGTAAGGATGAAAAGTTGGGTTTAGAGAAGAGTGATAATTTTATGGTAAGCGAAAATGAAAAGTCGGTTTAGCTATATTTTTTTAATTAAACGTTTGTTATTTTTTTTACTTTATTTATAATTGAATTTAATACTTTTGCATTTTGTTAGACTTGGAAAATCTTGGTATTAATACCCCTTCTTGGCGATTTGGAAAAAAGCCGTGCCATTTGATATTTAAGTTTCTTTTTATTATTAAAAAAATTTCCATGTACGTTTATCCTTATTTGTTTTTTCGTTTTTCGTTTTTCGTTTTTCGTTTTTTGTTTTTAGTTTTTTTCATTTTTCATTTTATATTTTGTATTTTCAATTTGTTTTTTTTTTTTCATTTTAATTTTTTCATTCATATATAAAAAAGAAGAAAAAAAAAATTAATAGCCAGATATTTCAAATTTAACACAAAAAGTCCTGCTCTTTTAAATAATCATCCACCAAGCAGAAATAAGAAGCAAAATCAATACAAAGGCCGTGATGAAACCGGCACCAATACGGTCCTTGCTTTCAACAACAATATCATTAGAAACAGTTGCAGTAGTAAGAGAGCTACCAGCAGAGGAGTTTTGCTCAGATGTTGCACCTGAAGTTAAAGTAAGAGGTCCAGGCTTAGTCCAGACCAATCTGTTAAGGAGGACTTCTAGGGCAGACATTTGTTCACCCAAACCATAGTAGCCATCCCAGCCCGAGTATGACCAGTCGAGACCACATGTGTGGCCATCGGAACCACCAGAGCAAGACTGAAGAACGTAGGGGGTGGATGCTGAAAGATAGGATTGAATTTCGTCATTCAAGGGGGGTGCCATCAAGCTGGCAAGACCAAGGAAACGAGAGAAAATAGCCTTGAAAGAACGCTGATCATTATTGCATCGGAGAGTAGGTTGACATGCAGCTTCATACATGACATTGGTGTTGGCCATGAAGAAGACTTTTGAACGACCCCAAACGCTTTCAAGACGGGTAAGCCACTTTTGATCTCCTGTGTGGTTGTAAAGGTAAGCTGCTCCGGCAATGAAGAGACCAGAGTTGTAAGTCCATTCCAAGTTGGAGACATCGGTACAGTTATCTGAGATGTAACCACCGTCATAAACGGGCCATGCGGTGGAACTTGATGTGTTAATATAGCCAACATCCGTGACCCAGTCCCAAACCTTTTCTGCCCATTGAACGTAAGTTTCATTGGAGGTATATCTAGCGAGACGAGCAGCCATATGGAAGAGACAGCCATTAGAAACGGTATTTTTGTAATTGTATCCATTGTTCCAAGTGAAGATTTGCCAGCGGAGACCACCGTTACAGTAAGTTGTGTCCCATCTCCAGGCCATGGTGTTGAAAACGGCTTGAGCGAGATAAGCCCAGGAAGGCCACTCGCTAGAAGGATTTGAAAAGTTTTTTTCAGCAGCTGCCATAACGGTAATACCCCAGAAACCCTGATCATCATTACCTTCTGTTGTAGTTTGGTTTGAGGGCATATAGTTCCAATCGTCACCAATTTGGTATAAGAGGGATGTTTTGAGAACGTCGTTCCAGGTGTCGTTACCCGTGTAAAACCAGTAATCGAGCATAGAGTTCCAAGCGGCGCCGGCTTCCCACCAGTAGTAAGGGTTGGAGAACATTCCTGGGGATTGACCGGTATCGTTACCGGTATAGTAGTCCATGAGACCTTTAGCAATGAGATAAAGGCCTTCATTTCTGGAGGTTGTATCTGTGAAATCCATGTCAAGGGCAGTAGCTGGAGTAGCAGCCATAAAAATGGGAGCTACCAGGCCCAGGATAGAGGATAGCCTGGTCATGGTTTAGTGGGTGGAATATGTATTATATATATATTTATGATTAATGATTAATGAAGGGAAGGGTTGGGGGTGGGAGGAATAAAAGAATGGGATGAGATTTTTTTTTATTTTTAATTTTTTAATTTTTTTTATTTTTTATTCTTTTGAGGGTGGTTCTGAGAAAAAAAAAAAAAAAAAAAAAACTAATTTTGGCGGCGGCGCAGTTTTATTTTTAAAAGGAGGAGTAGAGAGAGAAAAAAAAGAAACAAAAGAAAAGAAATCTAAAAATAGAAGTCACGTGAAAGCCATGTGATAAAATACATATTACTAAAGATTTAAAACATAAAACATAAGACTTAATATCACAGAAATAAATAATACCTAAGACTTAAAGCAATTTATCAGTTGATTTTATCAGTGGTCCTCTCGAGCAGGATCTATTACGTAACAAATACCTGTGATTGGCTGGAAAATTTCCCTCTCATCTGATACCCCCAATTATTTATTTTATTTTAATTTTTTTATTTCTTTTCTTTTCCCGAAGGCGGCTGGCTATTTTGGCTGGCTGGCTGGCTGTTTGGCTAGATGGCTGACCAGTTGCGCGTTTTAAGCAATTAGTAATGCGCGCGCCGTTGTTTGGTCAAACATTGAAAATTCACAGATTTTAAAAATTTAAATTTAACTTATAAAAAGATAAAGATATTGTTGATAATGGCGATAATAATAATAATAATGATGATGATAAATTATATGTATTTATTAGAATAAAACAAATGATAGATATATATATATATATATCTAATAATGATTTAAAAATTTTCATTTAAAGAATATTAAGAATTGGTGTTTTTTTTTAAGTCAATTGAGAAATAAAAAAAAAATGGTAAAGACATAATTCATGTTGATGGAACCTGAGTGTCTTTATTTTTTTAATTGTTCCAAAAAATATATATATATATTTAAATTTGAAAAATAAATAAACATAAAATAAATAAATTAAAAAAAAAAGGTCCGTCTTCGGTCATCATTCAATTCTTTAAAGACCTTCTTCCCATTGCCCGAAGTTCCGGGAAGAGTATTTTTAATAAAAAAAAATTTGTTGTCATTTAAATTCTTGTTTCCTTAAATTTTTTTATTTATTTTTTTTTTCGGGAACCCCCAGAAAATCTTCAAATTTTTTTTTTTTTTTTTAAATAATTTCTTTGCGGACATAATTGTATATACTTTCTTTCCCCCAAAAAAAATCCCTTCCTTTCTCTTATAATAACCCCATTCAAGTTAAAGACTTATTCCTTTTTATAATAATAATAATAATAACCTTCTACGATAGCCAATAAATCTCAAAATATTACAAACAAACATTTTTTTTCAATATCAAAAAAAAAAAACAAACAAACTTATCTACAATCTTATTCCCTCTTTCTCTTTCTCTCTCTTTCATTAATGTAACGCTACGTTATATCTGTATCTTCATATCTATTCAAAGTTATATACGATTAAAAGACTTCAAAATATGCCCGCGTCACAACAACAACCATCACAGCAGCAGCAGCAGCAGCAGCAGCAACAGCAACAGCAACAGCAACAACAGTCAAATAACAAGCTCATTCATAATCATCATCAAATTCTTCGGAAACCTTTACCTCCACAGAAACTGGGACCCGGACCTGCACCCCAGATAAACCCGCAAATGAACCACCATCATAACCAACAACAACAACAACCACCACCTATTCGACCATTCATCAAACCTTTGGTAGTTCCACTCGCCTGTAAACCAAGACAAGTTTTGCCTAGAAATGTTATTGCGAGCGGTAGCAGTAGTACCAGTAGCATAGTCAACAGTAGTAGTCACAGTAGTAACAATAGCAATAGCAATAGCAATAGCAGTAGCAGTAATAGTAGCAGTAATAATAGTAATAATAATACCAGTAGTAATTGTATCAACAGTAATAACACCAACATCAATAGTTCAAACAACTCTAATAGCAATAACCTTCCGGCTACTATCAAATCCGCCCAGCCTTGTCCTCCTAATACTAATAAGCTTAATACTAATACTACTACATCGACAATTCTTCAGGCACAACAACAACAACAACAACAACAACAGCACCAGCACCAGCAGCAGCCACATCACCTGCAAAAACAACCACAATCACAACAAACAACTCCTGTTCCAAAGTTAACTTCTCCAAACCAACAAGCTTCTCAACTCAAAATTAACCATCAAGTAGGACACCTGCAAGGCCCTCATGTGGTTGCACCTGCACCTGTTATGCCACTTGCAGCTCCTGCGGTAATTCCAATGATCTCGACCTCCAAGAAGTGGGTTCTTCCACCTAGACCTAAACCAGGCCGCAAACCGTGTTCCGGGTCATCTTCTAATTCAGCAGCCAAACGCAGAGCAGCCGCAGCCGCAGCAGCTTCTTCTTCAACATCGACATCATCGACATCATCGACATCATCAACATCGACATCATCATCGTCATCGTCATCATCATCATCATCATCGTCGTCATCATTATCATCATCATCTTCTTCATCATTATCATCATCGACAAACTCTAATAAACCATCTTGCTCTCATAAGAAAAAGAATACAGCATCTGGAGGGTCGCTGAAAAAACCCTCAAAACCTGCGGCTACCGAAAAGAAGACTCGCAAACAAGAAGCTCAAAAGCAATTGGATTCCCCATTAACACCAAAAGTAACTGCACCAGAAACAACTACATCATCATCAAAATCATCATCAAAATCATCATCAAAATCATCATCAAAATCATCATCAACATCACCATCAACATCATCATCTTCATCTTCATCTTCATCATCCACCTCTCTTCAAATCCAACAGCATCACGGGTCATTTCCATTTTCTATGACATCGGACTTGGCCCGTATCAAGATTGAAAACAATGAATTTGACGAAGACCCAGAAGCAGTGCTATCAATTGTCAATGAGATTGTGCGCGAGGCTGTCACCAACAGTGGTATTTTGGATGAAAATGATAATGACGACATGCCTGACCTATGTTCTCCGGGGAATCCCAATAATAGCAGTACTCAAACAGATGACCCTGTGGTCAATGTGGATGTTGACGTCCAAATGGATATTGTGGATATGGTATCTCCCTCCGTTCTTGAACATCATCATCAACAACAACAGCAACAAGAACAATCCGTGCTTCTTTCTCAATTACCTTCCGGGCTGGTCCCGTTTGGAAGACCCGGCTTTGACAATTCCTCAGAATCCGCCGCTGCGGCCGTTGCTGCTGTTGCTGCTGCACAGAATGCAGCCGCCGCTGCAGCCACCGCTCTTTCAGCCGCACATGCGGGCTCCGGTACCGCACAACCATCTTCATCTCTTTCACAACAATCTGCAGATTCAACAACAACAGCAACAACAAAATCATCATCATCATCATCAACATCAACAACATCATCAACAAATAGCCCGACCAACAAAACATCCCAAAATGCTGATACAATTGTATCGGCGGCTCCATTCGACCTCATGTATGCTTCGCCAGCAGGGTCCTCCTCTTCAGCTTCTTCTACTGTGGGCCAACGTACTGCCCCATCATCAATCTCACCACCAACAGCTTCAACAACCCCGGGATCTCCACCGTTGGCTCTTCACCAACATAATCAACAACAACATCAGCTCAATGTTCCGGCTCTCCCTACTGCCACTCAGGACCCCAAGGGGTTTGAAATCTCGTGTCTGCGGATGGCTCTGGAGTCCACAACCCTAGAGAACCAAATGCTGCATGTTATTATTGATGAGCTGAGATCTGAGGTCGCAGCCTTGCGTGCAGCCAAGCAGCAGCAGCAGCTTAATGTCCCGGCCACCAACACATCCACCATAACCAACACCACCACCAAAATTAAGGCCGACCCAGATGCACCCGAAACCCGTTTAACGGCGTTGCAATCATCAGTAGCTTCGGAAGCAGCAGCAGCAGCAGCAGCAGCAGCAGCAGCCACAACTACAACAACAATTCGGCCAGGTCTTGCAGCAGCTCCTGTACAGCTACAACAGATTGCAGACCTCAAGGCTGCGTCGGCCAGCATGATGCAGGCCTTGGCAGTTCTCAAGACCCGGGCTCCGCCCTTGACTCTTTCACAACCATTGCACCAGTCTTGTTCCATCCCGTCGGCCTTTTCACTGGCTGGACCCAGTCCCACAACTCTTTTTTCATTTCAAACTCCCACCTTATCGTTTCCTTCGTCAACTGCATCCATAACACCGCCTGCCTTGTCCACTACAACAACCACTGTCTCTGTGGCTGCCACTGGCAATCCAGACTTTGCTGAAGACCCACTCATGCTGCCACCTCTGTACTTTAACGCAGGCACAACTGCACCATCACCTCCACCACCAACAACTGCTCCGCGGCTGTGTTTCTTTGACGAGTACGAAAATTCAGCAGCAGCAGCGGCAATGGCAGCAGCAGCATGCACGATTCCGGATGATGGGTATGATGACGACGAGGAGAAAATTAAGCTGCGCGTACAGTCACGCATGCTTCTGGGGAGTGCCAGTGTGGACGACGTTCCAGGACTGGAGCCTAGTCGACGTGCACCCAAACGGTGCTGCTCCACAACTTCGTTACGTAGTGGCAGTTCGCCAGGTCCTAAGCCCAACCTCAAACATCATAAACATCCTCTGTTGCATCCGACATTTCCATCTTTATCTTCTTCTTCATCTTCATCATCATCATCCACATCTTCATCATCATCATCCACATCTTCGTCAAGTAGCAGTGCTGAGACACTAGCAACAGCCGATAACAGCATGGGGTCTCCTGACGCACCGCAGGCCAGTGTGTCATGGAGCCCCTGCCACAAAAAACTGCGTCGTCAGTCTTCAGACCATTCAGGGTTGTTGCCTATACGCCAATCATCTCCGCCATCACCAAGCGCCACGACTGCATCATCGCCGTCTCTTGACTGTATTGTTCCAGCATCTCTTTCGTCATCCACATCAACGACTCCTCCTGATGGTGACTCACAGGCTTTGGCAGACTGCAAGTCGGTATCTGCTGCTACCACGGCTGCACTATGTGACTTGTTTTTGAAATCTCCAGGCCAAGTGTATCTAAACCAGCAAACATCACCTGCAAGCGGATCCAAATCAACAACGGCAAATATGGAGCCTTCAGCTTCGTCAAAGCTTATTGCATCGTGGCGTGCAAATACTCTCAAACAGCGGCGCAATACTCAACAGCCAACAGCAGCAGCATCAGCATCTACCATCAGCGGAGGACCGTTTGCGCCGCTGCCTTTGCGTAAGTCTGGGATGTTGGCAGCTCCACCGTTAATGTTTGGATCTTCTGAGCAGACAGGTTTAAGCATAGGATCCTTATCGACAATATCAACCCAGCAACAGCAACAGCAACAGCAACAGCAGCAACAGCAACAGCAGCAACAGCAACAGCAGCAACAGCAGCAACAGCAGCAACAACAGCAACAACAACAACAACAGCAACAACAACAACAACAACAACAACCACTGCTACGATTGACAGTGCCACCAATCGACCCGTGTGGGTTTTGTTCGAACGGCACGCCTTGCGTTTGTGCCGAAGCAGCAGCAGCCGCGGCGGCAGCCACAGCCGTTGCGCTGACCTCATCTGCATCGACTAGCTCCTCATCTCCTGTTAATAGTGCCGCCACTACTATGAAAACAACCACAACCACCACAACCACAACCACCACCACTACCAAAGGTGCCTCTAGTAAACCGTCTTCTTCGTCCGCTGGGAGTGGATCTCTAGCGCCTTCGTTTTCGCGCACTACTCTTGCTCGACGTGCAGGCGTCAACGGCGGGTCTGGAGGAGTAGTGGGGCCGTTATCAGGATCAGGCGGGGTTGGGGTTGTTGCTGACAAACCAGTGATGGTAACTGGAGGGGGGTCTGTTAGAAATGGAAGTGAGAGTGGTACGGTTATCGCAAGCTCGGTCGGAACTTCAAGCTCAGCAGCAGCAACAACAGAGATAGGATCCGGGAATAGTTTGATGTCTACAACTGCACCTCCGTCTCCGGCACCTCCATCTCCTGCTCCGTCTCCTCCGTTTTGTAAGGAGTCCACTGCAGAGCTGGTTTCGACTTTTGGAGGCATCATGCTTTCCCCACCTTCCAAATCTTTGTCTTCATCTTCATCTTCTTCTAATACCCTGATGACTTCTTCGGGTTTGTCGTCGTCGTCATCATCATCATCGTCTTCGTTATCTAAAGACCCAAGTGTTCCACGGAAAGATGCTGATGGTGATGTAGAGATGTTGACTGCTGGGATGGTTGATGCAGCTGTGGTTGATCAGTTGCTTGCTGTGGACTCGTTTATAAAGTCTGAGCAAGAGATTTCGGAAGCTGTTTCCTAAGAATAATAAAATGAGAATTTTGAGAAAAAAATTATCAAATTATCAAATGATTAAAGATTAAAGATTTAAGAAAAAAAATGAATCTTCAAATGTTAATTTTTTTTTTTATATTTTATATTCATAATTTTTTTTTTCCCCTGTATATAAACAAGTATAAATTATAAATACCGTTCATTGTCTTCTTCTTTATAAGACACAGAAAAAAATGCCCATATCTTACAAGTCCTTCCCTATCGCAGTATTAAAAAAAATCTTTATATTATTATACATAGATATACTATAGAGATATAGAAATAACACTTTGGTACTACTCATGTATATATTTAATATATATATTTAAATATTATTGATATACCAAAGAAAGAAACCTTCCCATATCAATCCATAACCAAAAAATTCACTTATCTCCAAAATCCATTCCATCTATTTATATATATATCTTGCTCTCTTTTAAATATCTAAAAAAAAAAAATCAAGAAACCCCCCCCTATTTCTCCACTTCAAATCTTAAATGCCGTTTCAGAAACATACCAAGTCACCCGTCCGTCAGCAGCTGCATTAACTTGGGCACATGGCAATGTCCCATCATATACATTACTCTTATCATCCAAAATCTGCTTCAACACTGGGCCCTTAGCTGCGCCCTCTGCAACAAAAACCACCTGCGCACCCGTCCGTGCAAGAACAGGCAGCGTCAATGTAACTCGGGAAGGAGGAGGCTTAGGCGAGTCAGTAAGGAAATCGACGGCCTTTTGCGTTGTGTCTGAGGCCAAAAGCAAAGCATGACCTGGGAATAAAGATGCAGTGTGACCATCAGGACCACACCCAAGTAATACCAAATCAAGTGCGGGGAAAGAAGAAGAAGACTCGGTGGAGGGAACATTCGACCGTAAAACAGACTCGTAGGCTTCAGCAACAGCTGCGGGAGACTCTAAAGTCGGGTCAATGGGGATGACAGTCGGGCGGGCGTGGTCCGCAGGCAAATGGTCGAGTAGTTCCTTTTTAAGGAGCCCGTAGTTGGAGTCCGGGTCGTCCAAAGGCACAATTCGTTCGTCTGCAAAGTAAATATGCCTGAATAAAGAATGAAAGAGTTAGGAATTAACTATTCTATTCAATCATCAGTAACTAAAAGAATACTCACCAGTTGGCCCAGTCAATGTCAGCGCGTGGAAGTAGAGCCTTGCGAAGAGTTGCCACCAAAGACCCGCCACTTACAGCAACGTAGAACGCACGGTTCTCAGGTCTTTTTGCAAACACAGCGTTCTGAATAGCCACAATCTGATCGGCCAATGCAGTAGCAAGCTCAGGGCTCTTTTCCGGGAAGCTCTTGACAGTAACCTTGGTCATCTTTTTTTTTTTTTCTCTCAATTCTTTTTTAAGAAAAAGATTTCGAGGGATTTATATGGCAAGAATAAAGGTTTAAATTTTTTTTTTATTTAATAAAATAAAGCTTATAAAAGATTATTTTTTTTTATGTACAGTAAATTAAAAGACTTTATACGACAATCCACCTTTCCGCCCCCGGGTCTTAATAATCATTATATATATATGTCCACCCACTATTTTTTTTTTTACTCCACCCCGCAATAATGATCCATCAACTCAAACTCGTGCTGGAACGTCTCATACCGGAATGACAACCGAATATTCGGCACATTTGTCTTCTCAATCTCGTTCCCATCAGGTCCAGATAAATCATACCGTTCGCCCAACCAATGACGCTTAATCTCACTCTCGTAACCAGACTGTAACACACTGTTTCGCGCAAGCTCGCACATGTCCACATTCGACAATTTATAAATCTGCGCTGCAATTGAATACTCTTCAATAAGTGGCTCTCGTGTATACGCAAACTGTAACGGGTCGTCTGTCGATAACGACACGTTCAAGCCACGCTTAAAGTACGAATAGAATGGGTTCTTATCGTAAGTCAAAAACAAAGCATTGTTGCTCAGTGGTGACATGGCAATGCCAATCTGGTCCAAGTAAAACAGATACTGAATGAACGGAACTTTGCGCAGCAAAATCCCGTGGTTGATGGCTTGTGATGTCAAAAATGCAGCAACAAGATGCTCCGGATCACCAGCTTCACCACAATGGGGTCGCAACACAAATGTATTGAATCCACGTCGCTGGCGCATGTGGTTGAGCGATGTCATATTAGCAAACAAATAATACAAGTAGTAGGAGTATGGTGGGTTCTGGCTAGAGTCCCACAGCCGCGGAATTGGGAACTTGCGGTGGATTCTTCGATCAACTTTGCTCTCGTCATCAACAGAGTCAAAGCCAACAACACGCTGCAAAAATACATGCAGCTTTGGATGAGATGATGGATCCCGGGTAACCTCAAACAGTGGCTCAAAAATGTTACGCACAACTTCTGCAAACGACTCAACAATCCCACCCATCTTGTACACATCATAAAGTCTAGGAACCTGAATCAGCCATCGCACATTGTGCGAGAACAGCTTATTGTCGATAACCCAAGCTGCAAGTTTATCCCATTCTCCCGGATGGCGCCCGTAAATAGAAATACGATACTCCATCATTTGGTACTTGCTCTGTTCCAAGTCTTCCAACACTTCCTTGGTCAATTCTGCAAGATAACGTCCCTGAATGTAGTTATCTGTCTTGAGGAAAATCTCACGCAAACGCGACTCGCCAATGGGATTATATTTGAGATTGAATTTGTCAAACCGATGGAAGGTATCTTTGTGTGCATGCATGTCTAACGTGTCAATTGATAAGTCATATGCAGTCAAATTCAAACTCTCAAAAACTTCGCTTAATGTCAACTCCCGACCATCACGGAAAATCACAATTTCATCGGGGTTTTTCTTCATCTTGTACTTAATAAACCGCAACAAGTGCTTTTGATTCATGCACGCAGAGTGGTGAACGTGCGTGTCGACCTTACGCACATTGTAAAAATCACGATGCGGGTTGCGCTTCGAGTCTGCTGTCTCATGATACTCATTTAGCAAAGAATATAAGTTCCACTTGGCTTCAAGGTATTGCAGCCGACGGAAGGCAAACGACTTGGCTGGACCTTCAGAACTAATTCCAATAATCTCATCCAAGTCAATGTAATAGTCTCTTAAAGTGGGAACAGCAATAATAGGCTCATTTTTCTCCATCATGGCAACGCTTGAGTATACTTGGAAAACACTCGAGTCATCTTCCTTAAACAAAAGGTCCTCAGCAGGTCCGGGAATTTCGCAAGAGCTGAAATCAAAGTCGTCACCCACAGAGTCATCGGGATTAACTGGCTTCCGAGCTTCCCAAGATGGTGGTGGAGGTGGTGGATATACTTTCCAGCTATTCTGATTCTTAGGGTTATCTTCTTCAGCTTGAAGCGAAAGTGTCTGAAACATTCGTCTCTTTTTAAGACAAATGCGCACTTTAGAATACATGTTGCGTAGCTCTGCCACAATGGACGGGTCTTCCACTTCTCCATCGTGCACAAAATTACCTTCATTCGATTGCTTCTCGAATCGGTTATACCCAGGAATGCGGCCCACTGGGTGTGGCTTAGGGGTAGGTGGAACAGATGGCGTTGGTGTGGTTGTGGTAGCCGCTGAACCTTCAGCCATAGAGAAAGTTCGTGCCTTTTCGTATAACGGACTATGGGGCTCCGGAGCTTCATGTTCAATCTCTTCTTCTGGAATGACAGGAGGAGGAGGAGGGCGTGCCAATTCTGGCTTAATAAACGAACTTTTGCGACGCAACAACTTTTTTGATGGAATGTCCGTCTCGCTATCACTGCCCGGTGTTTTAGCAACATCTGAAAACGATGCCATGGAGTTATGGGTGCTCAGCACCTGGCATTTAGCCGCTAATTCTTGCATATTAATCTCATCTGCAAGCGAGTAGTGAGTCGTTGAAGCTCGCGATTGTGCACCAGTCCCAAACTCTGCTTCGTCATCTTCGTCATCGTCCTCGTCGCTAAAGAAATGATTGAGTTCATGACTGTGGATGGCTCCAATTGGTTCTCCTGTCCCTGTTCCTGTTCCTGTTCCAGTTTTTCCTTTGCTCATATCTCCAGTCACTTCCAAGCTATCGTCGTCCTCGCAATCTGCGGCTTCTTCTTCAACTTCAGGGAATTCCAACGAATGCATATCACTTGGGTTCCGATAAGAAGATAGATGTGAGAATGCTCGTGGAGGGTTTTCAATGTCCATAGTCATATCACGAGTCAGCGATCGTGAACGTGAGCGGCGTTTGGCACGCAGTTGGGCCGCACTACCGTTATCATTGGGAATCGAAACGGGTAGCGTTGAAGGGTTTGGCATTGTAGCAGATGATTTAAGAGTTCTTGAGCCATTTTCAGGGCCGGTTTTGGAAGAATTTTCTGAAGGTTTCATTGTTATCTTTTTTATTATATATTGAGAGATATAAAAAAAAAAAAAAGCTGGTGGTAAAAAAAATAGAAAACTTTTTTTTTTTTTTTTTTGGTTTTTTATAATAAAGAAAGGACCAAAAAAACAAAAAAAGATGAGCAGCTAAAAAAAAGAAAATGTTTATCTGACAATCGAGGGGAACAGCCGCATGTGGCGTATATCTAGGAACACCAACGTAAATGAAGTACTAGGATCTTGGTATGCCTAGTTTTGAATCAGCCCAAACCATCGGGATAACTAAGCTTTTATTACGTGTTCTTTTTTTTTTTTTTTTTTTTTTTTTTTAAATACGCCCTATACTAAAACTATTTGTCATACTAATAACATTCTACTCACAACCACCTCAAAATATACACCATGACCAATAAGGACTACGCCAATATCGACGTAAAGTTCCCAGTCTTCACCGCCAAGTTTCTCAGTGACGAGCGCTTGGTCATTGGCGGCGGTGGTGGCGAGGGCAAAAACGGCATCAAAAACAAAATTGTAAGTTTGAAAGGAAACCTTCTTACATGCATGACAAAGAAAGACATTATTAACCCGGGGTTCAGAGCATCGTTGACATTGATTTCGCAGAATCTTCAGAAGACAAGATCCTTCGCCAGGCCACGGAAATCAGCTTACATGATAATGAAGATAACCCAACGTCTTTGGATGTGACCCAAACAGGAACTATTTTTGCCGGTGTTAACCGTGCATCATCCAAAGTAAAGTCAAAGGAAAATGACCACTTGCGTGTTTTCCAAATCGTCACAGAATCAGAAGAATCTGTACAGGCAAGACAAAAGAAGGCTGAAGAAGAGCGAAAGAAGGCTGAAGAAGAGCGAAAGAAGGCTGTTGAAGAAAAAAAGAAGGCTGCTGAGGAAAAGAAGAAGAAGAAGGAGGCAGAGGAGGAAAAGAAAAAGAAGGCCGAAGAAGAAAAAAAGGCCAAGGAATCCAAAAAGAAAGACAAAAAGAAGGGCAAAAAGCAGGCTGAAAAAGGGGAGAAAAAGGAGGAGCCTGTCAAAGTAGAAGAGGAAGAGGAAGAGGAAGAGGAAGAGGAAGAGGAAGAGGAAAAGGAAAAGGAAGAGGAGGAGGAAGAAGAAGAAGAAGAGGAAGTGGTGGAGGAAGAACCTGAAGCTGATGTTTTTGAACGTGAAGAATCAATTGAACAGGTTGCTTCTGAAATTATTTTCAAGTCTGGCGATACTGAAGAATACCAAAAATGCACTGTTACCAATCCCATCACAAAGATCATTTCTATCTCCAATTCTCTCGCTGGAAAGAATTCCAAGCTTTCAGTTTTGAGCTATGACCCAAAGGCACCAGCTACACCGCCTACTCCCATTTATTCCATTCCCTCTGTTGACGAACTTTCAATCAATGACTTGGACATCAGTCCCAATGGACAATCAATTGTTCATGTCACAGACAAGACAATTGCCATCACATCAGCTACCTCTTCAACCATTATTTGCAAGGCAAAACTACCCAAATCAGATTCGGACGAAATTGCACCTGCAGGATCTATATTTGCCAAGGTCAAGTTTATTGACAATGAGACCCTTATTGTCGCTGCAAACCACCCTAAGCGTGCTGGTGCTTCTCTTATCAAGCTTTCCATTATTTTAAACAATAAAAAGAAGGCCTTGGTCATCACAGACTATAAAAAGGTTATTGAAAAGTCGTCCATCACTTCTCTTGACGCTGTGAAACTTACTCCTAAGGTTAAGCCCACTCCTCCCAAAAAAGTTGAAAAGAAGGTTGAAAAGAAGGTTGAAAAGAAAGTAGAAAAGAAGGCCGAGAAAAAAGCAGACAAGAAGAAAGGAAAAAAAGGTAAGGGCAAAGGAAAGAAGGGTGGTAAGGCTAAGAAGGTTGAAAAGAAGATTGAGAAGAAGATTGAAGAGAAAGTAGAGGAAGAAGAGGCTGAGGAAGAAGAGGATGCCGAAGAGCAGGTTGAGGAGCAAATTGAAGAGGAGGTTGAAAAAGAGATTGAAAGAGAAGCTGAAAAAGAGATTGATGAAGATGATGACATTGAGCTCGTTGAAAAGGCTGAAGCTGAAGAGGCTGAGCGAGAGTTTGAAAAGGGATCTGACAAGGATTCAGAGAAGGAAACAGAGGCTGAAGAGGAAAAAGAAGAGGAAAAAGAAGAGGAAAAAGAAGAGGAAAAAGAAGAGGAAAAAGAAGAGGAAAAGGAAGAGGAAAAGGAAGAGGAAAAGGAAGAGGAAAAGGAAGAGGAAAAGGAAGAGGAAAAGGAAGAGGAAAAGGAAGAGGAGACAAAATCTAAAACAGAAGCTGACAAGGAAACCAAACAAGCCGAGAAAAAGACTGAAAAGTCTAAAATATCTGAGAAATCTGAGAAATCTGAAAAGAAAGTTGAAAAGAAAGTTGAAAAGAAAGTTGAAAAGAAGGTTGAAAAGAAACCCGAACCAATCGAATTTCCTGATATCCCTGAGGTCCATGGCTTTGTTGCCTTTGCCACTGCCGATCTCAGTGTAGGCTTAGTTTCTCTTAACGACCTCAAATCTCTCTGGATCAAGAAGAATGCCCATGCATTCGCCATCACTAAAGTTGTTTTCTCCCATCCTTCCGGAAAGATGCTTGCCTCAACTTCTGTTGCAAATACAGTCGCAGTCTACAAACTTCCTGACTTGGAAACCGCCCTAAGCATATCCAAGGGTAAACTGACAGCAATTTACACCATTGCATCGGTTGTTATTATTATTCTCACTGCCATTCTGTTACAATTTGTTTTCCAAAAGAAATTCTTGGGTGATTTGATTCCAAGTGAGCAATCTTTCGATGGCTCTCTCAAATACCAGGCTCCTGAAGTTGACACAAACCTGCCTATTTCAACTTCTAGTGTAGTACCCACTACTGAGTCTATTGTAAAGTCTTCCGCTAAGCCTTCTGATGAAGAAGAGATTGTAATTGATGAGGAAGATGTGGATAATATGAATGAGTTTGACCTTTACGAAGGTGACCCACTGGATGAGGAAGATCCTGATGGTGATTTGGCTGATTTTGAAGAAGACGAAGACGAAGATGATGATGAAGATGAAGATGACGATGACAAAGATGATGATGATGACGATGATGATGACGATGATGATGATGATGATGATGATGATGATGATGATGATGATGATGATGATGATGATGATGATGATGATGATGATGATGATGATGATGATGATGATGATGATGATGATGATGATGATGATGATGATGATGATGATGATGATGATGATGATGATGATGATGATGATGATGATGATGATGATGATGATGATGATGATGAAGATGAAGATGAAGAAGAAGAAGAAGATGATGATGATGAGGATGATGAGGATGATGATGATGAAGATGATGAAGATGATGAAGACGACGATGATGATGAGGATGAGGACGACGATGATGAGTAAAATAGCCTATTTTTGTTTATACTTTTTTTATATTCATCGAATTAAAGCAACTTCACACATTTTTTTTGTTGATTTTAGAACTTATATTAATTTTCTTTAAATATAAGAACAAAAAGAAAAAAAAGAGTAACAATTTTCTTTTAAAAAATAGCATCCAAGACACGTTCATACCAAGACAATTTCCCCTTTTTCTCAACTGGAACATTTAGTTCTTCTTGACAATAACAATCATTCATAATATCAATATCTTCAGGCTTAATCAGTAGAGGTCCACAAAACACAAAAAACTGAAACACCACAAAGAGAATCACAAAAATAAAGAGCGAAATGTATGCAGTCAAAAACGAAGCCGCAGTGAAATCCCAAAAACAAGTAAACCCTTGAATCACTACAATAATACACACACATACAAAGGCATACCAAGCATACCAGATTCCTCCACTAGCCTTAAAAGGCAAATCATCACGGCAAAAATCTTCTTGTGTATCAAGAGCCTTGATAAATCGAATATGTGAAAATGAAATAGCAGCCCAAGATAAAAGACCAGCAACTGTAGACACATTTACTAGCCATTCAAACGCCTGCTGTGATCCAGATGAAACTGACAAAAAACCCAAAAGTCCAAAAACTGAAGTGAAGAGAACGCCAACCCAAGGTACACCATTTTCTGTAGTGCGTGTCAAAAATCGTGGCCCCACATGCGCAGATCCCAAGGCATAAAGTAATCGTGACCCAATGTACACGTTAGAGTTACCGGCAGACAAAATGGTGGTCAAAATAACAGCATTGAAAATGTGACCAAGCACAGACGTGCCACAATTAATAATAGCAATGACAAAAGGTGACGAGGAAGTAAAAGACGAATTTGAAACCAACTTTCGATCATTATAAGGAACAAGAATTCCCATGAAAAAAATAGAACCAAGGAAAAAAACAACAATACGGAAAAAAACACGGTTAATGGCTCGCGGGACGGCTTTGCGAGGATTTGCACATTCACCTGCTGTAATACCTACAAGCTCAGTCCCCTGAAATGTAAATGCTGCATTAATAAGAGCTGAAAGGAAACCCAGGATTCGACCACCAAAAATATTACTAGTTAAAATTCCAGGGCCCCAAGCCCCAGGGTTCCCCCAGTATTTAAACCCAATAGGTCCTTGAATTTTGCTTGCACCACACATCATGCAGAGTGCATAAATGAGCCACCCAACAACAGCAATCACTTTAATGGAAGCTGCCCAAAACTCAACCTCTCCATAGATTTTAACTGGGAAAAAATTAACAGCTGTGAAAACTGTGAAAAAAATAGCAATCCATGCCGCTAGAGGGACTATATCAGTCCAGTACTCAATTACCTTGCCTACAATCGAAAGTTCAATAGCAAAAGTCACTGCCCAGGAAAACCAGTACATCCATCCAATGGCCGCACCAATTGCGGGCGACACAAACCTTGTACAAAAAACTGTAAATGATCCAGTGATGGGGATGAATGTAGCCATCTCGCCAATCGACTGTGCAATCGAGTACACAATGGTAGACATAAATACGTATGCAATTATTGATCCAACAGGCCCAGCATCCTTGAGTGCAGAGCCTGTCCCAATAAAAAGTCCAGTGCCAATTGTCCCACCAAGGGCAATCATAGATATATGTCGAGGTTTAAGCTCGCGCTTAACCTGGCCTTCGGCTGTTGGCTTGGTATATGTGGAGATTCCTTCCATTTCAATATCGTTTTTATTGTTAAACATTTTTAATTAATTTTTTTTTTCTTTTGAATACTGATATAGATTTAATTTTATGAATTTTATATTTTGAATTACTTGAAATAATAATATGTACGATTTTACAATCCTTTTATAGGAGACTTCGAATTAGAAGTTGAATTTGAATTTGAATGATGTCGAAATTTTAAAGCATAACATATGAAAAAGCATTAAACTGAAGTAACATGTCTTTTTTTATTTTAAAATCTTGAAATTATGCTTAACTATTATCATGATTTATTCATTTTTTTTTTTTTTTTTTTTTAATAATGCAAAACCGCATTTTTTTTACCAATTGCATGCCATTTTTTTAACTAATGAACAGTGTTTTTTTTATTTTCCTTTTCATAAGTGCTTACTATTGAGATAAAATTAGGGGTATTTTTTTGAAACATTTGATCCAGTAATTACCCGCCGTTATCCAATCTGGAACCTTTTTCTCTGTCAATTGTCTGAAAACCGTTGATAACAATGAACTTTAAAATTTACCCAATTTTTAAAGGTTTATTTTTGTTCCCAAAAAACAAAAATCTTTGAGATAAAAAAGATTTAGAGAAAAATTACTTTGTAGCCAACAAGTGAAAAAAAATGACAACTTGATATTCATGCTTATTTAGACACATACACAATATGCAACTTTTTGTATTGATAAAATCAGCAAATTTTGGCAATGCTTATAGTAAAATAGCTCTCCCAAATAAATGTTCATATTCCGGGGACAAAGATTTTTAATGATTTTCCGTCAATAATATTAAAAAAATGTTGAACAATATCTGGGAAACTGTTTTCGATCTTTAAACAAGAAAAAACAAAAAAACGTTAAAAAAAATTACAATTTCCCTATTTCTATTTCGTCATAGTTTTCATATAAGGTTTTAAACTAATGAATCAAAGTATTTATTTTTTTTTCTCCAAGAAAACATACTTGAGCTTTCAAAATCCTTCTCGGATCCAAAAATATATTGCAAAAAAAAAGGTTATTCCTTTATTTTTAAACAGGAGTTTGTTAAGACATTCTATTTTGTCAATTAATTGGAATAAAATAGATTCAAAATGTTAACTTTGTTATGTAATCTAGTTTTGAAATATTTTGGAAGAAAAAAAAAAGGATTTTGAAACCAGGTCTTTTTGATCCAATAAAAAAAATAGAAAACACCTTTTTTTTTTTTTAAGAAACTCAATAAAAAAAGAAAAAAAAAACAAAGTAAAAATTTAATATTTAGAAACTTTGAAAAAAAAATAGATTTCTTTGACAATAATATTTTTCAGTTCTTTAAAACACTTAAAGTGTCTTGATCAAAAAGTTGAATAGCCCATTTTAAGTTTGGGCTTCAAAAAAGTGCCTTTTTATTGTTTTTGTCATGTTTTAAAATAAAACTGGTTTTTGAAAAACATGGCTCCAATGATATATCTTTGTTAGCAATTGATTTTGATATGAAGTCCATAATGATTTATCTTTGTTTAAAAATGGGCTTCTAAAGATTGTAGAATTTTTTAAAAAAAAAAGTATTTAAAGAGTTGAAAATTCCAACTTTTATAATTTTTTTTTCTTCCTTTCTCATTATCAAATAACACTTTCTATAATCTTTTCTATCTTTCTTTAATATTTCAATTCATTCATTCTTCATTTGAATTTTCAATCCATTCTTCAATCTTTTTTTTTAATAAGTCCCAATGAAATTCTCTAACATTGCTGTTGCTGCTTACGCTGCTTACGCTTTTGCTGCTCCTGTTGCTGAGGCTAATCCTGATGCTCTTGCTTTTGCTGAGGCCCATGCTGATGCCGATGCCTCTGCTGAAGCTGAAGCCGGATTTTTGAAGAAGCTCTTGAAGCTCAAGAAGTGCAAGTACTTCGGCACTTGCTCTACCACAACTGTTGTTCCTGTTGTGACAACACCTTCCACCACCACTACCACCACCGGTACAACTGGTTCTGGAGGCTCTGGCGGCTCTGGCGGTGCTGGCGGTGCTGGTGGCTCTGGTGGTTCAACAACTGGTACTACTAATGGCAATAGCGGTACTACTAATGGTAATAGCGGTACTACTAATGGTAATAGCGGTACTACTAATGGTAATAGCGGTACTACTAATGGTAATAGTGGTACTACTAGTGGCAATACAAGCGGTCAAACCACCACCAACAACAGTGGTCAGACTAACACTTCTAACAATGTTGCTACCAATACTAACACTGCCAACAATGTTAACAACAACACTAACAACAATAGCAATACTAACAATAATGCCAACAACAACAACAATAACAATGCCAACACTAACGATAACACCAACGGAAACACCAACAACAATGGTAACACCAACGTTAGTGGCAACACCAATGGTAACACTGGTCTTAACAGCAACACTAACTACCAGGTAAATTTTGCTTCTGCTTTCAACGTTGCTACCTTCTACGTTCTTCCTAGTGGTCTCATCACCTTATCTGCTGGCTATGGTGGAGTTGCATTCAGCTTCACCATCAGCGGCACTTCTTTGATTGCATCTGCTCCTGGCTTTAGCAATGGTTATGTCATTGTCAACAGCAATGGTGCTTTGCAGGTTGTCAGCAGTAGCACTTACACTGTCACTTGGATTTCCGAGGGTGGTTACGTTACTCCCTCTGGCGGCACCATTGTTGCCTGCCCTGACAATGCTGGCAGCTACATCCTTTACAGCAACGTTTCTTGCTCTGGTGGAAAAGTTGTTGCCTTCCTTACTGATGGTACTTGCGGTGTTTCCAAATAAATATGACCTGGGCTCACTAAAACTGCTTTCTTTATTCAATCACATATTTTAAGAGTTTGCTGGACATGACTCAAATTATTTATTTATTCATTTAATTATTCAAATAGTTTAGCGGTAGTATTAATAACTTAATAACAATATCAAAGAAAAATATATTTTAAAAATGATCCAAATAATGTTTGAAAAATTAACCTTAAATTTAAGTTGAGATTCTCTTTCTTACCATACATTTTTAGTAAAGTAACATTCCTTTTTTTTTTTCAAATATTTGGTATATTCAAGATTTTTTTTTTTGTTTTTTTTGTTTTAAAAAAAAAAAACCAAATATAAACAAACCTGTATCTCATTTATTAGTATGATTTTTTTTTATAATTATCGAATCATGATTTTTTTTCTCTTGTAATTTTTTAAAGATAATATAGGTTTCATTTAAAAAAAGTAAAAAAAATTAACAAAAAATGTATAAAAAATAATGGTTTCTGGCGGGATCGAACCGCCGATCCTCGCGTATACAAGGAAGTTGCTTGTTTATTAGCACGATGCCTTAACCAACTGGGCCAAGAGACCACTGTAAATAAAGTGAATTATTGAAAAAGTGAGCGGCCATGCCTATATAAAGACGTGAAGCAAATCTACATATACTACTGAATAAAAAGGGCTGGTTTTAAGAAGGATAGCGCAGATGCTGATGTTATATAATTCTATAACTCTTGAATAAAAACAAACAAACAAACAGGGCTGGTTTTAAGCCAAAATTAAAAGTTTATTATTAAAATGAAAAGATATATAGTATGGACAAGAAGGATAGCGCAGATGCTGATGTTATATAATTCTATAACCCTTGAATAAAAACAAAACAAACAAACAGGCTGGTTTTAACTTGAATAAAAACAAACAAACAAACGGGCTGGTTTTAACTTAATGACAAAGATTTTGCTGATAAAGCTGCAGAATGGATCCCCAAAGTTGACCCTACTTATTCAGTGCTTGACACAGATTCTTGGTACAAGGCTGTACTTCAGGAAATACCTAATACGGCATCGATTGAAGACTTGAAAGAAACTCTCTACAATTTTAATGATTACCATATTGTTTTGAATACCGAACCCAAAATCATTAGCAGAAACCAATTTACCCAAACAGCATTGGTTTCATTCAGAAATGCCCAAGACTATGCAAAGTGTGCTGATAATCTTATTATCCAGTACACAAAAGTTAAAGTTAGACCTTTTATTAGCAGAAAAAAAACTCCTGAAGAACTCCAAGCTATGCGTAATAAGATACGATTATTGAAAAATGAATCAGACAAAAAGGATAATGAGGCCCATCCTGTTTCCACTGACGACTCACAAGATGAACCGATGAAAGAAACAAATATTGAAGAACTAGATGAATCCAATGAGGAAGAAAACGAAAACAATTCTATTACATCCAATGAATTATAAAGTATTCCAACTCAATTGTCATAAATCGAAATCTATTACTGAAACTATCTTAGATAAAAAGAACCTGATATCTTGTTATTACAAGAACCTTACTTTAATAACTATGGGCCCATTAAACATAAAGATTGGATCCCAATCTTTACAGAAACTGGAAAAGAAAAAAATAAATGCAGAGCAATTACTTACATTAGGTCTAACTCTGACTTACGAGCATTAACTACTAAAATTGAAAAGTTTACAAATCGAGATATGGTTACCATTTTGGTTAAAGACATTACAATTGTCAATGTCTATAATCAACCGAAACCATCCAAGAAATACCCTGAGCCACCGGTTTTTGAGTTTCTCAAACGGGAGATCAAGGAACAATACTCAAAGATTGTCATTGCAGGTGATTATAACTTACATCACAAGGAATGGGAATCAAGGGCAGGTCCGAATACGGAAGCAGATGAAGTTGTTGAGTGGCTACATGAAAATGATATGATGTTAATTTCTCCAAGAAATCAAAAAACATACAACAATAGAACCAATATTGATTTGGTTTATGGCTCAGTGGACTTACTTCATAGAATTTCATTTAGTGGAGTGGATGAAAATACACTAAGTGATCATTCAATTGTGGAGTGGGACATCTCTATGTCTCAGAGTAAAAACGGGGATGAATTTTTTACTTCGGTGAAGAGATTGAATATTAAGAATGCAGATTGGGAAAAGTTTGACAAGGAGCTTTCTTCTGCCATTAAAGATTTTAATGTGCATAACAAAACTCTAAAATCAACTGACCAAATTGATGACCAAGCTAAAGTTCTTGAGGAGGTTGTAAAAAGAGCAATGGCAAAGTCGATGAAGGAAGTTAAGGTGATGAAAAAGTCCAAACGCTATTGGAATCAAGAATTAAGGGAGAAGTTAGAAAAAGCGCTAGAAGCTAAAAGGGAAGCCCGTCAAAGGCAACCTTCTTTGGCTTTGAAACGACAAAAAATTGAAGAGGCGAAAAAAGCTAGAAAAATTTTTGACCACAGTTTGCGTGAAGCAAGTACTGAGCAATGGAATAAATATTTGTCTAGTTTAGAAGGAAATGACATTTGGAAGATTTTGAAGTATATTAATCCAAAAAGCAATGATACCATTATACCACAAATTAAAAGAAGATGGAACTCTCACTACTACTGTTGACGAAAAAAGACATGAAATATGGAAGGCACTTCTACCTGAAATTGATCATGGTCTTGATAGAGAGTTTGAAATTGATGACGATTCTCGATGGCCAAAATTAGAGTTTGATGAAGTTGACTCTGCATTGGCTGATACCCCAAATGATAAAGCTCCAGGAGACGATGGAATTACTGGCAAAGTTTTAAAGATGGCATGGCTAAATAAAGACTTTAAGGAAAGGTTTTTCAAGCTTCTCCAAGCTTGTGTGAAGTTGGATACCACCCAAAAGTCTGGAGACATGGCATTATTGTTGTTATACCTAAACCTAAGAAACCTGACTATTCAAAGCCAAGAGCATACCGACCAATTTCCTTACTTAAGATTCCATCTAAAGTACTGGAAAAATTATACAAAAAGAATGACCAAGCTTACAACACACTTACTTCCACCAGAGCAATATGGGGAAGACAAGGTTATTGTGCTACTGATGCTGTTTTGGAACTTGTCCAAAGAATTGAAACTAGTAAAGAAAAATTTCAGCTATGCTCATTGATATTCAAGGAGCTTTTGATAATGTTAACAGAAATATATTGGCAGACACAATGGAGGATATGAAACTACCCAAAGCACTTATAAACTGGACGTACCAATTTGTAAGTGAAAGAGAAGCTAGTATGCTCATGGACCGAAGAAAAGGATCAGTGCAAAAAATTAGTACTGGAATTCCACAAGGCTCACCTATTTCACCACTACTTTTTTGATATATTCCACACCAATGTATCATGCCATTAAAGAATGGGGTGGAACTCCTTTTGGCTTTATTGATGATGTGACTATTACCGTTGAAGGTAAAATTGAAGAAAATACCAAAAGCTTAAGCAACATATTAGAAAAATGTTGTAATTGGGCTAAATCAAGAATGACCAAAATTGATTTGGGTGACAAATTGGGTTTCATTCATTTTACAAAAAATGTGAAACCTAAAGATGAGAAAGTGCAACTTACTTTACCTAATGGAGAACTTCGTGAACCCCAGAAGGAAGTTAAATTGCTTGGAATTACTTTGAACAATCTGCTTGATTTTAAATCTCATATTTTGAATAAAATCAATAAAGCAAGAAAAGCTGTTGGTGCTATTTGGCATCTTGGTGGCGTGCAAAAAGGTATGCGAGGGTCTGCAGTCAGATCACTGTATATTGCTTGCGTGAGACCAATTGTCGAATATGGCTTAGAAATTTAGCATCATAAAATCTTGAAAGGAGAAATCCACAAGTTGGAAGTGATGCAGAACATGGCTTTAAGAAGAATTGTTGGTGCTTATCGCACAACTCCTATTGCGGTACTACAAAAGGAAGCTGGTATTATGCCATATAGTATTAGGCTAAAATTTATGGTGGCACGAAAAGCTATTCGTTTACACCTAAATATTAGCAAAACTAATCCTATTAATGGTCATTTGTTAACATTGATTGAGAAATCTCCAATTGCAAAGCTAACCACGCTTTACATGTTGGCGAAAGATGATAGAGACTATATGATTAAAAAGGATGAAAAACGAAAATGCAAGAGGGTTGAACCTCTTACACTGAAACAACAACAAAATCAGACGATTGGAATTTTGAAGAAACAAGCAATGGAAGAATGGCAAGAAATGTATTGGAACAGCAGTAAGGATCTGTGGTATCATAATATCACAGTGGAGTCGAAATGTACTGATAATCTTTCCAAAATGGTTACGGGAGTGATCATGAAGAAAGATAGTCGAAGGATCTTGAGTAATATTACTCAGTTTCGCACAGGCCATGGCAACTTTGGCGCATGGTTTAAAA